CGACATCGACGCGCGCGAAGACCTGTGGCGGCGCGGCGTCGACGAGATGCGCGCGTCGTGGAAGTTGCTAGAGGACGGCGTCGCGACGGTGGAGGTGATGGAGGTGGACGGCGCGCGCGTCGCGGTGGCCACCGCGCCGGCGACCGCGCCGCGTTTGCATTCGGGCGAGTCCTCGTCCTCGTCAGCGCGCTTCCCATAGACTGCCTCCCATACGACCCCGTTCGCGTTGTGAACGCCGTTCCTCGAGGCGTTTGCGTTTGCGTTTCGCCGCCGCCTTCTTCGTCGCGCTCGTCCAATGAAACGTCCACGTCATCAAACAACTAACCAATCACATACCTTCCCCGTTCATGTCGCCCGCCGATCGATTTAACAGCGGCGGTGCATCGAAAGTTGAGAGCGTCGGGCGCGTGCGGGCACGCGGGCGCGTCCCGCGCGGCGACGCGCGTGCTCCGCGTCGTCGCGAAGGACGGCCCGGGGCCGGGGTCGGGATCGGGCGCACGCGCGTACGCGTACGAGTACGAGAAGCCCGGTCACGGGTGGGTGGCGCGGTTGGTCGAGCGCGCGGCGGCGCCGCCGACGCCGCGCGACGTCGCCGACGTCGTCGCGAAGATGAACGCGTCGGCGAACGGCCGGGGCGACGGCGACGGCGACGGCGGCGGCGCGTGGCGCGTCGGGGGACGCGGGGGGCTCGTGGCGATATGCGAGAGCTTGGGCTGGACGACGTGGGCGCCGGAGGAGGTGGCGAGAGCGCTCGTGAGGAGCGAGCGCGAGTGCCGCGAGTAGAGCGAAGGACGACGTCGTCGATCGATCGATCGTCGGAAAAACAAATTAGGGCCGTTCTATACAAGCGAATGTCGGGGTGGAGTTCAAAGGCGTCAGTTGGCGTTGAAAGGCGTCGAGGGCGGGTATTGAAAGCGAGGGGTGGGCGGAGAGAGTCGACGGGCAAAGTCCTTAAGGAACGGCGTTCACCACGCGGACGGGGTCGTATGGGGACCAGTGTACAGAACGCACCTTAAAACGCCACCTACGCTCTCGCCGCTCGTCGTCGTCCCCGCGTCAGTCCAGCGCTTCTAAATCTCTGTACGCGGACTTGGGCATCTCGCCGTCCGCGTCGAGCATGTGCGCCTCTTTCTCCGCGTCCGTCCTCCCCCGGCGCGGCTCCACGCCCACGGAGGCGTCGTAGAGGATCCGACGCGGCGGTCGCGTCGACGTCGTCGTCATCGCGCCTTCTTCGTCTCCGGTCCGGCTTCGGCGACTCGTCAGACCGCCGGTCGGCGCTGCCGCGATCGCGACCGCGACCGCGCCGCGCGCGGCGGTCGAGGGGAGCGGCGGCGGCGGCGGCGCGCGCGCGGCGGACGTCTTCGTCCGACACACACTGTCCGACACGCGTCCGACGCGTCCGACGGCGTCCGACGGCGTCACGAGCGGCGTCGCGGCGATGACGTCCTCCGTCCTCTTTCTCGCGGCGGCGACGCCGACGAGCGCTCTTTCGCCGTCGTCGTCGCGTGGCGGCGGCGCGACGCGGTCGTCGTGGTAGTCGTCGTCGTCGTCGTCGTCGTCGTCGTCGTAGTGGCGCTCGGCGCGCTCCGGGTACGTCAGGTACCGCGTCGACGCGCGCGGGCCGATCCCGAGTCGATCCATCTCTCTGAGGAATGTTTTTTTCATCGGTCAGTTGAAAAGGGGCGCGATCAAATGTTGAAACCGGACGATGGGTGAAAAACGAACGTGTGTGAATGCTTGCAACGAACGCGCCTGAGGCGCGCGACCGCGCCGGGGGAAGTGAGGTCCGCTACGGTGTCCCCGACGTCGATCTTCGCGTAGACGCGCGCGAGGCGCTCCTGAGGGAGGGGAGGGAGGGAGTGAGAGCGAGGCGGTGAGGTCGCCGCGGACAGACGGCGGCGTCGGATCTCGCGATCGACGGACGGACGGATGCGTTTTCTCTTCCGAGGACGCGACGCGCGCGCTGCGTTCATCACCTCGAGATCGTCCATGTCGCGTCGCTCCTTGTGCGCGCGCGACACCTCCAGCTTCCATCCGTGATGCTTGCTGGAGCTCGTCGCGGCGTACTCCTCGTACTCCATCGCCATCGCCATCGCGGCCGTCGGACGCGCGAGGTCGAGTCGCGGGCGCGTCGGTCGTCCGCGCGTCGCGAAGTGACCGCGACGCCGAGGAGGCGGACGGTCACGCGTGATTATTGCTGACGAGGTGCGTTCTAAACAAAAGTTTTTCACCCATCGCCCGGTTTCAACAATTAATCGCGTCCCCTTTCAACTGACCGGTGAACTTTTTTTGTATGGAATGGCCCTTCGCTCGCCGATAAACTCTACCTCGACCCCCCGCTCGCCCTCGCTACCACGCGGTCGATGAACGTCCCGCTCCGGTGCGTCGCGCGCGCAACCTCGCACGCCTCCACGACGCACCCCGGTTTCTTCCCCGACGCCACCTCCATCGCCGCGCACGTCGCCTCTCTCACGCCGTCGTCCGCGTCGTCCATGTGCACCAAAAAGCCCTGCGGGGTCGTTCCGGGGTGAAAGGCAGTTGAAAGGCGTCAGTGGTGGAGTTGAAAGGCATCGCGGGCGGGGATTGAAAGGAAAGCAGCGAGGGACCCTGGGCGGAGAGAAACGAACGCCGGGAGAGAAAGTAAAGTCCTTAAGGAATGAAGTTCACAACGCGAACGGAGTCGTATGGGAACCGGTGTAAGGATGACGACGGATGACGACGCGCCTTCAAAAAGTACCCCGTGTTCGTCTCGTCGTAGTCCGGCGCGCACGTCTCGAAGAACGCGGCGACGACGCCGCACGTCGCGATTCGAATCTCGTTCCGCGAGTCGTCCATACGCTTGAGTAGTTCCGGGTAAATCTGGCGCCGCTCGTCGTCGCTCAGCCGGTCGCCGCAGACGAGAAAGAGGTGACGAAACGCGTGCGCTGAGGGTCGTTCCATACAAAAAAGTGTAGTTCTCCCGTCAGTTGAAAGGGACCCGCGCGATCAAATGTTGAAACCGGGCAATGGGTGAAAAACTTTTGTGTAAACTTTCGCACCCGACGCCGCGCGCGTGTCCGCGTAATAATCCTCCTCCATCGCGCTGATCAGCGACGGGAGCAGGTCGCCTTTCCGGATCACGGAGAGTAACGCCTTTCCGGAGACGGTTTTATTCCGCAGCATCGTCCCGAGCGCGACGACCGCGGCGTATCGCACCGCCGCCGCCGTCTTCCCAGCGCGCCACGTCAAACCTTCCAAAACCACCTCTTCGATCAACGCGCCCGCGACGCCGCCGCACGCCGCCGCGCGGCGCGCGTCCTCGAACAGCGCGTCGAGAAGGCGCAGCAGCGCGAGCCGGAGCGTCGGCTCGCGGTGCTGTCTCGCCGTCGACGCGAAAATCTTTCGAATCGCGGCGGCGTTTGAATCGTCGGACAAAACCTCGGGAGGCGCGCCCAGGAGCAACGCGCCGAAGACGCGTTGCCCCGCGCACTCGCCGTCCCACCCCGCCTCCTCCTCGGCGAGCGCGGAGAGAAGCGACGAGGCGTGCGCGAGGAAGAGCGCGTCGGGTCCCGAGGCGTGGCCGCACGCGGCGGCGAGCGCGGCGATGGCGCGCGCGGGCGCGGAGCTCTCCGAGGGGGGTAATCCGATCCCCCGCGGCGCCGCCGCGGCGCCGGCGCCGCCGCCGGCGCCGGCGTCGACGCGTTCGCTCCCGCCCTCGCCCTCGCCGAGGCCGCCCGCCTCCGCGGCGCGGAGCTGGAGCAGGACGCGGAAGAGGTTTTCGGACTCGCGCGCGACGTCCGCGCCGGCGGCGGCGACGGCGTTGACGACCACCGCGAGCAGCTGCGCTCGCACCGCCGCGTCGTCGCACGCGCGCAACGATTCCGACGCGAGGCCGCGCGCGAGCGTCGCGATGGGCTCACCCGCGAGCGACCCGGCCGGCGCGGACCGCAGCGCGGCGGCGGCGATCACGAGCGCCGACGCGCGCTGCGCGGGCGACGCGCGCTCGCTCGTCGCGGCGTCGAGCGACAGCGGCAGCCAATCCGCCGGCGCCGCGTGCGCGCCTGAGAATCGAGGGTAATTGTCCATACGAAGCGACGAACGTCGGGGTGGAGTCGAAAGGCGTCAGAAGCGGAATCGAAAGGCGTCGAGGCGCGTGTGTCGGGATTGTGAGCGAGGCGTGGTGGGCGGAGAGAAACAAACGCCGGGAGAGAAAGTAAAGTAAAGTCCTCAAGGAACGGCGTTCACCACGCGAACGCGGTCGTATGGGGACCAGTGTGAGGAGAACGAACGCGCCTAAGATGCGCGCCGCGCCGACGACGCGCTCCGCGGTGTCCGCGTCCTCGTCCGACACCGCGGCGTTGAGCGCGGCGATCACGGACGACAAGTACCGCGCGTCCGCAGCCTCGCTCTGCGCGAACGCGAGCGTCGTGCCGAGCAACCGAGCGCCCGCGTTTCTCTGCGCGGCGGTCCACTCCTTCGGGCCATTCCATACAAAGCGATGTCGGGGTGGAGTTGAAAGGCGTCAGATGGAGTTGAAAGGCGTCGAGGGCGGGCGTTGAAAGCGAGGGGTGGGCGGAGAGACGAGACGGGAAAAGTCCTTAAGGATCGGCGTTCACCACGCGAACGCGGTCGTATGGGGACCAGTGTATAGAACGCGCCTTCGTCTCCCGCAACGCGAGCGGGAGGAGCGAAGGGAGCAACGCGCGGACGAGCCTTCGAGCCCCCGGCGGGGGCGCGCCGGCGAACGGCGGCGGGAGCACCCCTTTTGCCGTCCGGTCGTCGACCCCGGCCTCGTCGGAGGCGCCCTCGCCGCCGAGCCCACCAATCCCGAGCGCTGCGTCGTTCGCTTCGCCGACGACGCGCACGAGTTCCAACGCCGCGACGCCGTTCGCCTCCGTCTCGTCGGCGACGCCGGTGAGTAACATCGGGAGAAGCCACCGCGCGCGCGGCAGCGCGCACCCGCGTTTCACGGCGTCGTCGTCCGCGTCGGCGGTCGTCTCGACGTCGACGAGCCCGGGAGGGACTTTGCCGCAGTCTTCTCTGTGATCACCTCTTCTCTCACCTCCTCCTCCCCCCACTCCCTCCCCGCCGCCGCCGCTCGATGTCGTCATCCACCCCGCGAGCGCCTTGTGAAACGCCGCGCGCACCGCCGGCGCTCGGTCCGCGCACAGCGGCCGCGTCCCCGGCGCGAGCGTCTCCGGCACCGCGGCGTCCGGCACTGCCCCGGCGCGATGCAGCGCGTCGACGGCGGCGACGACGGCGAGCCGCACGGACGAGTGTCGATGCCGCGCGTTGGCGAGCGTCGCCTTGAGCATCTTCATCGCGCTCGCGGGCGGCAACGCGCCAAAAGGCGTCGCGCGAGCGATCGCCTCGACGAGCGCCGCGCACGCGCGCTTGACGTCGTGGAACTGGTCCCCGCTCGACGCGTGGACGACCGCCGCGACGTCCTCCGCGAACGGCAGGAGTAACGTCGACGTCGTGGCCGTTTTTTCTCCGGAGGCGTTCCCTCCCGCGATTGTCGTCGCGCGCGTCACCGCGCGCGTCGTCAGCTCGACGCACGACAGACGGATCTCCTCGCTGGGCTCCTCCACCGGCGCGGTCCCGACGATCTTCACCATCGCGGGCAGCAGCGACGGGAGCGCGACCGCGGTCGCGCCCTCGCCGTCGTCGCGTCGTAGGTCCCCGCCGTCGCATGGGTCCCCATCGGGACCCACCATCGGGTCCGGGAGCGCGTCGAGGACGTCCGCGACGAGCTGCGCGCACTTCTCGCGCACCTTCTCGACGGAATCGAGGAGGCCGCGAAGGATGGACGGGAAGAGGACGGGCACGAGCGCGCGGAGGAGTTGCGGCGACGGCGCGGGCGACGACGCGTCGCCTTTCAGGAGCCTGTGATGCGATGCGCGCGACGGGGAGGGACGGTGAGGAGTGAGGGGTGAGGAGGACGCACGGACGGACGCGCGGGCGATCTTCGTCTCGTCGATCGAACGAACGAACGAACGTGCTGCCGATCGAACGACCGATCGATCCCGCGCGAGCGCGCACCTCTTCGATAGGGCGTCGAACGCGCGTCTCCGCACGGCGCGATCCGCGTCCGTGACGCTGTTTATATCTCTCTGGACGCTCGCGGCGAACGCGTCGCGCTCCGCGTCCATGACGGCAGACGCCCGCGCGTTCGCGGAGCAATGATCGTTGACCGTCGTCCTTTTCGAGTTCCCGCCATCATGCGTCGCGTCGGCGCGTAGTCGCCAGTCGTCGTCGTCGTCGTCGTCCCCGTCCTTCACTCGTCGCGTCGTCCGACGCGCGGCCGCACGCGGAGGCGGGCTCCGAGGCGAATCGCCGCGCGAGCGCGTCTTCCGCGCGCGGACGCCGACGCGTCATGTCCTCCGCGGCCGCGTCGGGCGCCCCGCCGACCGCGGCGATCGGCGCCGACGATGCGAATAATCCGACGACGAAGAACGCCGCGACGGTAGTCGACGTCGACGAGTCCCCGCCGCTGTTCGCGACCGCGTCGAGCTTCCCCGGCGCGGACGACGCGTCCCTGAACGACGAGGAGTGGCTCTCGCGCGCGCTCGCCGCCGCGGCGACGACGACGGCGACGACGACGGCGTCGTCGTCGTCGACGAACGATCCGCGGCGCGCGTCCGACCCAGCGCCGTCGTCGTCAGATCCCGCGCCGCGCGCGACCGCCGCCGCGACCGCGCCGTCTTATCCGCCGCGCGCGCTCGCGACGACGACGTGGCACGGCGACCGCACGCTGCTCATCGACAACCACGACAGCTACACGTACAACCTCTACCACCTCATCGCCGCCGCGGACGGCGTCCCGCCGGTGGTCCTGCGAAACGACTCCGTCACCTGGCCGGAGCTCGAGCCGTCGATATCGTCGCGGCATTTCGCGCGCGTCGTGCTGTCCCCGGGCCCGGGGACGCCCGACGTCGCGGGCGACGTCGGCGTGTGCATGGACCTGCTTCTTCACGCCGCGGAGACGCCGATACTCGGCGTGTGTCTGGGGCATCAGGCGCGTTCTGTGCATACACTGGTCACCATACGACCGCGTTCGCGTGGTGAACGCCGATCCTTAAGGACTTTTGCCGTCGCCTCTCGACGCCCAGGGTCCCTCGCTTTCAGACCCGACACACCGCGACGCCTTTCAACTCCATCTGACGCCTCTGAACTCCATCCACCCCGACGTTCGTCGCTTCGCGTTGAACGACCAACCATCAGGCGCTCGCGGCGGCGCACGGCGGCGCCGTGGTCCGAGCGCCGAAGCCGACGCACGGGAGAGCGCACGCGTTGCGACACGACGGCGACGACATGTGGCGGGGAATACCGAGCGGCGGCGGCGGACTCGTCGGCGTGCGGTATCACTCCTTGGTCGTGGACCCGGGGACGCTGCCGGAGTGTTTGACGGCCACCGCGTGGGTGGACGGCGACGGCGGCGAAATCGGCGACGGTTCGGGTTCTGGGCGCGACGGTTCGAGTCCTCCGGTGGTCATCATGGGGATGCGGCACAAGACGCGGCCGCACTACGGCGTGCAGTACCATCCGGAGAGCGTGTGCTCGACGCACGGCGATGCGCTGTATCGAAACTTCGCCGCCGCCGCGGACGCGCATTGGAAACGTTTGGGGCCGCCGAATGCGGCGCCGCGGCCGTCGCGCGTGCTGAAAGGGCTGGACCCGAGCGACGTGAGCTCCGCGCCGAGCGCGTGCGCGCCGACGCCCCCCGGGACGGAGGACGGCGACGGCGCGACGAAGCTTCTGTGGGCGAAACTTCCGAGGGCGCTCGCCGTCGTCCCCGGCGGCGCGGAGGGCGCATTTTGGGGGCTCCACGGCGGCTCTGGCGGCGGTTCGATCCCGGGAGTCGTCTCCAAGTCCGAGGCGTCGATGGATTCGTTCTGGCTCGACAGCGCGACGGCGGCGACGGCGACGGCGACGGCGACGGGGGGGACGTGCCCGAGGAGCCGGTTCTCGTTCATGGGCGGAAGAGGCGGCGCGCTGTGGCGTCGCGCGATCTACAGGTGTCCGCCGCCGCCGCCGCCGTCCGATGAAAACGGCCCGACCGCGGACCGAGCGTTCAGGACCGGCGCCGCGCCCGCGTTCGCCGGCGGGTCCCTGACCGTGACGGACGCGACCGGCGCGTCGACGACGCGGACGGGCGTGAGCGTCTTGGAGTGGCTCGAGAGCCGGCTGCGATCGAGGAGATGCCGACGCGCCGAGGAGGTGACCCTGAACGTGAAACGGTCGCGGGAAGATGAAACGTCAACCGACGAGCCCGCGATCGACGACGCCGACTTCATCGCCGACGGTCGCCTCCCGAACCTCCCGTTCGACTTCATCGGCGGGTTCGTCGGCTACCTGGGGTACGAGATCAGGCGCGTTCTATCTCACACTGGTTCCCATACGACCGCGTCGGCGTGGTGAACGCCGATCCTTAAGGACTTTACTTCCCGTCGTCTCTCTCCGCCCATGGTCCCTCGCTTACAATCCCCGCCCGCGACGCCTTTCAACTCCGCTTCTGACGCCTTTGAACTCCACCCCGACGTCGCTTCGTATGGAACGGCCCTCAGAGCCGAGTGCGGCTGTCACCCGCCGTCGCGCGCGTCGCCGACGCCGGACGCCGCGCTCTTTCTCGCCGACCGCGTCGTCGCGATCGACCACGACACGGACGACGTGTACCTCCTCGCGATCGTGAGCGACGCCGCGTCGGAGCTCGAGTCGCTCGCGGAGGGCATGGAGCTTCACGGCGCGGCGAACGCGGCGGCGACGGGGTTGTGTCAGCTCGCCGCGGAGGAAGCGGAGGCGGAGGCGCGCGCGTGGTTGAGCGAGACGGAGGCGAGGCTCGCCGCGTTGGGGTCCTCGGAGGCGGCCGCGAGGGCGCTGGACGACTCGTGCGCCGCCGCGGGCGCGGGCGCGATGCTGGCGCTGCAGATCGCGCGCGAGAAGGCGGCGAAGGAGGCGGCGGAGGCGGCGGAAGATGGAACGTCGATCGTCGCGTCGTCGTCGTCGGCGTTTGATCCCGCGCGAGCCGGGTTCCGACTGCGAAGGAACCGCGAGGCGTACGTGGCGGACGTCGACGCCGCGAAGGCGCTCATCGACGCGGGAGAGACGTACGAAGTCTGCCTCACGAACGAGCTCCGACGCGGCGGCGGCGGCGACGGTGACGACCGACCGTGCCCCGACCCCGCGACGCTCTACGCGGTGCTTCGACGGACGAACCCGGCTCCGTACGCGGCGTATTTGAATTTCGGCGGATGCGGCGGCGACGGCGCGCGGGGGTTAGACGACGCCGTCGTCGTGTGCTGCTCCTCGCCCGAGCGCTTCCTGAGGCTCACGAAGAAGCGCGGCGGTCGCGGTGGCGGCGATGCGAACGACGACGCGACGGTTGACGTTTCATCTCCCGACGACGACGACGACGACGGCGGCGGCGGCGGCGCGCGCGCGCTCGAGGCGAAACCGATCAAGGGCACGGCGCCGCGTCGACACCCTCTGAACGGCGAGGACGACGTCAGAGAAGCGCGCGAGCTCGCGTCGAGCGTGAAGGACCGCGCGGAGAACCTCATGATCGTGGACTTGCTCCGTAACGATCTCGGGCGCGTCTGCGTCCCCGGGTCCGTGTCCGTCCCGGGGCTGATGAAGATCGAATCCTACGCCACGGTGCATCAGGCGCGTCGTAGTATCACACTGGTCCCCATACGACCGCGTCGGCGTGGTGAACGCCGATCCTTAAGGACTTTTCCCGGCGTCTCTCTCCGCCCACGCCTCGGTTTCTTCTTTCCCCGCCCTCGACGCCTTTCGACTCCGCCTGACGCCTTTCGACTCTCACCACCCCGCGGAACGGCAAACCTCGTCAGCTCGTGAGCACGGTGGTCGGGACGAGGGACGAGGCGGCGGCGTCGCCGGTCGCGTGCGCGCGCGCGGCGTTCCCGCCCGGGTCCATGACCGGCGCGCCCAAGCCTCGGACGATGGAGATCATCGACGCGCTGGAGCCGAGCGCGCGCGGCGCGTACAGCGGCTCGATCGGGTTCTTTTCGGTCAACGACGCGTTCGACCTGAACGTCGTGATTCGAACCGCGGTTTTGAAGCCGGGCTCGAAACCGGGCTCCGGCGAGGTGTTCATCGGCGCGGGAGGCGCGATCACGACGCTGAGCGACTCGAGCGCGGAGTGGGAGGAGGCGATGCTGAAGAGCAGGGCGATCGTACGAGCGGTCGAGGCGTGCGACGAGCTCGCGGCGAGAGGCGCCGCGCCGTGACAGAGTCTATCATTATTAATCACGTAATTACGAAGAGCGGCGCGAAGCGCATATATTCCTACTAGAGTTTCGACGTCGGCGCGCGCGGCGACGGCGACGTCCACGCCGCTCTCGCGATGCCCTTCTCCCGCGCGTCCCTCGCGCTCGTCACCCCCGCGAGCCGCATCGAGCTCTCGAGCTCTTCCGTCAGCACGTCGATCGCTTTGCGCACGCCCGCCTCGCCGCCGCACGCGAGGCCCCACGCGACCGGCCTCCCGATCGCCACGACGTCCGCTCCGAGCGCCAACGCCTTCAGCACGTCCGACCCCCTTCGCACGCCGCCGTCGAACACGACGGGCACGACGTTCTCGGTCGCGGTTTGTGTAACGCTCGTCGCGTTGCCGTTACGACCGTCGTTGACGCCGGCGACGACCTCCGCGAGCGCGCGCAACGTCGACGGCGCGCCGTCCAGCTGCCGCCCTCCGTGGTTCGATACCCACACGCCGTCCACGCCGTGCGCTACCGCTAACGCCGCGTCCTCGCGCGTCATCACGCCCTTGAGGATGATCGGAAGCGCGGGGACGATCGACTTGAGCCACGGGATGAGCGAGGACCACGTGAGGCTGGCGTCGCGGTCGCCGACGCGCTTCGCGATGCGCTTTTGCGCCGCGCTCGCGTCCGACGACGAGGGCCGTTCTCCTTTCAAGCGAACGTCGGGGTGGAGTTGAAAGGCGTCAGTTGGCGTTGAAAGGCGTCGAGGGCGGGGATTGAAAGCGAGGGACCCTGGGCGCAGAGAGACGCCGGCAAAAGTCCTTAAGGATCGGCGTTCACCTCGCCAACGCGGTCGTATGGGGACCAGTGTGAGATAAAACGCACCCGACTCGGATGAATCCGAATCCGAATCGTTCCCGCCGCCGTGGTCCACGTTCGCGAGCTTCAGCCCGTCGCGCATCTTAAACCCGTTCCTCACGTCTCTCTCCCTCCGCCCCAGCGTCGGCGCGTCCACGGTCACGACGATCGCGGTCGCGCCCGCGAGCGCCGCGCGTCTCGCGAGCGCCGCCGTCGCCGCCCTGTCGCGTCTCAGGGTCGTTCCATACAAAGCATTGTCGGGGTGGAGTTCATAGGCGTCAGTTGGAGTTGAAAGGCGTCGAGGGCGGGGATTGAAAGCGAGGGGTGGGCGTCGAGATGCGCCGGGAAAAGTCCTTAAGGATCGGCGTTCACCACGCGATCGCGGTCGTATGGGAACCAGTGTATAGAACGCACCTCACGTACAGCTGGAACCACATCCGCGCGCCGCCGCCGTCGCCGATTCCGCCGCCCTCGCACGCGCGCGCGATCCTCTCCACGCTCGTCGTCGCCTGCTGCGCGGCGCAGTACGGCACGCCGCGAGACGCGCACGCGCGAACCGCCGCGCGCTCGCCGTCCGGGTGCGCCATGCTTTGCATCGCCACCGGCGCGACGAGAAGCGGCGTGCGGAGTTTTCTTCCCAGGCCGATGGCGGGCGCGGACGTCGACGTGTCCACGTCGCGGACGTCCACGAGGACGCGCGGCCACAGCGTCACGTCCGCGAACGCCGACGCGTTCGCGCGCAGCGTCGACTCCGTCTCCGCGCCTGGGGATGGACGCGCGGGGGAAGGACGCGAGGAGCGGAAGGTGGTAAAGAATGATGAGTCGGTTCGCTCGCTCGACGTGTGGATGTGGGCACTCATCGCATCGCGGGCGTTCGATCGAGGCGGGACGAGGCGCACCGCCCGCGAAGTAATCGAAGTCCTGGCGGTCCATGACCCTTCCCGCCGCGCGCTCGAGGTCGTCCAGGCACACGACGCGATCGAGGTCGACTCGCCCGACGCCCTCGCCGGAGGACGCCATCGGAAGCCGGACGGAGCGTGCGCCCGCGCTTCGACGACTGATGCTGATGAGAGCGATTCCATACAAAAAAAGTTCACCGGTCATCAGTTGAAAGGGGAAGCGATCAAATGTTGAAACCGGGCGATGGGTGAAAAACTGTATTATAGAACGCGCCTGTGCCGCACAATATTTCGCGATCGTCGAGCGCCGCTCACGCCGCGTCCGCAGATCGCGCCGCGCGCGACGTCCTCCGCGAGTCGCTTCGCCCTCGCACCGCGCGCAGGTCTCCCTCGCGCTCGACCACCCCGCCGCGCGCGTCTCGTCGCGTCGCGTCGCGTCGCGTCGCGTCGCGTCGATCGATCGATCCGTCGCGTCCGTCAGGTCTCGTCCGCTCGCCGTCCGTCCGTCCAGCCGTCCGTCGTCATGTCCCCGTCGGGCGCCGACAGCGGCGGTACCGTCGCGGAGAAGCTCTTCTGGATCCTCTTCTACTCCGCGTGCAGCTCCTCCATGCTCGTCATCAACAAGCTCGCGGTGGAGGCGGTCCCGCTGCCGACGGTCGTCTCCGCGTCGCAGCTCGTCGTCTCCGCCGCGGTCGTCGTGCTCCTGAGAGCGCTCGGATACGACGTCATGGGACCGATGCAGCGGTCAAAAGTGGTGCCCTTCGCGCTGTACACCGCGATGTTCGCGGCGGGGTTATTCAGCAACATGAAAGCGCTGCTTCTCACGAACGTCGGCGCGGTCATCGCCGCGCGGTCGTGCCTCCCCGTGATCGTGTGCCTCATCGAGTACTTCTTCATGGGACGCGCGCTCCCGGGCGCGCGCTCGGCGACGTCGCTCGCCGGCGTCGTCTTCTTCGCAATGACGTACATCAAGTCGTCCTCCTCCGTGGACGTGGACGGCGCCAGCGGATACGCGTGGCTGTTCGTGTGGTGGATGTTGCTCGCGGTTCAGATGACGTACGGGAAGTGGATGACGGAAAAGATCGAGATGACGCAGTGGGAGCGCGTGTTTTACACCAACGCGTTCGCCGTCCCGCCGACCGCGCTCATCTTTCTCAGCACTGGGGAGTACAGTCAAGCGAGGGACGTCGTTCTCGGCGAGAACGCGACGCTGTGGCTCCTCGCGTCGTGCGCCATGGGCGTCGGCATCTCGTACTGCGGCTGGAAAGTGCGCACCGTCATCACCGCGACGACGTTCACGCTCGTCGGCGTTTTGAATAAGATGGCGACGATCGCGTTCACCGTGGTGGTGTGGCCGCAGGACACGACGCTCACGTCCATCGCCGCGCTCGTCGCGTGCATCTTGTTCGGACTGCTGTACCAAGACGCGCCGAAGCGAAAGACGAAAGGGGTGGGATCGTCGAAGGGGGGGGTGATCGGAGGCGGAGGGAAGAGCGGATTCGCGTGAGTGATGACCTGACCTGACCTCTCGCGACGTCGGGCGGAGGGTTGGTCGGTTGATTGGTTGAGTTGATTACAAGCGACGCGATTCGTTTCGTCTCGTCTCGTTTCGTCTCGTTTCGTTTCGTTTCGTTTCGTTTCGTTTCGTTTCGTTTCGTTTCGTTCGTGCACCGAGAAGATTTCTTACAGCGAATCGAACCAACGCCTCGATCGTCGTCGTCGTCGTCGAAGACCGTCGTCGATGACGGATAACGTCGATCTTCCTCTATCTCTCTCTCTCTCTCTCTCTCTCTCTCTCTCGCGTCGTCGCAGCGTCCATCCAGCTCGCGATCGTCAGTCGCGATGATCGATCGATCACATGCCCTCCTCCTTCTCCCCGCCCGGCTGCTCCTCCGCCATGTCGCTCGTCCACAGCGTCAGGTTGTCCCTCAAGAGCTGCATGATGAGCGTCGAATCCTTGTACGACTCCTCCCCGAGCGTGTCGAGCTCCGCGATCGCTTCGTCGAACGCTTTCTTCGCCATGTCGCACGCGCGCTCGGGCGCGTTCAAAATTTCGTAGTAAAACACGGAAAAGTTCAACGCGAGTCCGAGCCTGATGGGATGCGTCGGCGCGAGCTCGTTGCTCGCGATGTTCTCCGCTTCCTTGTACGCCAGAAGCGTCTCCTCCGCGGCGTTCTTCCTCGCCTCGCCGCCTTTAAACTCGGCGAGGTAGCGGTAGTAATCGCCCTTCATCTTCTTATAGAACACCTTGCTCTCCCCCGCGCTCGACGTCTCTTCGAGGTGATCCTTCAGGAGCTGAGGGTCGTTCCATACGAAGCGAAGTCGGGGTGGAGTTCATAGGCGTCAGAAGCGGAGTTGAAAGGCGTCGAGGGCGGGCGTTGAAAGCGAGGGACCCTGGGCGGAGAGACACGCCGGCAAAAGTCCTTAAGGATCGGCGTTCACCACGCGGACGCGGTCGTATGGGAACCAGTGTATAGAACGCGCCTTAAGCACGCGGTCGCAGATGTTCCCGAGCTCCTTCTCCACGCCCTCCTTATACTTCGCGATGAGCTTCACGGTGTCGCTCTCTTTGCTGTACTTGCCCTCCTCTTTCATCTCGATCGAGGACACGATGCGCCACGACGCGCGACGCGCGCCGATGACGTTTTTGTACGCGACGGAGAGGAGGTTGCGTTCCTCGACGCTGAGCTCCTCGGGCGGCGAGGACGACGTGCTCTGCTCCGCAACCTTGGACATGTACTCCATCATCTCGTCGTACCTGTTTGTTGAGGACGTAGTATTTCGAGTTTGAATTTGGATTTGGATTTGGACGGAGGGATCGCGCGTGAGTGATTCGCTGCGTTGAGTCGCGAGTTCGGGTTCTATGTGACGAAGAGGGAAAGATCTGGATAGATCTGTTTTTGGTTGGCGCGCGCGGGGCGACGGGCCGACGCGGATGGAGGATCGCGGTCGCGTCGCGGCGCGCCGCCGACGCGCGGGACGGCGGCGGCGGCCGCGGCGTCGCGCGCGATCGACGCGCGCGCGTTCGGTGCGCCCCGATCGCGCGCGACGGCGGCGCACCGCGCGCGACGGACGCGTCGTCCATCATGTGCCTATAACGTCGCGCGTCGCGCGCGCCCGCCTCGAGAATAACTCCAAAAGGAACGCGAGCGCGCTTCAGCCGGCCGGGATCGCGCGCGCGACGCGTCGCGCGACCGATCCCGCCGCGCGTCGACGCGAGCGACGCCGTCGTCGCGACGCGGACGACGCGACGCGCGCGATCGCGCGATCGCGAGGTCGCGAGGACGACGACGACGCGCGACGCGCGACGGCGTCCGTCTTCCGCCGATGCAGACATCATCGCTGTCGCATCGCGTCGCGCGAGGATGGGAAAAAAGCCGAACGAGAGATCGCGCGACGCCGGACGCGCCTTTCCGCTTGCTCCGCGAGCTTCGCTTTGTACACGAGATCGGGGCGGGAGAGCCCGGAGAGGTCCTCGGGGGCGTTCATCGTGACGCACGGGTCGGTGAGGTGCGTTCGTGTGCGTGCCGGGATGATGGGACCGCGCGGGTCGCATCCGGCTCCGGTGCTGACGCTGAGCTGTAAAAATAAAACTCGGTATCCGCGCGAGGCGCCGCGCCGCGCCGATGGCCTCGCGAGCGCGAGCGTGAGTCGTTTCGAAACCGCTCGCGGTGGGTCAGCGCGACGTTTTTTTATCGGTCGCGCGCGATCAACTTTCACCAGAAATTAAAATTTCAAAGGTTGTCGTTGTTGTAACTTTTTCGAAACGCTGGCCACTGCACCGCATCACAACACATCGCGCCGCGCGCTCACCGCACGCCGCATCACCTCCACCTCTCGACAACCCACGCGCGCACCATGGCGGTCGTCGGCGAACTCCTCTTCACCGGAATGACGGACTGGAAGAACGTCGGCAGGGGCAAGACCTCGGTGCGCGAGCGCTCGCGGATCGATCGGTCGATCGGTCGGAGGAAACTTCCCGCGCGATCGGGCTCCGATCGGCTAATTCGTTCGTCCGTCCGCGCTCTGATGACGTCCCCTCCCTCCTCCCCCCTCCTCTCTCTCTCTCCCCTCCATCACGCAGGACGAAGAGCGGTACCCGAACATCATGGAACCGTCGCGCATCACGTCCATGAAGGGCGTCCCCATCGTCGCCGTCTGTGGCGGCGCCGCGGCCGCGCACGCGATCGCCATCGCGGAGGACGGCCGCGTCTTCGCGTGGTGCGTTCTATGTCACACTGGTCCCCATGCGACCGCGTTGGCGTGGTGAACGCCGATCCTTAAGGACTTTTCCCGGTGCTTCTCTCCGCCCAGGGTCCCTCGCTTTCAATCCCGACACACCTCGACGCCTTTCAACTCCGCTTCTGACGCCTTTCAACTCCACCCCGACGTTCGCTCGTAGGGGTCGAAACGAGAACGGGCAGCTCGGGCTCGGCGACACCGTCGACCGCGGGATCCCCACGGTGATCAAAGAGCTGCAGGATAAGGGCGCGAAAGCGATCGACGGCGCGTGCGGGAAGCATCACACCGTGATCCTGTGCGAGGGCGGCGTGACGTACGCCTTCGGCAGCAACAAGCACGGACAGCTCGGGATCGGGACGATCGCGAGAAAGGCGCGTCCCATCTCATCACACTGGTCCCCATACGACCGCGTTGGCGTGGTGAACGCCGTTCCTTGAGGACTTTACTTTCTCTCCCGGCGTTCGTCACTCTCCGCCCACCACCCCTCGGTTTCAATCCCGACACGCCTCGACGCCTCACAACTCCGCTTCTGACGCCTTTCAACTCCACCCCGATATCATCGCTCGTACGGAACGGCCCGAAGATGAACAAAGGCGAGGACGACGTTCGGACCACGCCGGTGCAGACGCAAGTCGCGAACGCGACCGCGGTGGCGTGCGGCGGCGAATTCACGATGTGGATCGCGGGCGAGAACGGCGCGCTGTACTCCGCGGGGTTGCCGCAGTACGGTCAACTCGGGCACGGCTCGGATCACGAGTACAACATGAAGGAAGGGAGCGTGAAGCTCGCGTACCAGCCGCAGCCGAGCCCTCGCGCGATCGCGGCTCTGAGCGATAAGAAGATCATCAGGGTCGCGTGCGGGCACAACCACACGATCTGCGTGGACTCCGTGGGGAAAGTGTACACGTGGGGGTTCGGCGGGTACGGACGGTTGGGGCACAAGGTGCAGAAGGACGAGTTCGCGCCGAAGCAGGTGGAGGTCCAGGGCGGGGATCGTAACCTGTGCCCGCCCGACTGCGTCGTCGCCGCGGGCAGCGTCACGTCGTGGTTCACCGCGCTCATGGGTCAGATGTACTGCTTCGGAAAACTGAAGACGAACGGGGACAACACGATGTACCCGATTCCGTTTTTGGATTTACAAGGCTGGAACTTGCGATCCGTGGCGTGCGGCGCGACGACGTTCGCCGCGTGCGGCGAGAGAGAGGCGATCACGTGGGGCCAGGGCGGCGGCAACGGCGAGCTCGGGTACGGCGCGTCCGGCCCAAAGTCCAGCGCGAACCCGAAGCTCGTGGACTCGTTATCCGGGAAGATGGTGCACCGCGTGAGGCGCGTTCTATCTCACACTGGTCCCCGTACGACCGCGTCGGCGTGGTGAACGCCGTTCCTTAAGGACTTTTCCACACGGCGTTTCTCTCCGCCCAGGGTCCCTCGCTTTCAATCCCGACGCACCTCGACGCCTTTCAACTCCACCACTGACGCCTTTGAACTCCACCCCGACGTCGCTTCGTATGGACAATTACCCTCAGTTGCGGCGTCGGACACACGTGTTTTCTGATCGACGTGGCGGACGCGGAGGGACTCCCGGAGTTTACGCCGAACGAGCACGAAGCGAGGGCGAAGGGGCCGGGGCCGGGCGCGCACTTTAAGAAGGGCGCGGCGGGGAAGCTCGGGGCGAAGGGCGGGGTGAAGAAGGGCGCGGGGAAGAAGAAGTGATGTGAGGCGACGACACCACGCGGGAGAACGACAGACGACGGCGCGCGCGATAAAAATAATCGTCCCCGACTATAAGATACAACGAAAGGATCTACTACTGTACTGTACTCACTCATCTTCGCGTCGTCACGGCGCGAACCCGACTAACAGCGGGGTGACTCTCTTCGCGAACTCCTCGGGAAACTTCTCCGCGATCGCGTCCTCGATCTCTCTTCCTCGGTACCTCGCGCTGAAGTGTATCAGGAGCACGGCTTCGTTTTGGAACTTTCCGTCCCTCGCCGCCGCCGCGAGCTCGTCGATGTGCGTGTGCCCAAAATCCCGCGCCCCCTCTGGCGATACGGCGTCGTCCACGAACGTGCACTCGCAGATCAACAGCTTCGCCCGCAGCGCGTCCCTCGCGACGACGTCGACGTCGCCTTCGCCTTCGCCCCCCTCCGTCGCCGTCGCCGTCGCGCGCCGTATCCATTCTGCGGACGTGTCCCCCGTGAACGCCACCTCCGGGACTTCGATCGTGTCCGTGACCTTGGCGCCCGCGTCTCTCAGCGCTTTGATTTGCGCGCCCTGACGACGACAAGTGGCGACGCGGAGGGATGTGATTGGTCAGCGCGCGGTATTCTCGTGATGCGATTGGGCAGGATCGTATGACGTGGCGGATCGAGTGGCCGAGAACGAACGTCGTACGCACCGTCTTCCCCGCGTGTTCGGCTTTGAGCTTCTCCTTCGTGCCGTACACGACGTATCCCTGGCTCGCGACCGGGTGGATCGTCTGAAACGGCCGCACGACGTGCAGTTTCGACACCACGTGCGTCTCCCCTGGAGATATCGGCACCAAGTGGTGCGGTAACTCGCTCGCGTCGAGCTCGCGCAGCGATCGAATGAACGCGTCGAACGCCGCGGCGCGCTGATGAGGGGCGGAGTTGAAAGGCGTCAGGGGTGGAGTTCAAAGGCGTCAGAAGCGGAGTTTAAAGGCGTCGAGGTGTGTGCGTCGGGATTGAAACCGAGGGACCCTGGGCGGAGAGATGCGCCGGGAGAGAAAGTCCTTGAGGATCGGCGTTCACCGCGCCGACGCGGTCGTACGGGGACCGGCGCGAGAACAGAACGCGCCTCGGCGGGAATCAACACCGACGGAGGCGGCAACGACACGAGCGCGCGGCTCGCGATGTAAAACCCCGCGCCCCCGACGTGGTCCATGTGCGTGTGCGATAAGCACAGCGTGTCCGCGTACACCGCGCGCTGCGGGCATCGGCCGGAATCGAACGCGATCTTCAGCTGCGGGAGAATCACGCACGTCTCCTGCCCGCCGACGGAGACGCCCTCGACGCGGAACCCCGCGAGCGTGTGCACGGCGTGGCGCTCCTTGCCGCCGCGCGCGGACGACGAGGGGCGGCCCGCGGCGGCGGAAACGGCGGCGGGGTCGTTCTCCGGCATCTCCGCGGCCGCCACCGTGGACGCGGACGCGGACGCGGCGTCGACGTCGACCGCGACCGCCGCGCGGGGATCGCGAACGCCGCCGCGGTGCCTTCTTCCCTCGACGGTGGCGAGCGACGGATAACGCGCGGAGGCGGAGGCGGAGGCGGAGGCGGCGCGCGACCGTCCCGCCGCGAGTTGAAGCGCGAGACGGAACGGCGCGCGGGTCGTCGCGGCGGCGCGCATGCGACGTCGTTCGCGAGTCTCGCCCTCGCGCCGGTCGCTGTGCGCGGGCGACGCGCCGGTCGTCCCTTCCAGTCATCGATCACTCTCTGGATTAGAAGTCGTCTCGGAAGCCTCGACGCGCGACGGAAATTCATTCACTCCGTCGCGCGCGCCGCCGCCGCGTCGCGAGGACGGCGATGCCCGCGCCCGGGCCGAAAGATGGGCACATGTCCAAGTCCTCGCGCGACCTGAGCAAAGGGATCGCGGTGAAGAGCAACGGGTTCAAGTACGGCGGAGGGAGCAGAGAGGGCTGGGGCACGGGCGGGGGCAAAGGGCGGCGGCCCGGAAAGGGCAACGGCGCGCGCGACGTCGCCGCGCGCGAGCGCTTGCGCGAGCGGCTCGAGGCGCGGGAGAGGGCGAAGACGGAGGGCGGCGCGGAGATGCAGGCGTACGCGAAGGCGGCGGAGGCGGCGCGCGCGGGGGAGAAGAGGAAGCGCGACGGCGACGGCGGCGACGGCCGAGGCGAAGGACGCGAAGAAGACGCGGAGAAGGCACCGCGACGGATCGACGACGAATCGCCGGACCCGGAACCGGAACCGGAACCGGAACCGCGCGGCGCGAAGAGCGACGCCGCCGCGGAGAGGTACGAGTGCGTCACGTGCGGCGTCCAGTGCGGCAGCGCGGCGAACTACGCGTCGCATCGCGACTCGAAGCGGCACAAGGCTGCGGCGCAGCGCGAGAGAGGTGCGTTCTATACAATGGTTCCCATACGACGGCGTTCGCGTGGTGAACGCCGATCCTTAAGGACTTTGCCCGGCGCATCTCTCCGCCCATCCCTCGCTTTCAATACCCACCCTCGGCGCCTTTCAACTTCAACTGACGCCTTTCAACTCCACAGGGCGCGCGCTGCTCCGCGAGATGAAACGCGAGAGAGAGGAAGCGAAGAAGGCGACGGCGACCGCGACGGCGACCGCGACGGCGACCGCGGCGACCGCGGACGGCGACGGCGTGAAGTAGTCCTAGGTAGTGATGACGCGAGTGTTCGACGGCACGGTCGGTAGTAGTCGCGACGATCGATCGCATCGCGTGAACGACGCGTTCGTCCCAGCCTCGCTCGCGACCCCGGGAGGAGAAATAATGGTACGTGTAGGCGCGCCGTCGTATTAAGAAGCGCGGCGGTTCCGTACCCACCGCCGCGCCGCGTCGCGTCGCGTCGCGTCGCGTCCTCCAATCAAACACCGACACGTCATCAACACCAACCCATCCGTCCAATCAAATCCAATCAATCCATCACGATAACCCGACCACCCGATCCGTCTTCGTGTCGACGCTGATCTCGTAGTACGCCGGCCGAGTCGGCAACCCCGGGATGGTCGGAAACGCGCCGACGAGAGGGACGATGAACCCGGCGCCCGCGCTGCATCGCAAGTCGCCGATGGGCAGCGTGAACCCGCTCGGCGCGCCCTTGAGGTTCGCGTCGTGCGAGAACGAGTACTGCGTCTTCGCCATGCATATCGGCAAGCTCGCGAACCCTTGCGCGGTGAACATCGCGATCTTTTCCTCCGCTTGCTCGCTGAACGAGACGTCCTTCGCGCGGTACAGCTCGCATGCGATCTTCGAGATCTTCTCTTTGATGCCCATGGAGTCCGGGTACAAGAGTTTGAACTCCTCGGCGTCTTTGTTCTTCTCGCACGCCGCCGCGACCGCCTCCCCGAGTTTCGTCGCGCCCTTCCCGCCCTCCGCGTGGTGCGTGCACAGCACGCAGTCGTCCGCGCCCGCGGCGATCGCGGCGGCGCGAATCGCCTCGTGCTCCTCCGCGGTGTCGGACGGAAACACGTTCAGCGCCACAACCACGGGGACGCCAAACTTTTTCGTGTTCTCCACGTGCCGCGTCAAGTTGGCGACGCCCTTCTTCACCAGCTCGACGTCCTCGCGCGTGTACGCCTCCGCGAGCGGCTTCCCCGGGGTCACCGCGGGTCCGCCGCCGTGAAGTTTCAGCGCGCGGACGGTCGCGACGATGACCGCGGCGTGCGGTTTCAAGCCGCTGGAGCGGCACTTGAGGTGCATAAACTTCTCGAGACCGATGTCGGCGCCGAAGCCGGCTTCGGTGAGCACGAACCCGCCCTCGCCCACCATGGACAGCCCAATCTGATCCGCGATCACGGACGAGTTGCCGCTCGCGATGTTCGCGAACGGACCCGCGTGCACGAGCACGGGGGTGCCCTCGAGCGTTTGCATCAGCGTCGGTTTGATCGCGTCCTTCATCAGCGCGAGCAACGCGCCGGTGACACCTGGCGAGGGGGGACGACGCGGGACGACGCGATTGGTCAGGACGTGATGACGTGGCGTATCGAGCGGTCGGCATCGCATCGTATCGTTCGTTCGTCGTGAGAGAGAGAAGAATGTAGAAAGGTGTGAATCTCGAGCGCGCACCGAGATCGTCCGCGGTGACCGGGTTCCCGCATACGTCCGGCGCGACGACCATCGCGCCGAGCCTGCGTTCCATGTCCTCCATGCTCGTCGTCATCGCCAACACCGCCATGATCTCGCTCGCGACGGTGATGTCGAACCCGGTCTCTCGCGTGAACCCCTTCTCCGTGTCCGACTGCCCGATCGTGATCTTCCTCAAGAACCGGTCGTTCATGTCCACGACGCGGCGCCACGAGATGCGTTCGCGGTCGATGTCGAGCCGCGCGAATTTCGCGCGTTCCTCCGTCGTGAGCGCGTCGGCGTCGTCCCTCTTGTGCCCTAACCCGAGCCTCTCCAACCGCCCGCGCATGCTCTTCGCGAACGCGCCGCGCTTCCCGTCCTTCCCCTTGGGGCACAGGCGGTCGAACAGCGCCTCGTCCTTCTGCGTGAGCTCGTGGAACACGCGCTGTGGGGTCGTTCCGTACGAGCGATGATATCGGGGTGGAGTTCAAAGGCGTCAGAAGCGGAGTTGAAAGGCGTCGAGGGCGGGCGTTGAAAGCGAGGGACCCTGGGCGGAGAGAAACGCCGGGAGAGAGAGTCCTTAAGTATCGGCGTCCACCACGCCGACGCGGTCGTATGGGGACCAGTGTGAATAGGAGAACGCGCCGTGTCCACCGCCGCCGCGAGGAGATTATTCGCCGCGCCGATGGCGTGAATGTCCCCCGTGAGGTGCAGGTTCATCTCCTCCATGGGGATCACCTGCGAGTACCCTCCGCCCGCGGCGCCGCCCTTGATCCCGAACGTCGGCCCCATGGACGGCTGCCGGATGCACGCCACGGTGGGTCTCTCCAGGTGCGCGCCCATCGCCTGCGCGAGGCCGATCGTCGTCGTGGACTTGCCCTCGCCGAGCGGCGTCGGATTGATGCCCGCGACGACGACGTAGTATCCGCCGCGCCCCCCGGACGTGGTATCCGTCTTGCGACTCGCGACGCGCTCGCTGACTTTGGCTTTGTAGCGTCCGTACGGCTCGTAGTCGTCCTCGGCGAGCCCGCACGCGGCGGCGATCGTCTTGATCGGAACCGCGACCGCGCTGAGGGTCGTTCCGTACAAAGCGATGATATCGGGGAGGAGTTCAAAGGCGTCAGAAGCGGAGTCGAAAGGCGTCGAGGGCGGGGATTGAAAGCGGGGGGTGGGCGGAGAGATGCGACGCGCAAATGCCTTAAGGATCAGCGTTCACCACGCGAACGCGGTCGTATGGGAACCAGTGTGTGGAACGCGCCGCTGCGCGACGTCGATGTCCGCGGGGACGGGTGAGATGATGTCCGTCAGCTTGCGCAGGGACTGGCGCTTCGCCGCGTTCACGGACTGGCCGTTGCCCATGTCGGAGGAGGCGCGGTGGGGTGGTGGCGGGGTGGTGTGTGTGTGGGGGGGGCGCGTCGGTCGCGCGTGGCCGGCGCGGGGCGGGGCGCGGCGTGGAGTGACGAAGAGGCGCGTCGTCGTCCGATTCGAGGCGCCACGCGTCGGATCGAACGGCAGGAAGGCACCCAAGTGGATGATGAGACGTTGTACCCTAAACCACGTAACCCTAAAAATAGGGTTTAGTGTCTCGAACGACCGAGGCGTGATGAACAGGAAGTTGTTCGTTCTCGTCTGCGTCCTGTTGTCGTTGTTCGCGTTCGTGGATGCGAGGCGAGGACGCGCCAGAAGACGCGCGCGCGCGGCGCGCGGACTCGACGCCGTCGGCGGCGGGGCATCGCGCGAGCGCCTGCGGCGAACTCGACGTCCGTCCCGTCCGTTCGTTCGTCCGTCCGTCATGCGCGCGCCGCCGCCGCCGCCGCCGCCTCGTCATCATCTGGACGCCGTCGATCTCGTGCGCGACGCGCGCGACGCGTTCACCGACCTCGCGCCGGACCTCCCCGGCGCGGTGCTGTACCTCGACCGCGGCGCGGGCGAGGCCGCGCGCCACGGCTGCGGCCTCGGGCACCTCCTGAGCCTCGGCGCGGTGAACGTTCTGCGGCTGCCGCGCGCGACGCGCGACGACGACGATGCGTTCGACGACGACGACGACGCGTTCATCGACGCGCACGACGCGTTCGCCCACCCCGCGCCGACCGACATCGCGGGGCTCCCGATCGACCCGCGCGCGCCCGTCGTGATCGTCACGACGACGCTCCTCCAGCGCGCGAAGAGGGACATCGCGCGCGTCCTCCGAGCGCGTCACCCGGAGGCGACGCGAGCGACGGTGTACTGCGCGGTGAGCGAGGAGTGTCACTGCGCCGTCGCGCGCGCGCTGGCGATGGCGCGGCGAGATCGAGACGCGGCGGCGCGCGCGGACGAAGCGTACGAGCGCGTCGTGAGGGACCTGCGAGACGCGGTGAACGCGCCGTGGGGGCGGGGGGGCGGAGGCGGCGGCGCGGCGGGAGGCGCGCCCGCGCCGGCGACGCCGACGCCGAAGAATTCCGATGAGGTGCGTTCTCTACACTGGTCCCCATACGACCGCGTTGGCGTGGTGAACGCCGATCCTTAAGGACTTTGCCCGGCGTGTCTCTCCGCCCACCCCCCGCTTTCAATCCCCGCCCTCGACGCCTTTCAACTTCAACCGACGCCTTTCAACTCCACCCCGACGTTCGCTTGTATAGAACGGCCCTGACGCCGACAACGATTGGGGCGACGACGATTGGGGCGACGACGACTGGGGCGACGCCGACGCCTCCGACGCGAAGAAGGCGACCGTCGCCGCTCTTGCGAACGTCCCCGCGAACGTCCCGAACGTCCCGAACGTCCCGAACGTCCCGAACGTCCCGAACGTCACGAAACCGCGCGTCAACATCCCGTTGGACGCGAGGTACCTCCCGCTGTGCTTCGTCCCAATCGGCGCGCGCGCGTTTTCGTCCCCCGTCGGCGGCGCGGTCGCGTCCGCCGCGGTCGCGTCGATCGACGTGCGCCCGGGGTATCGGTCCACCGTCGCGCGGACGCTGCCGCCGGCGGACGACGGCACGGAGGAGGACGGCGTGGACGCGCCCGCGCCGCCGGGGATCGTCGTCCTCGCGAACCACCTCGCCGCGATCGGCGGGCGGCTTCGACGGAAGATCGAGTGTTTCGGCGTCGGGCGGACGTCGCGAGCGGTGGCCAGAGCGACGGCGGCGGCGGCCGCGCCGCTCGCGTTCGGGCCGATCGACACCGGCGGGAGGACCGCCGCGATCGTCGTCGTAGACCGGACGTGCGACTTGTTGTCGCTCGCGACGGGGGGCGCGTCGAGCGACGACGGGTTTTTTAGCGCGGCGAAGACGGCGGCGGCGGGCGCGGACGACGACGACGACGACGCCGACGAGACGCTGCCGCCCGCGGACGTCCGCGTCGCGCGCGATGGACGCGACGACGACGTCCTCGCGGCGACGACGTCGCACCCGCACGACGCGCGCGTTTTGGAGTGGACGAACGACGCGCTGGGGTCGAGCGTCTCGTCCGCGGCGGCGTCCGCGGCGGCGTGGCTGCGAGAGTGCCTCGCCGAGGAGCGCAACGTCGAGGACGCGCTCCCGCCGGCGACGCAGAAGTATCCCGGTCCCGGTCCCGGCGCCGGCGGCGGGGATCGAACCGCCGCCGCCGCCGACGACGTCGACGCGCTCGTCGACGCGTTGTCGTCGCGGGGCGCGCGCGTCGCGACGCGGCACCGCGGCGCGATCGACATCGCGCGCGTCGCGTCCGCGGCGGCGCGCGCGTCCGCGGTACGCGCGGACCGGTCCGAACGCGTCCGAGGGTTCTGCCGCGACGCCGCGAGAGAGGGCGCGGCGGCCGCGGCGTCGGGTGCGGGCTCCGGCGCCGCATCGGCGGCGGTGGCGAAGCGGTTGACGCGTTTTTTATCGAACGCCGTCAACGAATCGAACGACGCCGCGCTGCTGAGCGCGTCCGACGGCGCGAGGGCGGCGTTGGCGGGGTACGTCGTCGCCGCGGAGGCGGCGGCGACGGAGCGTCGTCTTCTCGCGCGGCTCCGCGCGGCGTCGGGGCCCGGGGGATTTCAACGGGGATCGACCGACCGCGACTACGACCACGACCGCGACCGCGAAGGCGGCGACGACTCGGACTCGGACGCGACGCGCGCGACGGCGAGCGGCGCGGGCGCGAGCGCGTCCCCGTTCGCGCGCGAGGACGAGCGCGCCGTTCGAGACGCGCTCGCGACCTTCGCGTCGCGCGCGCGGACGGCAGACGCCGCGGACGCGGCGTGGCTGGGAGAGGACGTCGTCCTCCGGCTCGCGCGCGCGCGCGAATCGGAATCGGAATCGGAATCGGAATCGCGCGCGGACCTCCCGAGCGGCGATGGCGGCGGCGAGCGCGGCGACGCCGCCGCCGGGTGGGACGCGGCGGCGGACGACGACGACGACGGATGGGGCGACGACGACGACTGGGGCGACGACGACGCGTGGGGCGACGGCGGCGGCGGCGGCGACCCAGACCCGAAAAAAAACACGCCGCCGACGCCGACGACGACGAGCGCTTCCGCCGTCGACGCCGCCGCCGCGCTGCGCCGCGACGTCCGCGATCGCGTGGACGCCTTCGCCTCCGCGGTCGCGCGCCTCGCGTCGACGCGCTTTAGGATGCGCTCCGCGGGAAGCCTCCTCCCCCCCGCGGCGAGCTCCGACGCGCACGTGCCGCTCCTCCGCGATCTCGCGTCGCGCGTCGCGCGCGGCGCCGACGGCGACCAGAGCGGAGGAGCGGGCGGGGGGGGATCCATCTCCGGGGACGTCCACCATGCGGTCTCGAGCCTCGGCGGGCTTCTGAAGACGGGGCTCGGGCGGTTCGGGTTGGGCGGGGTTTCCAAGCCGAAGCCGTCGGATCACGCGTTGGTGATCTTCTTCGTGATCGGGGGGTGGGTTCTATCTCACACTGGTCCCCATACGACCGCATTGGCGTGGTGAACGCCGATCCTTAAGGACTTTTGCCGTCGTGTCTCTCCGCTCACCCCTCGCTTTCGATCCCCGCCCTCGACGCCTTTCAACTTCACCTGACGCCTTTGAACTCCACCCCGACGTTCGCTCGTATGGACCCTCGACCCAAAGGATCACGCCGGCGGAGATGCGGGAGGTCAGCGACGCCGCGCGCGCGTGCGCAGCGCGCGGGAGCGGGGGGTCGAAGACGACGGAAATCCTCGTCGGCGGGACCGGGGTGGTGTCCCCGGTCGGGGACGACGTGTTCAGGTTATTAGTCGCCGGCGCCGCGCGCGCGTAGCGAGCGCTTCCGTTTCGTGAGTACCCTCACGGTCGAGCTCTCGTCGCCGCCGCTACACGTAGTCTATTCTCACGAGTCTTGCACGCGGCTATTCCTCATCCAGTCGCGTATGATGTCGTTGTACTGGTCCTTCACGCGCTGCGACAGCGGCACGAGGAACTCGCTCCGCGCCCACACCTCGTCCATCGGCATCCCGCCCTTCATGAGCTCGTTCCCGGACGCTTTGTTCTCCCGCGCCGTCCTCCGGCGTTCCATCTTTTCCTCGACGACGCCGCTCAACCTTCCGAGCAACGCGCCGACGACGCCGTCCGCGTCGTCGTCCACGCCACCGTTTTTCTTCTCTACAAACGCACGCGGCGGAGGCGTTTCCCGGTCAGACATCGCCACGAACCCCCCCGTGGGCCCGTCCATGCGCGCCTTCCCGTAGTCGATCCTATCGCCGTCGAACACGTACGTGGAGACGCCGCCTCTGAGGCCGACGCGCAGGTTCGTCCGCGCCGGCTGCGTCGTGAAATCGAACCACTGATCGACGAGCGGCGACACCCCACCGGGTTTGTCCAGCGCCGCGGCGGGGACGCACCACGCGTCCGCGTAGAGCGTCGTCCCGGACGACGGCACGACGACGCCGATGTTGGAGCTCTTCGCCGCGGTTTTCAAGACGTCGTCGGAGTTTCCGGCGATTATCCAAACGTCGCCGTTGCTCAACCCTTGGAGCGCGTCCAGGTCCACCTGCGTCGCGAGCTGCGTCGTGCGCAAGTCGTACAGACGGTTCCGCGTCGCGTCGTCCACGTCCGTCGCGTTCGCGGAGCGCCCGCCCGCGCGCAGCGCGACCGTGAGCATAAACCTCGAGCCGGACGCTATCCCGACTTTTTTTTTATACTGCGGCCGGAACAAATCCGGCCAATCCGTCGGCGGACGCAGACCGCGCGGGATCTTGTCCTTGCGGTACGCGATGAGGTAGCATCCCCATCGATACGGCACGCCGTATAGCTTCCCGTATCTTCCGTTATTGGCCTCCGCGGTCGAGGCTGACGCTGAAACGGCCGCGGAAGAGCCGTTACTATTAGCGTTCGCCCCCCTCTTATAACTCCCCGGCGGCGGCGGCGGCGCGGGATACCCGGAGGCGTCGCGACACGCCAACGCGCGCCACACCGCGGGCAGCCGCGCGTACCACTCCGCGTTCGCGACGTCGTCTGGCAGCGGCAAGATGAGCCCGTTCTGAATCGCGGGCGCGAGGAACTCGTCCCCCAACGAGACGACGTCCGCCTTGGCGATCTTAGGGCCGTTCCGTACGAGCGATGATATCGGGGTGGAGTTGAAAGGCGTCAGTTGAAGTTGAAAGGCGTCATATTGTCGGAGATTGAAAGCGAGGGACCATGGGCGGAGAGATGCGACGGGCAAAGTCCTTAAGGATCGGCGTTCACCACGCCGACGCGGTCGTATGGGGACTAGTGTGAGATAGAACAGAACGCGCCTTAGCTGACGAGCCTCCCTTCCCCTTCTTCTTCGGCGGCGGCGGCGTCGGCGCGAGGCCGCCGGGTCCGCCGCCCGGCGCCGCGACCATCGGTCGCGGCGGCGTCACCGCGACGAGGCCGTCGTACACGTCCTGCGGCGTCGTCCCCGTCGACAGCGACGCTTTGCCCTTCCCGGACATCGTTCGGTTGAACTGATCGCACCACTCCCCCGGCGCGGTCCCTCGAATTGAGACGACGTCCAGGGTCACGTTGAACGCGAACGCGGTCACGGGCGCGCCGTCGTAGACCATCTCCGTCGTCGCGAGGGACGTTGGGGGCGAGGCGGCGGCGAGCGGCGCGAGCGACGCCGCCGCGAGCGCGGCGCGGCGCGTCAGAGGGACCCTCAGAGACGGCGGCGCGTCGTCCGCGACGACGACGATCGATCGCGCGTCGAATCCAACAACGTCGTCATTTTCGGCGACTTCGGCGCCGAGGCGCGTCTCTCGATGGTCGCCGCGCGACGACGACGCCGACGCCGACGACGACGCGTCCGCGCGCGTCCGCGCGCGCGCGCGCGTCCGTCGCGCGCGCGGCGACGCGCTCGCCGGCGCGATCGACGCGGCCGCGGCGGCGCGCATGACGTTCTGATGACGGTCGGAGGCCTCTTCGCGTCCTGTCCACGGCTGGTTTATTTTTCTCTTCTGGTGCGAATTGATTATTTGTCTACGGGGCGGCCCGGCTACCGGCGCGCCGTCGACGCGAACCCGCCCGCCCTACGCGAACCCGCGCGCGCTCTCCACCGCCGCTCACTTCACTCCCACGTCATCTCCGCGATCTGCTCCGGCGTCAGCGGCGGACCCATCGCCGGGTCCTCGCTGAACGTGAGACCGACGAAGCTCCACGTCAGCGCCGCGAGCGCCGCCGCCGTCGCCGCTGTCATCCAACCCGGCGGTCCGTCCTCCGCTTCCGCTGATGACGTGTCGTATCCCCGGCCGCTCGTCGAGGTCCTCCTCGATTGTGAGCGTATCAGATCGTCCGACGTGTCGCCTCGCGATTGGTTCTTCTCCCGGCGTCGCCGTATCGCCTCGTCCGCGTCGCGCTCCTCGCGCTCCACCTTCGCGATCGACTTCCCGAGCGGCTGCGGCATCCGCACGCTGTCGGCGAAGGAAGAAGGAAAGGAAAGGAAGAAAGAACACGCGGAGTGAAACGATTGGTCAGTACTCGATGACGTGGCGAATCGTGCGGCGGTCACGCGTCGCGCGGTCAAACGGCGAATGAACGATGAAGAGGACGGGACGCACCGGACGTCCGCGCCGAAAAACGCGAGCACCTCCCTGGCCGCAGCCTCCGCCTATGCGAAGCGACGAATGTCGGGGTGAAGTTCAAAGACGTCAGAAGCGGAGTTGAAAGGCGTCGAGGTGTGTGCGTCGGGATTGAAAGCGAGGGACCCTGGGCGGAGAGACGCGCCGGGCGAAGTCCTTAAGGATCGGCGCGCACAACGCGAACGCGGTCGTATGGGAACCAGTGTGAGATCGATGGGACGTACCTCGATCGCCTCCGCGAGCGCGTCCGTCATCTCCTGGACGTCGTCCAAGTCCGCGCTGCCGTCCAAACTCCGCAGCCGCGTCTGTCGCAGCGCCTCCTCCGCGTCCTCGCGGTCTCGTCGTCGGTCCACCGCCGCGGCGACGCGGCGGTTGACGACGAAGAAGGACGTCAGGACGACGACGGACGCGAACGCGGGCGCGGGATCCGCGCGCGGTTCGAACGTCGTCGTCGGCGGCGGGGCGTAGGGCGCGGCGGCGTCGACGGACGCGACGAACGACGAGGAGGAGGAGGAGGAGGCAATCGGGAACGACTCCGACGACTCCGCGAAGAGGCGCGCCGCGGGGAGCGACGACGGCGCGGCGAGATCGAGGTCGAGATCTCTAACGACGACGGACGCGGACGGCGCGGCGAGGACGTCCGAGGCGCTCGGCCGCGCGACGACGACGACGACGCCGACGCCGCCCTCCTCCGCGGCGGCGAGCGACGGCGACGGCGACGCCGACGGCGGCGCGTCGAGCGTCGCGAGCGCTCGCGTCGACGACGCGCGCGGTCGCCGCCGTCGTCGCGCGACGCCGTCGACGCCCGCGACGACGACGTTTCGAGGACGTCGTCCATGTCGACGCCAAGTGGCGTCGGCGATGATGGCGCGCGACGACGACGACGACGACGACGACGGCGGCGACGACGACGCGCGCGCGGCCGCCGCGGTCGCGGACGACGCGCGCGCGGCGGCGCAGCGCGTCGGTGTCATCGGACGCCGCGCGAATCGAATCGCGAATCGACCCCGCGACGGTGGAAGTGCCGTCGGGAGCGCGGCCGGCGCGCGACGATGATGATGACGTGGGCGGAGACGCGACTCGCGCGCGAACTCGTCGCGTCGCGAACATTAAAACCCCAACGCCTCGCGGCCGCCCCTCCACACGCGCGACGCACGCCACCCCGCGCGTCGGACGCTCCGCCGTCCCCTTCGCGCCCCTCCGCCGTCGCATCGACCGACATGTCCACGACGCGCGCGCTTCAGCTTCACTCCGCGCCGACGTCCGCGCCGACCGCCGCGCTCTTCCGCCGCGCCGATCGCAGCAGATCGCTCCTCGCGGCGACGGCGACGCGTCGCAGAGCGCGAAAGGCCGCGTCCGCGATGACGACGACCGTCGCCATGGCGGCGGCGTCAGGCGGGCCCGAGCGCGAGACGCTCCGGTTCTTGACCGCGCGAGAGTGCGTCGACGTGAGGACCGCGCACGGCACGCCGACGTACGTGTACGACGCGGCGACGCTCAAGGCGCAGGCGGCAAAGGCGCTCGATTTCCCCAACGCGTTCGGACTCACCGTGCGCTACGCGATGAAAGCGTCGCCGAACGCGGCGATCCTGAAGATCTTTCGAAACGCGGGGCTGAAGATCGACGCGAGCAGCGGGCACGAGGTCCGGCGCGCGGTGCGCGCGGGGTTCGACCACGCGGACTGCTCGCTCAGCACGCAGGAGTTCCCGGAGTTTTTCGAGGAGCTCGTGAAGAAGGTGCGTTCTATACACTGGTCCCCGTACGACCGCGTTCGCGTGGTGAACGCCGATCCTTAAGGACTTTTCCCGGCGTCTCTCGACGCCCACCTCTCGGTTTCAATACCCGCCCTCGACGCCTTTCAACGCCAACTGACGCCTTTGAACTCCACCCCGACGTTCGCTTGTATGGAACGACCCTAAGGGACTCAAGGTGAACGCGTGCAGCTTGTCGCAGCTGGAGGCGTTCGGCGCCGCGTTCCCCGGCGCCGAGATCGGCCTGCGGTTCAACCCGGGCCTCGGCAGCGGCGGCACGGGGAAGACGAACGTCGGCGGGCCGTCGAGCTCGTTCGGGATCTGGCACGAGCTCCTCCCGGAGGCGAGGTGCGTTCTATCTCACACTGGTTCCCATACGACCGCGTTCGCGTGGTGAACGCCGATCCTTAAGGACTTTTCCCGGCGTCTCTCTCCGCACAGGGTCCCTCGCTTTCAACCCCATCTGACGCCTTTCAACTCCACCCCGACATCGCTTTGTATGGAACGACCCTCAGAGCCATCTGCGAGAAGCACGGGCTCAAGGTGGTTCGCATCCACACGCACATCGGCAGCGGCAGCGACCCCGCGGTGTGGCAGAAGACGTCCGGGATGAGCTTAGACCTGTGCCGCGAGTTTCCCACCGTCGAGACGCTGAACCTCGGCGGCGGGTACAAGGTTGGGCGGATGGCGTACGAGAAGAGCACAGACCTCGCCGTCGTCGGCGCGCCCGTCAAAGCGCTCTTCGAGGCGTTCGCGAAGGAGACCGGGAGAGAGTTGAGACTCGAGATCGAGCCCGGGACGTTCCTGCTCGCGAACAGCTGCGCGATCGTGTGCACGGTGCAGGATAAGGTCACGACGGGCGCCGCGAGCGACGGCGGGCACGTCTTTTTGAAGCTCGACGCGGGGATGACGGAAGTGTTGCGGCCGTCGCTGTACGCCGCGCAGCACCCGCTCGTGACGGTGTCGGCCGCGACGGGGAAAGAGCCGGAGGGCACCGAGAAATACGTCGTCGTGGGGCACTGCTGCGAGAGCGGCGACCTGATGACCCCGGGGCCGGACGACGCGGAGGAGATCGCGGAGCGAGCGATGGGGGAGGTGGAGCGCGGCGATCTGTTGGTGGTGGAAGGCGCCGGCGCGTATTGCGCGGGCATGAGCGGGAAGAATTACAACTCGTTCCCCGAGGCGCCGGAGGTGATGCGCACCGCGGAGGGGACGTTCCACGTCATCCGAAAGAAGCAGAGCTTGGAGCAGATCATGGCGAACGAGGTGGAGCTGCCGGACGACGCGTGCTGATCTGATTGACGAGGATCGGCGGTTCGAGCGAGGAAGGAGAAGCGCGGGCGAATATTTATTGGATTCGATTGTTGACTCGGGGAGAGAAGAAATTTTTTAAATCTTTCAGTTCTGTTCGTCTCCTCGGTCGCGACGAGGGGGCGCTCGCACTCGCCTCCGCGCGTCTCCTTCGCTCGCCGCGCGCGCCTCGCGACATCGCGCGGCGGGGGCGCGATGACGGACGCGACGACGGACGCGACCGCCGCGCCGCGGGACGCCGCGCCAAAGGGCGACGACGACGTCGTGAACAAGAAAACCGTCGACCAGACGACGAGATCCGCATCTTCCTCCCCCGCGGCGCCGACGACGCCGCCGCGCGAGCCGTCCTCGCCGCCGCCGCGCGCGGGCCTCGACGCGTTCAAGACCGCCGTCGAGCGCCGCGGCCGCGAGCTCCGTGCGGCCGTCGCCGCGTCCGTCGCGTCGACCGCCGTGATGGGCCGCGGTCGTCGTCGTCAGATCAGGCGCGTTCTCCTTCATACTGGTCCCCATACGACCGCGTCGGCGAGGTGGACGCCGATCCTTAAGGACTTTTCCCGGCGTCTCTCTCCGCCCAGGGTCCCTCGCTTTCAATCCCGACACACCTCGACGCCTTTCAACTCCGCTTCTGACGCCTTTCAACCGCACCCCGACATCATCGCTCGTACGGACCCTCGACCCTCAGTCGCCCTCGCCTCGACACGTCGCACTGGGTCCCGGACGCGTCCGTCCGCGCGTGCGCGTCGCTCGCGTGCGCGACGCCGTTCACGCTGACGCGCCGGCGGCATCACTGCCGCGGATGCGGCGGCGTGTTCTGCGCGCGATGCGTCGACGCGAGGCTGCTGTTCGACCCGCGGACGTCGCGGCCGACGCCCCGGGGGGACGTCGGCGCCGTCGAGGGAAGGGTATGTCGCGCGTGTTACGAGCGCGCGTTCGACGAGCGCGTTGGGGCGCGGGGCGCGGGCGGGTGGGAAGACGCGACGGGGGTGGACGAGGAGGAGAGCGACGACGACGACGACGACGAGTTCCACGACGCCACGCCCGTCGCCGCGGACGACGACGACGACGACGACGACGACGACGTTCTTAAGGAACGGCGTTCACCACGCGAACGCGGTCGTATGGAAACCAGTCACGACGACGTCGAGAGAAGAGAAGACGAGCGAAACCAAAACCGAGACGACGACGACGACGACGACGACGACGACGACGGCGACGCGCGCGAGCACGGGATCGATTCCGTGTACAAGTCCCCGCCGGTGAAGGTCCCGAGCTCGAGCGCGAAGACGCCCGGGAGCGTCGACGCGACGCCGCCGGCGAGCAGCTTCGAAGCCGCGCGCGCGAGGATCGAGGCGTTTTCGAAAAATCCAGACGGAGGCCCCGGGCCCGGGCCCGGACCCGCCGACGCCGCCGCGAAAGCGAAAGCGAGAGCGTCCTCCGACGCCGACGCGGAGCAGGTCGCGCGCGAGACGAGCGAGCTCTTGTGCGATACCCCTCGCGCGATGAAACGCGCGTCGCCCGGGACGATGCGCGCGCTCATCTCCCGGTACGCGCGGTTGCTGCGGGAGCAAGCGAGGCTCACGGAGGACGCTAGAGAGGTCGCGAAGACGGTGCGTGCTCGACCACAAAATGATTTCTTCTTCCACGTCATCAAATCTGTCGCATACATGTCACCAAATCCTTCTTACATGTCATCGCATCGGATCACGCGCTGACCAATCGATCGCCTCCACGTCGACGACTTGACTTTGACAGCGCCGCCGCGAGAAGGAGACGATCGAAAAAGAGCTCGCGCTCGCGCGCGCGCAGGTGCGGCGCATGGGCGCGCTGTGGGAAGAGCTCACGGACGCGAGGAACGAGCTCGAGCGGCGGCGGGTCGCGGACGCGGACGCGGAGAAGGAAGGATCGCACGGAACCCGCGAGCGAAGAGCAGACGGGGAGCCGCCGCCGCAGCTCGGCGGCGCCGGCGGCGGCGCGAATCTTCTCTCGACGGTGGAGTACCGCTTCGGGGAGTCGTCTAAGGTGCGTTCTATACACTGGCTCCCATACGACCACGTTCGCGTGGTGAACGCCGATCCTTAAGGACTTTTCCCGTCGTCTCTCTCCGCCCAGCCCTCGCTTTCAATCCCCGCCCTCGGCGCCTTTCAACTTCAACTGACGCCTTTCAACTCCACCCCGACATTCGCTCGTATGGAACGACCCTAAGTCTCCCCCGTTCGCGCCGTGGACGCGCGCGGTGGCGTGGCACGACGACGCCGGGATGGCGTGGGTGAACATGTCCGACGGCGGGTACGCGTGGAGGGTCGAACACGCGGACATGCGAAGCGCGGCGGCGGCGTTCGACGAAGCCTCGGGGGCGTCTTCTTTCGTCTTGACGCACGGCTGTGTTTCCGACGCGGCGGCGGCGGGCGGCGGCGGCGGCGCGACGACGCGCGTGGAGTTTCGGTGCGACGGCGGCGTCGCCGCGTGCCGGTGGGCGCGGACGTTGGACGAGCGCATCAAGCGACGCGAAGCGGAGGCGGTGTAGACAGACGCGGATGTTCAGAAGAAGAAGACGACGAGTTGGACGACGTCGAGTGATGAGAAGGCAATTTTTTGCGACGTCTGATACGACAGCAACACCTGGAGTCCTGTCGTCGGTCGCTCGTCGTCGACGCCGCGACGCCGCCGCGGCGGTCGATCAGTTGAGCTGATACAACCCGAGCGCGGGCCCGACGAGCCGGAACAAGACCCAACAGAACGCGAGGATCCCCGCCCCCCAGAACGACCCTTTGTTCATCCACCACAACACCCCGGGCTCGCCGCTCCACGCGCTCCACGCCTTGTCCCCGAATCCTCTCGCGTCCCACGCCCCCGGGTCCACCTCCCACTCCCCTTTGGGATAGTTCGTCTTCGCCTCCGGGTACGAGTCGAAGTACCCGGAGTCGCCTCCCTTCTTGTTCTTCCCTTTATTGCGCTTCAGTCGAGCTTCGATGGCTTCGATGTCGTCTTCTTCGCTGGCCGCCGCGCGCGTCGTCGTCGCGAGCGACCGTCGTCGTCGAAACGCGATCGCGCGAGAGGATCGCGGGGCGAGGCGGACGCGCGTCGGCGTCGGCGTCGGCGTCGACGCGCCGCCGCGGGCGAGCGACGAGGACGCGCGCGTCGGCGACGCGCGCGGGGTCGTCGTCGTCGTCATCGCGCGGACGCTCATCGTCGTGAAGAAACCCGCGAAGGCGTCCCGCGCGGGCGTCGATGACGTCGAGCGACGTTCGAGGGGGGGGGGTATCGTATCCGCAAGAAGTTTCGTTCGGCGGCGGCGCGCCGCGCGCGCCGCTGGAAAACCAACCGAAAAGCGATGCACGCGGCGCGAAGGAAGCGCGGCGACTCGTCGACGCGTACCGCGCGCTAACATTGATACCAACGTCTCTACGGACGTCGCGACGCCCCCCCCCTCAACTCCGCCGCCAACGCGTCATCACGACAGCTCCGTCAACGCCCTCTCCACCGCGTCGTCCGCCGCGACGTTTCTCCAATCCGCCGCGACGTCGTCGAAGTGATCGTCGAAGTCGACGATCGCCGCGGCGACGCCCGCGGCGTGACACCGCGCGACCCCGGCGCGCGCGACCGCGCTCACCCTCAGCGCGCCCTCCTGGTCGCCGACGCGTTCCCACCCTCCGCCGCCGCCCCTTTTGAACGCCGCGACCGCGACGGGACCTATCGACGCGTCCGCGTTATTCGCCGTCGCCGCCGCGAGCTTTTCCGCGGAAATCAGCAGCGCGCGCGCGTCGACGCCGCGCTCCCTCGCGACCGCGGCGACCGCGTCCGCGATCTTCCGCGCGCCGTGACCGAGCGTCTCGTCTCCCGCGAGCTCGTTGCCGTGGTAGTACCCCACGAGTGTTCCCGCGCCCGAACTCGACGCGTGCGTCGCGGCGTGCTCGAGCGCGATCTCGACCGAGGGCGTCGCGCAGCCCGAAGTCGCGGCGTGCAGCATCGGGACAACGTCGGTGACGACCACCGCGGCGCCGTCTTCCGCGGGGGACCCGAGGAGGACGCCGCACACCGCGCGCGTCGGGTGTTTCAGCTGTGGAGGGAGCGGGGGGAGGGGGGGTGGTCAGGCGGACGGAGGGAAGGGACGTCGCGAGGGAGTCAGATCGATCGACGGGATGATGATCGATCGTCGGCGGACGCGAAGACCGACGCGCGATGGATGTCGGATGATGCGGCGGCGGGGTGCGCGGATCGCCCGGCGCGCGCGCACCGCGTGGAGGAGCATCTTGACGTAGGCCTTGTCCGCGAGACGATATTCGACCCCCATCGCGCCGCGTTCGTGGGTCGCGAGGCGGGCGCCGCGGAGAGTGACGGGAAGGGGGACCGGGCGAGACGCGACGGGAAGGAACTCAACAGAAAGTGGATTCGCGAGAGCCGTTGTCGCGTCGGTCCGTCCCGCGAGATCCCTCCCCCGACTGCCAGAGCCGTCGGCGCTTCCGCCGCCTCCCCGGACCGGTCCTCTCGGTGCCCACCCTGGGGATCGGAGGGCGCGCGGAGGCGAGGGAGCGCGCGGCCGGCGCGCGCGGCGAGCGACCGCGGCGCGGCGGCCGCGCGGAGGGAGGCGCGCGGCGTCTCGATCGACGGTTCCCTTTTAGGAGCTGACCGCCGTCGCGCCCGCTCGCTTCTTCGAGTCCCTCGAATCGACCGAAGAAGCGCGCGCGCGGGGGCGATGACGTCCGTCGCGAGCGCTCCCGCTCCCGGCGACCCCGGCACGCTCCCGCCGTGGGTCAACCGCGGTCGCGAGGACGCGCTAGACGCGCTCGACGTCCCGAACCCGATGCTCGACCGCGTCTACGCCGCGGTCGGCGGCAACGCGACGTTCGCGGTGCACCCCCCGGTGATGCACTTCGGAGGGTACGAGCTCGGGAAGGTGCACGCGCAGCGCTTCACGGTCACGAACGTGAGCGCCGCGAGCAAGCGCATCGACGTGATCGACACGAGCACGGCGTACTTCAAGACGAAGTTCAAGAAGCGCGGGCTGCTCGCGCCGGGGATGAGCGAGACGATCGAGGTGCAGTTTTGCGCGACCGAGCCTAGGGTGCGTTCTATCTCACACTGGTCCCCATACGACCGCGTCGGCGAGGTGAACGCCGATCCTTGAGGTCTTTTGCCGGCGTCTCTCTCCGCCCACACCTTGCGTTCAATCCCCGCCCGCGTTGCCTTTGAACTCCACCTGACGCCTTTGAACTCCACCCCGACATCGCTTTGTATGGAACGACCCTAAGTATTTTTACGACTGCGTCCGCGTGCGCAACGAGGATGAAAACATCCTCATGCCGATCCACGCCTACCCGGTGATGAACGACGTCGTGTTTCCGAAAGTGATCGACTTTGGGTTGTGCGGCGTGAACACGGCGCACGTGCGAGAAGTGAAGCTGCGGTGTAAGGCGCGTTCTAGTATCACACTGGTCCCCATACGGCCGCGTCGGCGCGGTGAACGCCGTTCCTCAAGGACTTTCTCTCCCGGCGCATCTCTCCGCCCAGGGTCCCTCGCTTTCAATCCCGACACACCACGGCGCCTTTCAACTCCACCCCTGACGCCTTTCAACTCCACCCCGACGTTCGCTCGTATGGACCCTCGACCCTAAGGCGCCGCTCGCGTTCGAGTACGAGCTCGCGCCCGAGAGCGCGTCGCCGACGTTTGACGTCGAGCCGCGGAGAGGCGTCGTCCCGGCCAACGGCGAGGTCGTCGTCCGCGTGACGTTCCGCCCGACGACGCGGACGACGAGCGTGATGAACCTGAGGGTGGACCTGTCGCAGTTTAACTTCGAGCCGTTCGTGTGCGTCGTCCGCGGGACCGGGTTCCCGTCGGTGACGAGAGACGAAGGGCTGGCGGAGACGTTCGGCTTCGGCGCGTCCCATACACTGGTTTCCATACGACCGCGTCGGCGTGGTGAACGCCGATCCTTAAGGACTTTGCGCGGCATCTCTCTCCGCCCAGGGTCCCTCGCTTTCAATCCCGACACACCTCGCCGCCTTTCAACTCCACCCCTGACGCCTTTCAACTCCACCCCGACGTCGCTTCGTATGGAACGCACCTTAGGCGACGACGCGTCGCTCTACGACGCCACCGGACGACCCACCCGCACCACCCGCGCGCTGGTCGGCGGCGAGACGACGACGTCGATGAAATCCCGCCACTCACACCTGTACGGCCGCACGACGCGGACGTTCGACGGCGGCGCGATCGCGGACGGCGACCTGTCGTTCCCCCCGGGCGGGTCCCCGTTCGGGCCTCGAGGCGCGGGCGGCGCGGCGACGGCGTCGAAGAGCCGAAGCGCCACCGTCGCCGCGCTCACCGCGTCGTACAACGCCGACACCGGTGTCGATCGCATCATGGGCGGCGGCGGGCGGAACATGACCGAGATCGAGTTCGCGATGGCGCCTCGCACCGGCGGCGGCGCGGGCGGCGGCGACGCGTACACGGAGTACGTGAAGGTGACTCGCGCGCGAGAGGCGGAGGCGCGTCGAGAGGCTCAGATGCGGCGACTGATGGCGGGGCAACGCGACGCCGACGGAGGGTTGATGCGGACGTCGCCGACGAAGCTGATGCCGCTGCCGCATCGCGCGGTCGCGGCGCGGGAGAACGCGGAGAACGAACGGCTGGACCGGGAGTGGACCGAGCCGAAGCCGAGCGCGCCGCCGCCGGGGCGCGGCGGCGGCGGCGGCGGCGCGGACGGCGCGGTCGGACCGCGCGCGCGGCGACTCGCGAGGACGCTTCGAGCGGAGGATAAGAAGCGGACGGGGCGCGATTTCGTGGGCGACGAGTACGAGGAGGAACACGGCGAGCTCGAGTTCGACGGTCTGGTCCTCCCGAGACGTCTGAACGGCCACGGCGCGGTGCAGCACGTGTTATCCCAGCGCAGAGGACGGCTGCGCGCGAAGGATCTACGCGCCGCCGTCGCGGACAAGCGCCATCGCGACGAACTCGCGGAGCGCGAGATCGAAGAGATCGAACGCGAAGCCTCCGACGCGACGCTAGGAAGAGTCGCGGAGGCGATGGACGCGCTCCCCGGCGGCGGCGCGCACGGCGCGCTCGCGGCGTTGGACGACCCGACGGTGGACGATAGGGTAAAGGAGATTCTCTTCGAGCGGGAATTCGCGCGCGTGCGCGAGTTTGAACGAGTGAAGGAGGTCAAGACGTGCGTCGCGGTGGGCGACGACGTCCTCGACGAGATGGAGAGGCGCGACGCGATTCGGAGGTGCGACGACGCGGAGAACGCGCGGCGGACGATGCTCGCGAACGAAGCGCTCGCGGAGATGTCGGACGGTCGGACGCCGTGGCCGAAAGCGGCGGCGCTCGGGCGCGGCGCGTCGTACGTCGTCGAGGAGGAGCGCGCGGACGCGGACGCGGACGCGGACGCGGAATCCGAACCGACGGATCCTGAAGGCGAACCGTCGACGTCGACGCCAACGTCCGCTGCGACGAGGACGCCAAAGTACGACGAGACGACGAACGATTCGTGGAGGATGCGCGCGGGGATCGCGCGAAGGTTTATCCAAGCCGTCCGCCGCGTCGTGTTTCAAAACCGCGCGGCGAAGCGCCTCGCGGGGATTCGAAAGCTCATCGCCGCGTTCGGGGATAAAGCGCGCGCGGCCGCGTTCGTCGCGCACGAGTTTCTCGCCGGCGCCGGCGGCGGCCCGAAGCCGGACCCGGACGTCGTCGCGGTCGCGAAGATGTCGAGACTGAAGGTTTACGACGCGTCGTTCCCGACGTATCGCGCGTCGAACTTTCGAACGCGCGCGCCCGTGGACATCGCGGACGGCACCGGGATCAAACCGTGGGAAGACGTCGAGCTCATGCCGTTGCGTGCCCCGCTGGAGTGGAAGGTGAAGAAGCAGTACAACACGTTTGACGACGCCGCGGGGAAGTTTCCCGCGCTGTTCGACCACCAGGACGTCGCGCCCGTCGACGGCGTCGCCGTCGTCCGGGGCGCGGAGGAGGAGGAGTCCGCGCCGCAGCCGAGGCTGGCGCTCGACCCCGACGGCGACGGCGCGCCGCCCGCGCTTCCCGGCTCTTCCGCCGCCGCCGAATACGCCGACGACGCCGATGCAGACTCCATCGCGCCGCTCGCGCCGCCGATCGAGCCGATCGCGGACGCGCGGGTCTACCCCGAGGACTCCGACGTGCTCGCGGCGCGCGTCGCGTGCGCGGGCGAGGACCCACTCGACTCCGCGGTTCGACCGGCGACGTACGCGCACGCCGACTCGCTCACGCGCGAGACCCCCGCGGTGAACGCGCTCGCCGCGCTGCGGGCGGTACCGACGCTGTCGGACGTGTGGCGGCCGCGACGGGACGCGTGGCGACCGCCCCTTGTGCCGCCGGCGTTGATGGAGGCGCCGGCGGCGGAGGACATGATGGAAGACGCGCTCGCCGAGGGGACGGGGGGGCATTTCGGCGGCGTGGAGATACCGCTGGTGGCGCCCGACGGGTTGCCGACCCCGGCGCGCGTCGCGAAGGAGTTTTATTTGCCGAGGGCGGAGGAGGAGAGGGAACGCGCGGCGGCGAGGGCGGCGGAGGGCGGCGGCGGCGGGGAGGAAGAAGCGTCCGCCGCCGCCGACGACGACGACGACGACGACGACGACGCGCCGCCGCTGATGCCGCGCTTAGCGAAAGAGAAAGAGCTCGAGGAGGAGACGAAGAAGCGACGGAGGGAGCTCATGTCTCGAATGCGCGAGCGCGCGATCGAGGAGAACGCGCGCATCATAGACCCGAAGCTTCGTTGGGAGTTGTAACTGAGTTATAACGACTGTAGGAATCAATCACGAGCGCGACGCGAGCGTCTGACGCCGACGCGAGCGTCCGACGAACGCCGCCGCCCATGGTCTCACCTCACCTCATGGTCCCACCTCACGCCGTCGCCGCGGCCGCCCCCGCGGCGGGCGGGTCCTGCCCCTGCACCTTGTCGAACTCCATCACCCTCACCCCCATCGCTTCCAGCTTCGCGAGCAGCGCGCTCTCGTTCACCTGCGGATCGTTCCATACAAAATACAGTAGTTCATCGGTCAGTTGAAAGAAGACGCGATCAAATGTTGAAACCGGGCGGTGGGTGAAAAACAGAACGTTTGTATAGAACGCACTTGCGGAAACTCCGCCAGACCCGTCGGCAGGTGCGCGAACCCCTGCAAGTCCACGTCCTTCCCGGCTCTGTACTCGTCGAAGTCCGTCATCGTCACGCCTTGCGCGTTCAAGAACTCCGTGATGTCGTCCACGACGCCTCGCTTCCACGGCACGCTGAGATGCGCCTTGCGAACGAACGGCACGAGAGGCGACGTCCGGCAGTACGGCCCTTTGATGTCCTTCGACGTCTGTCGCGCGAAGTCGACGTCCAGGTGCTCCGGATCGAACTTCGCGAGCGCGGCCTTGATCTTCTCCGCGTCGCCGTCCGCGACGAGGAACATCTGCGAGAACCGCCCGCCCAGGCGGCACGACCTCGACTCCTTGATCTCCCCGCCCGTGCCGCAGATGGCCTTACGAGTATGGCCATTCCATACGAAGCGACGTCGGGGTGGAGTTCATAGGCGTCAGGTGGAGTTGAAAGGCGTCGAGGTGTGTCGGGATTGAAAGCGAGGTGTGGGCGGAGAGACACGCCGGGAAGTAAAGTCCTTTAGGAACGGCGTTCACCACGCGAACGCGATCGTATGGGAACCAGTGTGATGAATACGCGCCTTGTGCGTCTTGGAGAAGATCTCGCCGCAGTCCAGGCCGGACATGTGGACCAGGACCTGCCCGACGCGCGATGGCGCGGAGCCGTGGAACGCAGCCGTGGAAGACGCGAGCGGCGGCGGCGCGGACGCGCCCGTCGCGTTCAGGAGCGCGCGCGCGGAGTTCGTGGCGAGGCGGCGGAGCATCGTGACGACGACGGCGGGCGGCTCGCGACGCGCGATGGTTGGATGAAGCGACGACGCTTGGCGACGCGTTTATCCGATTCTTACAGATCTCCTGACAGCCGCAGCCGCAGCCGAGCAGATCGCATCGGCGCCGTTGCGTTGGCGGCCGACCGTTTTACCGTACACGTACACAGAGCATTTAGTCAGAGTACGAAAGAACGCGTACGTAGACGTTTGATTTCTCGTTCTTTTTTCGCGCTTTTTTCGCACCCCTTTTTTCGGCGGAAGGCCCGGCGCACGATCCGCCAAAAGCCTGCCAAAAGCCTGCCAAAAGTCAGTCGTGGTTCGAGCTTCACACGCGGCGCCGAGCCCGCGCCCCCCCGCGCGCCTCCTCGCGCGGCCGCGGCGGCATGTCGACGCGCCGCGACGCCGCCGCGGCGCCGTGCCCCGGCGACGCCGTCCTCGTCGGACCGTGGCCAAACTTCCTGGGCGGCGGATACTCGTGCGAGGACGAAGCGCTCGTGCGCGCGTTCGGCGGCCCTCTCTACGACGACGTCGACGACGCGCGTTTCGCGAGCGCGACCCTCTGCGCGCCGGGCGAGGTCGCGGCGTCGTGGCCGTCGTGGCTCGGCGGCGGCGTCGCGTGCCTGACCGCGCCTCCGCCGCCTCCGCCGCCGCACGGACTCGACGGCGTCCCGGTCGCCGCGGTCGCGGGGGTCGCCGCGCGCGACGACGACGACGACGACGACGACGACGACGACGACGCGCGCGAACGTCTGGACCAGCTCGTCAGCGCGCAGGCGACGCGGCTGCGCGACGCGCGCGCGCCGCCGCCGCCTACACCGCCGCCGTGGACGACCGTGGACGTGCGGCCGATGGAGGCGCTCGAGCGCGACGGCACGCGATCGGGGTGGTGGTCGGACGCGCTCGCGTCGCCGCCGTCGCCGTCGCCGTCGCCGCCTATACCGCCGCCGTCGTCGCGACTCGAGTACTGGTTCTCTCTGCCGACGTTATTTATCGTGCTCGGCGCGCCGGCGCTCTGCTGCGCGTTCGTCGCGCGTCGCGCGCGTCGAGCGCGGCGCTGGCGCGGGCTCGACGACCACGACGCGCGAATAACGCGCGCGAAGGAGCTCCTCGGCGCGTCCGCCGCGAGCGTCGCGTCCGCGGAGCCGGTCCGCGGCGGCGGCGGCGGCGGCGGAGGTGAGACTGCTTCCCATACGACCCCGTTCGCGTGGTGCACGCCGTTCCTTGAGGACTTTGCCCGGCGTCACTCTTCACCCGCGCTTCCCTTTCAACGTTTGACCGGTAAGACGTTCGACTGACCGATCGCTTCACCCACGCAGGCGGCGGCGGCGGCGGCGGGGGAGAAGGAGAGCGCGAAGAAGACGAACCCGAAGACGAAGAAGACGCGTCGTCTCGAGTGGTCGTCCGCCTCGAGGGTTGTTAGTTCTGGCGGGCGCCTCTTCATCTTCTACCGTCTACGCTATTTCAAAGTAGTGTAAGGGGAAGAAGAGTGGCCCACACGGCGCCGGTCGACCGCCGCCGCCGACTCGCGCGCCTCGCCCCGGTTATGTACGCTCGTTATCGCTCTCGTCTATCGATCGAACGCGCGGCTCCCTATGACCCCCCCCGTCGACGCGCGCAGCGCGGCGATCTTCTGAAGCTCGCGCTCGCGCTCGCGCTCGACGCGCTCGCGCTCTAACCGCTCCGCGCGCAGGCGGACGATGTCCGACGGCGAGAACCCGGGCCGGTGACCGCCAAGTTTGGGCGTCGTCCGCGGCGGCAACCCGTGGATCTCCAGATGACGCCGCATCTCTCTCCGCGCCTTCTTCTCGCGTTTCTTCTCGAGCTTCTTCTCCCTCTTACGCGCCGCTCTCTTCTTATCCTTCTTATCCTTCTTATCCTTCTTGTCCTTCTTGCCCTTCTTGCGACGTTTCCGGTCCCGCCGCGACGACGACGACGACGACGACGACGACGAACTCGAACTCGAACTCGACGACGAATCCGCCGCCTCTGGCAATAACGACGCTCTCGCGCGTCGCTCCTCGTCGTCGTCCCCGTCCCCATCGTTCTCCCCCCGCGACGACCTCTTCTTCTCCGTCACACCCCCACCGCGCGAGAGCAGCGCCTCGCGCTCCTCTCGCTCCCGTCGCACCTTCGCCGGGAGGCTCTCGCCGAGCCCGCGGCGTTCGTCCGCGTCGTGGAACGAACGCTCCGCGCGCGAGTACCACGGACGATCCTCGCGGTTGAATCCGCCCAGCCGCGCGTCCTCGTTCGGGCCATCTCGCGGCCGCGCCCTCGCTCTCGCTTCCTCGACCGCGAGCTTCTCGAGCTCGCGCTCCTCCTCCGCGAAGAAGTTGATGTGCTCCGTGGGGAGGCGCGCTTCAGCGTCGTCGAGTTCGAGTTCGTCGTCGTCGTCGCGTCGGCGCTTCGACGCGCGCTCGCGCAGCGCGACGAGATTCGACTCGCGTCGCGCGTCGTGCCTCGCCGCCTCCTCCGCAGCCTCCTCCGCGGCGGCCTTCTCCTCCGCGTCTCTCACCCTCTGTCGCTGCGCGGGGCCGTAGACGTTCCAGGACTTCTGCGGGAGGATATTCAGCCCGCCGTGGCCGCCGCCGCCCTTCCCCATCGTGCCCGCCCACGGGTGGAGGGGCGGCGCGACGGGGAGTGATGCGGAGAGACGAAGAATTCGTTCCTCATCAGGTGCCGTGCCGCTGCCGTTCGCGTTCATCGCTCGGGTCGTCCGCAATTCTTCAAATTCTTCGTCATTCCCGCGCGCGCGCCACCCCCCTCCCGTCGATGCCCCGCGCGTTCGCCGCCGCGCTCGGCGTGAAGCACTCGACGCTCCTCGGCGCGTTCGCGAGCGCCGGCGTCCCGGTCTCGTCCCTGCGCGGCGACATCCCGCTCGTCATGCTCGCGACGCTCGGCGCGATCCTCGCCGCGCAGATAATCTCCAAGCTCCTCCTCCGCCCTCTCCGCGACCGGCGCGAACCTCGGGACGCGCGCGAGCCGTCCGTGGTCCTCGTCACCGGCGCGTCGAGCGGCCTCGGGAAGCTCGTCGTGGACGCGGTGTCCGAGGCGTTTCCGAGCGCGGTCGTGTACGGCACCTCGCGCAGCGGATGGCAGCCGCCGAGAAAATTGCCGTGGTCGCCGAGTCGGTCTCCGAGAGGGATCGAGCCGCGCGACGACAACGGTGAGAGGCTGACGGACGGGCTGCTGCAGCTCGACGTCACGGACGAGGCGAGCGTGGAGAGGTGCGTGAACGCGATCGTCGACCGGCACGGGAAGCTGGACGTCCTGATCAACAACGCGGGCGCGGTGATCGCCACGCGCGGCGTCGCGACCAAACACGACGACGCGAAATCGCAGGCGCGTTCTGTACACTGGTTCCCATACGACCGCGTTCGCGTTGTGAACGCCGATCCTTAAGGACTTTTGCCGTCGTCTCTCTGCGCCCAGGGTCCCTCGCGTTCAGTCCCCGCCCTCGACGCCTTTCAACGCCAACTGACGCCTTTGAACTCCACCCCGACATCGCTTTGTATGGAACGACCCTCAGATGGAGACCAACTTTTTCGGGATGGTGCGCACCGTGCGATGCGCCGTGCCCGCGATGACCGGCCCGTACAAGCGTATCATCAACATCGGGAGCATCGGCGGACGCATCGGGCTGCCGTTCCAGTCGATGTACAGCGCGTCCAAGGCGGCGGTGATGGTCTGGTGCGTTCTCCTCACACTGGTCCCCATACGACCGCGTCGGCGTGGTGAACGCCGATCCTTAAGGACTTTGCGCGGCATCTCTCTCCGCCCAGGGTCCCTCGCTTTCAATCCCGACACACCTCGACGTCTTTCAACTCTGCTTCTGACGCCTTTCAACTCCACCCCGACATCAATCATCTTCAAGGACGGACGCGTTGCGAATGGAGACGTGGTCGTCCGGCGTGCGCGTGTCGTTAGTCGAGCCGGGCGATTTGAAGCCCGGGATGGTGAACGCCGCCAAGGCGGACGGTTTCGACGACGACGCGATCGCATCGCGCGCGTTCGACATCATGCGGAAGGAGGAGGCGGAGGGGACGGATCCGAAGGCGGTGGCGCGCGCGATCGTCCGATCGTTGCGATCGACGACGCCGGCGGGGCGGGTCCTGATCGGTCCTGATGCGTGGCTCGTGGAAACGCTGGGGCGGCTCGTCCCGCACGCGTGGAAGGAGTTTTTCCTCGCGTCGCACTACCGCGTCCCGCCGCGGCACGACGCGTGGATTCGCGTGTGAAGGGAGCGGTGAAGGGAGCGGTTAACCACCACTCGCCGAATCGAATTGAATTGTAATGATGAACAGACGAAGCGCGCGAATCGATTTTTTCGTGCAGTCAGGGCCATTCCATACAAAAAAAGTTCACCGGTCAGTTGAAAGGGGGAGCGATCAAATGTTGAAACCGGGATATGGGTGAAAAACTTTTGTATACGGCACCTCCACTCGCACTTCCGCATGCGCGTCGCGACGACCGCGGGGACCGCGTCGGCGGCGGCGGCGTCGCCGCCGTCGTCGTCGCGGCGCCGCGGAGACGCGCGATGTCGAGCGCGCGCGGTGCGCTGGTCCGCGAGGACGGACGCGTCGTCGTTCGTCGTCGTCGTCGTCGCGCGTCGCGTCGGGCACCGCGTCGACGTCGACGCGCGTCGCGACCGCGCGATCGTCCGTCCGCGCGCGACCGACGTCGAGAGAGGCGCGCGCGGCGACGGCGGCGACGGCGACGACGCGACGACGACGGCCGATGAGCTGCTTCGAGACGAGCTCAGGGCGCGCATGGCGGAGGCGGAGGCCGCGGGCGACGTGCGGGAGGAGGAGGACGTCTTATACGACGACAGAGCATTTAGTCACGACGACGATCTCGATCTCGGCGACGGAGGACGCAACAAGTATCGCATAACGATCCGGGATAAAGAGGTGCTGCGGTACGAGCTCCCGAACTTCTTCCCGGACTTCAACCCGACGCCGCTGGAGTCGCGGATCGAGGCGGGGACGAGAGACGAGCTGGGGGGGTCCGCGTCCGGAGAGAGGAAGAGGAAGAAGAACAAGTCGTACGTGTGGAAACGCGGCGTCCTCGCGGGAACCGAACGCAGCGACCCCCTGGACGTGATAAAACGCTCGAGAGACGAGAGTTACGACGATAACGACGACGACGCGACGACTCCGACGGGGAGAAGGACGATACCGCCGCCGCCCCGTCGCGCGGTGGACGAGGAGTACGCGAGACGCGGCGGCGGCGCGGGCTCCGGCGCTCTCGCCGGACTCACGCTGTTCTTTTACGTCGTCGCGCTCGCGCTGACGACGTCCAGAGCGTACTTCGACGGCGGGGAGATGATCCCCGCGCCGATCGACGCGGAGACCGAGCGAGGCGCGAGGGAAGCGCCGCCGCCGCCGAAGTCGATCGAGGGGACGGACGCGGGCCGAGTCTGGTCCGAGGGAATAGAACGGTTCCGGTGAAGAAGACGGGGCGGGGCGGGACTTGACGGCACGTGGTGCGTTGAATATTACATCGATGACGTTCGCCCGCGTCGGCGTCGTGCGTCTTCCTCCTCCTCCCGTCGCGTCGCGCGCGTCGTCGCCGACGCGCGTCGACTACCTAAAACAAATCAATCACAACGCGAGCGAAAACAATCTTCTTCTTTTTTCTATCGTACGGAGAACCGGCGCGGCGAAGCGCGCCGCGACGCGGACGAGAGAAGAAAAAAGCAGACGCCGTCGCGCGCGCCGTCGTCGATGAAGTGCGAACCGCGAGCCGCGTTCGGTTCGGTTTCGACTCGCGCTACGCTCTCGCGCGCGGTCTTCGAAACCGAAACCCGAACCGGCGGGCGGGCGTAATAAAGAAAGAATCACACCGGCTTGACCCACTGCGACGCGCCGGTGACGGTGTTGTAATAGTACGTCCGCCCGCGACCGTCGTCCAGCGGCTGCCACTCCGACCCAGACCCGGGGGCGCCGCCGCCGGGTGTTCCGTCCCCGTCGCCGCTCGCCGCGTCCTCGCCGCCGGGTCCTCCGGGGACGGGGACGCCGCCGGGAACGTGCCCCGGGAACGCGCCCGCCGGCTGCCGCGGCGCCGCCGCCGCGTCGTCGCCGCCGTCGCCGCCCCGCGCCTGCTGCTGCTGCTGCTGCTGCTGCTGCTGCTGCTGCGCCTGCGCCGCCTGCGCCTGCTGCATCGCGAGCATCATCGCCTGCTGATGCTGCGCGTACTGCTGCATCTGCGCCGGGTGCATCTGCGCGCCGTACCCGCCGTACATCCGCGGGTCGGCGTAGGCGCCCATCTGTTGCGCGTACGCCGCCGCCTGATACGCGGCGTTACCCCCCGCGTGCTGCTGGCCGTACATCCCTGCCGCCGCCGCGAACTGCGCCTGCTGGTTCGCCGCGCTGTACGGCGCGGTGCTGCCGCCGTTGATGACGTCAACGACCGCCCTGGACGCGGCGTCGACGCAGTACGGGTTGCCCGTGATGGTGATGAGGCACGGCGACACGCTCTGGTCGATCTGAATCCTCGCGCCCGTCTGCGACTGCAACCCCTTGATCGTCTCGCCGCCGCGGCCGATGACGCGTCCGACCATGTCCTTCGGGCACTCCACGATCTGCTGCGCTTGGCCGGGCCCGACGCCGCCGCCGCGCACGGGGCCGCCCTTGAGCAGGTCCTCCACGAGCTTCGACGCGATGTCGACGCATCCGGCGGGGCCCGAGATGGAGATCTTTCGCGGCGCGCCGTCGGGATAGTTTTGATCGATCGTGATGTGCGCGCCGCTCTGCGCTTGCAAGCCTTTGATCGTCTCCCCGCCCTTGCCGATGACCCTTCCGACTAACCCCGGGGGGCAGTCGATGAAGTTGCACGCCGCGTCCGTCGGCGGGTGCGCGTGCATCACCGGCATCGCCGGCATCGGCGGCATCGGCGGCGCGGCGGCGGCGGCATCGGCGGCGGCGGCGGCGGCGGCGGCGGCGGCATCCGACGACCCGTCCGCGTCGGCGACGGACGCCGCCGCCGCCTCCGGCCTCGGGAGGTTCGGCGTGGGGATCGGCATCGGCGGCCGCTGGTCGTTCGGCGTCGGCGGGTTCGACGGCTCGATCGGCCTCGGCAGCGGCGCGGGGATCTCCGTCATCGATCCCGAGACGACGACGACGACGACGACGACGACTTCTTCGCTTCCTTTTTCTCTTCGCTCGAGCTCTCCCGCGCCGTGATCTGTTCGTTCCGCGCTCCTTCCGCGACGCTCTGTTCGCGGGAACGACGCGCGAGGGTCAGCGCGCGAATCGCGGGGACGACGCGGAAACAGAGAGAGGCCGCGACGGACGGACGGACGGAGACGCGACGCCCGCGGGAGCGCGCGGGCGACGACGACGACGATGACAACGACGCGGCGTTCGAAAGCTGCGCCGGAGTCGCCGCGGTCGCGAGCGATCGACCGATCGGACACGCGCGCGGTGCTCGGGCGCGATCCCGCGCGCGCCGCCGCGCCGTTCCCCTTCCCGCCGCGCCTCGCGCGCCGCGTCCGCGCGCGCGAACGCGTCGATCCGGGGCGCGCGGGTCGGCGAGCGGCGCGTCCGCGCGCGCGCGCGGGCGATCGCGGGGTTGGGGGAGCGAACGGTGACGTCGCGCGCGGCCGACGACGTGGTCGCACGTGGAGCGGACCGACGGGGCGCGGGGGGATCGGACATCGCGATCGGATCGAGAGCGCGCGCGACCGACCGCGATGCGCCCCGCGCGGGATCGGCGCGGGAGGGAGGAAGGACGCGGGAACGCACCTCGCGATGTCGCGGTGTCGCTCGAGACGCGCGTCGACGCTCGCGAAGCGCGGCGAGCGATGCCGCGGCGAGCGAGACGAAAAGATCGTCGGACTGCCGGAAAACCGAAACGTCGAGGACGTTTGTGTAGTACGGGTCCGCGCGTACTCAGAGTGAATGCTCGTACGAGCCAACAGGGGGTGCCGTCACGGCGTGACGTGGAATTCTCATTAAAAAGCCGAAACTTGAAAACCTGAAATGAAAGTGCGGAGACCAGACTTTCTCCAGAAGTGAGCACCCGGAGGGCGTGGCGCCGCGGGGAGTCGCGCGGGGAGTCGCGAGCGCCGCGTCTCGCGCTCCCGCCGACGCGATGCTCGCGAAGCGCGACCTCGCGGTGATGTTCCTCAGCCTCTTCGCGGTGTACCACTCGCTCCTTCGCGACGGCGTCGTGTCCTTCGATCGCGCGTGGTACGTCCCCGCGGAGGAATCCTCCGACGATCTCGCCGCGTCCTCCGCGCGGGGCGATCGCGCGGGCCCCGGGACCTTCGCGTCGTCCGCGCGTTTCGGCGGCGGAGGGGTCGCCGCGACGCGATCCTCGCGCGCGCCGCCGCCGGTGTTCTTCGACCTGAACGGCGACGGCGTGAACGAGATGATCGTCGCGTCGAGGACCCTCGCGGAGATCCGCGTGGTGTCCGTGCCGTCGTCCGCGTCGCGACGACGACGACGCGACGGAGGCGGCGGCGCGGGAGGCGACGGAGGCGGCGATCACGGCGACGAGGGGATCCACGACGACGACGCGGACGTGTTCGCCGCGCTGACGACGACGGCGACGGCGTCGCTGCTCCCGGCGAACACGCGCGTCGTCGCGGGGCGGACGCCGATCGCGCTCGCGGCGGGGCATCTGACGCCTCCCCGCTCCTCCGGATCCTCCTCCCGCGCGAACTCGAACGTTAAAACTCGAAAAGCGGTCGTCGTCGTCGTCACCAGCGGATGGCACCTCCTCTGCTTCGACCACAACCTGAGGCTGCTCTGGGAGGTGGCCCTCAGCGGCGAGTTCCCGAGACGCGCGCGAATTCGCGAAGTCGCCGTCGTCGTCTCGGCGCACGCGACGTACGAGGGCGACGTCGGCGCGGTGATCGTCGGCGGACGCGTCGAGACGGGGACGCGCGACGACGACGACGAGGGCGGTGGCGGCGGCGACAGCCTCGGCGACGCGTTCGAGAGACAGCTGGACGACGAGGACGTGCTCCGGACGCACCGCGGCGGCGCGAAGGCCACCGCGCGGGAGATGGAAGCCGCGGAGAAGGACGGGTCCAACGCGGAGGGCGACGGCACGGGCGCGGGAAAAGGCCGGCTCGATCGATCGCGGCACTTCAACTACTACGCGTTCGAGGGCAAGACCGGCGCGCGGCGATGGAAGCACGAGAGCGAGGATTTTCACCGCGACGTCGACGCGCTCGTCGATCGCCTCACGCCGCAGCACGACTACCGGCTCGACGCAGGCGCGTTCACGTTTACACTGGTTCCCATACGACCCCGTCGGCGTGGTGAACGCCAATCCTTAAGGACTTCGCCCATCGTTTTTCTCCGCCCAGGGTCCCTCGCTTTCAATCCCCGCCCTCGGCGCCTTTCAACTCCACCTGACGCCTTTGAACTCCACTCCGACAATGCTTTGTAGCGGCGCTCGAGGGGAGACACTACGGCGAGGTGTCGTGCCGAGAATTCCGCGAGAGCGTGGTGAAGCGCGCGCTGCCGCATCAGTGGAGGGAACGCGAGGACACGAGGCTCGTCGTCGCGGCGTTCGAGAAGCACAAGCCGCACAAGGGCGCGAGATCGAACGCGGTCGGGAGAGGCGGCGCCGCGACGGTTGACGGTTCGTCTTCGCGCGGCGCGCGAGGTGGGGCCCGGGTTCTTTTCTCCTCACGCCGGTTCCCATACGACCGCGTCCGCGTCGTGAACGCCGTTCCTTGAGGACTTTCTCTCCCGGCGTGTGTTTCTCTCCGCCCCGCGCCTCGACGCCTTTCAACTCCTCTGACTGACGCCTTTCAACTCCACCCCGTCGCCTTTCAACTTCAAAGGCGCGGAGCACGGCACGAACGCGTTCGCGCGCGCGTTGGGAACGACCGCGCGCGCGGTCGCGACCGGAGGCGCCTCGAACCGCGGCGGCGCGTCGTCCAGGGGCCCTGGAGGAAAGACGACGACGGCGACGCGGAACACGCATCGCCGCGTGAAGCGTCCGTCGAGCGGCGGCGACCCGCCGAACGTCGTCGTCGCGCACGTCGAGGAAGGGATCGAGATTTTACACCTGCACACCGGCCGGACGCTGTGTAAGGCGCGTTCTATACACTGGTCCCCATACGACCGCGTTGGCGTGGTGAACGCCGATCCTTAAGGACTTTTGCCGGCGCCTCTCTCCGCCCACACCTCGCTTTCAATCCCCGCCCGTGACGCCTTTCAACTCCACCTGACGCCTTTGAACTCCACCCCGACATCGCTTTGTATGGAACGACCCTAAGATGTCGCTCCCGTCGCCGGGGCTGCACGCGGACGTGAACGGCGACGGCGTGGTGGACCACGTCGAAGTTTTCGGCGGCGGCGGCGGCGGCGCCGGTCGGTCTCACGCCGCGGTGGGCGCGGACGGACGCGCGGTGCCGTCGTGCTGGGCGCGAGTCACCAGCGGCGTCCCCGCGAGGGAGGCGTTGTTCGACGGGACCGCGTGCCGCGGACACGCGGGGGTCACGCGGCACGGCGACCGGAACAGCTACGGCGTCGACGGCGCTGCTGGGATGTTCGGGGGGAAGAACGCTGACGTGGACGTCGCGCCGCCGGCCGCGCTGCGGCGAGGCGAGGAGACGGTCGTTCGAAGCGCGCGAAGGGCGGTGAAGGCGCGTTCTCATCACACTGGTTCCCATACGACCGCGTCGGCGTGGTGAACGCCGATCCTGAAGGACTTTGCCCGGCGCGTCTCTCCGCCCAGGGTCCCTCGGTTTCAATCCTCGCCCTCGACGCCTTTCAACTCCGCTTCTGACGCCTTTCAACTCCACCCCGACGTTCGCTCGTATGGACCCTCGACCCAGGATGTGATCCTATTCAACTCGCGAGGGGAGGTGACGAGCTACGGGCCGGACGGGAAGCGGCGGTGGCAGCTGCGAACGGACGCGTCGTGGCAGCGAAGAGACGACGTTTACGACGCGGGGTACGGCGGCGGCGGAGGCGGCGGCGGCGGGCATCTCGAGACGTTCCCGCTCGCCGTCGACGGCGCGTCCGAGGTGGTGGTCGCGCTCGGCGCCGCGCGCGGCGTCGTCCTCTCCCCCGGCGGGTACAAGATCGCGACGCTTCGTCTTCCCTCCGTCCCCATCGCGCCGGTTCTGATCGTCGACGTGAACGGCGACGGGCTCAACGACATCGTCGCGAGGACGGCGCTCGGGACGTACTGTTGGACGCAGAGAGGCGCCGGCGGCGGCGGGCCGCTGCTCGTCTTGCTCGGCTTTCTTATCGTCGGGATGGTCGTCGCGTTCGCGAGTCAGGTGCGTTCTATACAAACGTTTTTCACCCATCGCCCGGTTTCAACATTTGATCGCCTCCCCTTTCAACTGACCGATGAACTGTTTTTGTATGGAATGGCCCTCATCAGATCGGGGTCGGGAGCGACGGGAAGAAGGTCGTGAGGAGGAGCACGGAGATGGATGAGCCGGGCGGGGAGAGCGCGAAGGATCGATGAGCGAACGAACGCGTGGCGATGATAGCGGGCGCGTCGCGCGCGCGCGCGGTCACTTTTCGATTCGATGAGAAAAAATAAAAGAACGAAAACCCGGAAAAGCGTCGCTCATCACGCTTCGCCGCTCTTCTCGGCGGCGGCGTCGATCACGGCCGCGAGCTCCGTGCCCGCGAAATAAAACTCCGCCCACTGAATCACGCCGTCGCCGTTGACGTCCGCGGCGTCGGATACTCTTCGAACCGCAGCCTCGGGGACGACGCCGCCGCCTCGATCGGGCCGCAGCGCCTTGAGAAGGTCGCTCACCGCGGCGCGAAAGTCCTCGGGCGTGAGATGCGGGAACGGGAACTCGTCCGTCGCGGGCGCGTGACGCGCGAGAAACACGGCGTAGACGACGCCGTCGACGTCCCGAGGTCGCCGCTCCTCGCCCTCCTCCTCCTCCTCCTCGTCGTCGTAGTCGGCGGTCCCTCCGAACGACGCGAACACGCCGGAAACGCCCTTTAAGAAGGCGTTTTTCTTCTGTTTCGTCTGTCGCGCCGCGCCTCCGACGCGCGTCGTCGCCGCGCCGCCCGCGGACGCATCGGGGCCCGCGTCCGCGTCCGCGACGTCGATCATCTCCTCCACGAGCGTGTCCAACGCCCTCCTCAACCGCGCGTTGAATTCGCTCTCCTCCGCCGCGACGGCCGCCGCGAGTAACCCTTCCTCCTCGCCCGCGTCCGACGGCGTCGCGAGCGCCAACTTCAGACGCCGCCCGACGAGGTTGAGCTCCACCTGCCCGAGCTCGTACGCGGCGAAGGCGAGGACGAACGCGTAGACGTTCATCATGATGTCCTGCAACGCGGGGACCGCTGAGGGTCGACAAATCCATACAAAAAAAGTTCACCGGTCAGTTGAAAGGGGACGCGATCAAGTGTTGAAACCGAGCGGTACACTAGTGGCGGGTGAAAAACTGTTTGTATACTGTAGAACGCACCCGAGAACTCGCTCGCGAACCTTCGCAACGTCTCCGCGTCCGGGCGGAACCGCGCCATCTTCGACGCGCCGACGGTCGCGCCGCCCACCGCGTTGGACTCGCGCAGACGCAGCCGCACGGCTTGCCCGAGGAGTTCGATCTGCAGCGTGCTCAGCGCCCCCGCGAGAATGTTCGTGAGGAGTTCGAACGCGTTGACGTAAATCGCGCGCTCGATCGCGTCCGGGACGGCGCGGACGTTGTACATCGGGTCCATCATGAGCCAGTCCACGAGGGTCTCGATCTCTCTTCGGTTGTCCCCGAAGTCCGCGGAGACTTTAAACGCGGCGAGGTTTGGAGGTTTCACCGCGCCGCTCTTCTCGTCTCTGCCGCCGCCGGCGACGTTTAACACGACGTCCATGCCCAAGAGCTGGCAAATCACAGAGTTTTCGATCGTACCGATGATCGCGGAGAGGAACCCCACGTACGTCTCCCTTTCCAGCTTCGCGCCGAAGAAAAACGGGTCGATCGCGCGCTCTAAGCCTCGCCTCGGTCTGTTTTCCAAAAAGGCGTCGACGTAATTTTCGATGATCTTCGTCGTCTCCGCGCTCGTCTTCACGCCGGCGGCGGTTTCTCCGGGCGCGACGTCTCTCTCGCGACGTCTCTCTCGCGCCGCGCGCTCGCCGTCGTCCCGATGGACCAACTTCGCGAGCAACTTCTTCGGGCTCTTGAACCTCGGGAGAAGCTCGCCGCCGCCGGTCGAGAGCCCACCAGCCTCGGACAGGCTCGGTATGCGTCCCAGGTCGGACGAGAACGCCTCGTCCGGTCGCGGCTGCAGCGAAAACCTCAGCGGCAGCCCGAGAAAGTTAATCTCCGTGGACCCGACGACTTCCCCGGCGAGCGCGACGGCGACTTTCCCCGCGTTCGCCTCCACCCCGGGAAGGAGCCTCAGCCACATCGGCGTCTTGATCTCTTCCCGCGCGAGCCGTCGCAGCGCGGCGTCGCTGAGCTTCGGGAAGTTCCGACCCGCGCGCCAGCCTTCTCTGGCGCGCGCGAACTCGAACGAATACGACGTCCCGAAAAACCGCGCCTCGAAGTGCGTCAGCGTGTCCTCGACGAGATATATCGCGGTCACCATCGCGTTCCTGTACGCCATGATCTCCAGCTTCCTCGGGACGAGCCACCCGATCCCGACGTCGTCGCGCGCGTCGTCATCGTCCTCGCCCCGAAGCACCGCCGCGACGAACCGCTCGCAGTCGTCCGCGTCCGCCTTGGGCCGCGGCGGCTTGTGCGTCAAATCCGCCTCCGTTCGCAACCGCACCGGGTGCCCTAAAACGTTCACGTTCTTGACGTTATCGTACAGCGACGCGTACGCGCCGATCGCGCCGGTCTTCACGATCTCCGCGTATATCGACGTCGTGGGAAGGCCTCTCGGGAGCCCCGGGACGTCGTCGTAATCGCTCGCTATCTGCGCCGCGTATCGCCATACGACTGGAAACATCTCTCGGTCGTCCCCTCGCGGCCCCGTCCCGAACGCCCGCAACACCTCCGCGCGGTGGTCCGCGAGCGCGCGGAGGTGCGCGAGCTCTTCCTTCGCTCTCGGGTTCGAGCGCAGCGCGGACGCGAGCGCGGCGACGCCGACGACGGCGCCGCCGACGCCGAGCGCGAGCGGGGTGGGCGTCGGGACGGGGATCGAGACGCCGGCGACGCCGACGGCTCGGAAACTCGACGTCGACGCGGCGGCGTCGCGAGCGCCGGGCGTCGGCGTCGGCGTCGGCGTCGCCGCGGAGGTCTGCGCGAGCTCGCGCGCGCGGTTCGGGTTCGCGCGCGGCGGCGCGAGGTCCGCCCACGCGTCGCCGACGGGCCGCGAGCGCCGCGCGCCGGCGGCGTCCGCGTCTTCGCGCGGAGGATTCGGAACGGCGGCATCCGAGATCGCCGTCGTCCGCGTCGTCCGCGGTCGCCGAGGAGGACGCGCGGCGGAGCGGTCGCGCTCGCGGCCTCGTCGGGGGGCGAACGCCGCGAACGCGCGCGGGCGCGCGCCGCCGCGCGCCTCCATCGCCGCGCGCTGCCTCGAACGAGCGCGCGAACGAGAATGCTGTGCCGACTCTTCGGGGAATCTCGTGTCTCATCAGCCTGATGGCGCCCGCCCCGATTTTTGTGCTCCCGAAGCAGACGACGCGCAACAACGGGGCCGCGTTTCATGACGTACGCCTACTCGTATGAACAAACAGTTAGAAAAAGTACGCCTCGATATTCTCGACACTTGTCGAGTTCTGAATCGCGGGAGCTGACGAAGCGCCGTTGTTGACAACTGCTTTCTCTACCTTTTCGTGCGAGCGCCGACGGCACACGGCGACGCGCGCGCGCACGCGACGCGACTCGAAAGCGACCTTCGCGCGTCCGTCGATCGACTCGACCGACGCGCGCGCCCTCTTCGCGCAACGCGCCCGCGCTTCGTCGACGCGCGAACGATGCTTCTCGCGGCCGCGACGATGGAAAACCGAAAGCCGCCGATGGTGTGCCAACAATCGGACGAGCGCTCGAGCCTCGTCGCGCCGTCGCGCGACGCGCGCGCGACGCCGAAACGCTCGAACTCTCTGAAATACGCGAGCTTATGCACGCTCGCGCTCGTCGGCACGTGCGCGGCGATCGCCGGCCCGCACCGCGCCGCGCGGCCGCTCGAGGCGGCGGGGATTACTAATCCGTCCCCGGAAAAAACGAGCCACGTGGAGAGATCCTCGTCTCGCCGCGCGCTCCTCGCGATGCACGACGGTTACGGCTCGCCGCCGCCGGACACGACGACGACGTACGACGAGACGTATTACTCGTATCCGGACTCCTCCCCGGACGTGTACTACGCGTCTCCGCCGACGACGGAACCGAGGCGGCGGTCCCGCGACCCCGACTGCCCCGACGAGACGTACGACGAGACGTACTACTCGTATCCGGACCACGACGACGGCGACTGGGACCACGACGACCACGACGACCACGACCACGACCACGACCACGACCACAAACCCGACCGCGACCGCGATCACCCTCCCGAGGGCTCCGACGACGGCCCGGACCCCGGCGCGATGTTCGCCGTCGCCGCCGTCGTCGGCGTCGTCTTCGCGGCGGTCTTCGCGTTGTGCTGCCGTCTCTGCCGAAGATCGAGGACGGAAAACACGAAGGTGGTCGTGTTCGACTACCCCGCGACGGTCGCGAACCACCCGGGGAACCACCCCGGGAACCCCCCCGCGAAGCCGTGGAATCAGTCGATGCCCGACGCGCGAGCGCCGCCGCGACCGGCGCCGACGTCGCCCGTCGGTCGCCCCTCCGCGCCGCCCGCGTGGACGGCGACGACGAACGCGAACGTTCACCCGCACATGGTCCCGGACGTCACGCAGTGGGCCCCCCGCCCGCAGCCACAGCACGCGGCGACGACGCCGCACATGGTTCCGGATCACTCGCAGACGGCGCGGGCGGCGGCGGCGCCGCCGCCCGCGCGTTGGCGGCCCGCGCCGCAGCCGCCGGTGATCATCGCGCAGCCCGGCGGCGGCGCGTTCGACGCCGGGTACCCTGGCGTGCCTTCGTCTGGGTACGAGAACGCGCCCGCGGTGGGCACGCCCGTCGGCACCGCGCCGCCGATGACGCCGATGGTCTTCACGACGTACACCGCTGACGTGAGCGGCGCTTCCGCGGGGTCGCCCGAGCGGGCGGCGCCGTCGTTCTCGAACGCGTTCGGTTCGATGCGTCGGACGCGGGAGGAGCAAGCGCGGCACATCGAGGAGGAGACAGAGGCGAGCCGACAGCGCCTCGACGCGAGGCGGGCGTGAACGAGAGGAGGGAGGAGGAGAAAAGGTAGATCTGAGCTATCATACAGTAGCTAGATAGCGGTGATAGATCCCCTAGAAGATCGCATAGTGTTGCAGTCCGGGACGGGTGGCGGAGGACGCCCAGTCTTCGGTGTATTTATATTTACGTAACGACGTTACGAGGAAAGGTAGATCTGAGCTACGCTCCCTCTCCTCGTTAACCATGGCTCGTTCCAAATTTGCAGCGAAGTTATTGTTAAGTTAACAACCTCTTATACAACTTCGAAGAAGCGCTTCTCGCGCGTCACTCGATGTTCACGAGCTTCCACGGCGTCGTCACCGGCGCCGTCGTCGGCACTTTCTCCGGGAGGACCCTCTCGAACGTCCACTCCGCCCCTCGCGGGTCCGTGATGTTCGTCTTCTCCTCCGACACCTTGTCCACGAGCACGCACACGTCGTCGGACTTGAAGTACACGGTCACCCTGACCGCGTTCCAGCCCCCGGGCGCGTGCGCCGGGTTCGCCGCAGCCGCGGGGTACGCTCGCGCGAACTCGGGGCTGGACTCCGCGTAGTGCGACATTCGTTCGATCTCGCTCAGCGCCGCGCCGTTCGCGTCGTACCGCACGGGTCTCACGCCCGTCATCACCGCGAAGAGGTTTTCCCCGCGCTCGAACGCCATGCTCAGGTTCTTTCGGTCGTACTCGATCCACGTGTCGCGGAACGCCGCGAAAACCGCGTCACCCGTCATCGCGCGCAGGGCGTTCATGTCGTTGGCGGCGAACCTGTCCAGGACGAGCCTGAGGGTGTTTGCCCATACGACGCGACGTCGGGGTGGAGTTTAAAGGCGTCAGTTGGGGAGTTTAAAGGCGTCGCGGTGTGTCGGGATTGAAAGCAGCGAGGGGTGATGGGCGGAGAGAAACGAACGCCGGGAAGTAAAAGTCCTCTCAAGGATCGGCGCGCGCCGCGCGAACGCGGTCGTATGGGGACGGGCGTGACTAAATGCACGCGCCTGTACGCCCTCTTCGCGTTCGTCGTGAACTCGCACCCGCCGAGGGGCGAGACGTGAAAGTGCGGATCGTACATGAACTTGAAGACGCCGAGGGTGACGTACTTCAGCCAGCACACCCGCGCGGCGAGGAGCGCGACGGCGCGCGCGGAGACGTCTTCGAGGTCTGAGAAACGCGCCGGCGCCGCGAGCTTCTTCGCGTCCTCGTCGCCCTCGCCCGCCCGCCGCGCCTCCTCCTTCGTCGGCTCCGTCGTCGTCGTCTTCCTCGCGTCCTTCTCCTCTTCGCCCTCCGTCTCATCCTCGAGCGGCGCGGGGAGCGGGCTCTTCTTCCGCTCCCTCCCCGCGCTCGCGCCCGCGAACCCGCGCGGCGAGCGGACGATCGACGACCACGACGCGGGCGACCTCGCGACCGCCCCCGCGGCCCGCGCGGGCTCGAGGCGCGGCTCGAGGACGCGCCACGGCGCGACGCGCGCGCGGGGGGGCGCGGTGGACGCGCGCGCGCGGGCGAGGAACGCTCGCAGCAGGGCGCGCGAGGCGCTCGCCCGCGAGGGCGCCATCGCGGAGTGGGCACTACTCGACTGGACAAACGTTTTTCACCCATCCTTCGGTTTCAACATTTGATCGCGTCCCCTTTTAACCGATCGATGAACTTGTTTTTGTGGCGACCGCAGCTGTCAGGACTCGGCGCCGGCCGGCCGTCATCGTCAGATCGGAAAGGAATAACTTTGACGTCTCCTCGTCGTCCGACGCGCACACGCCGCCGCGGCATCGCACGCGTCCGCACCGCGATCCGACATGGATTCTGAGAGCCCGAAATGGACGACGGTGAAGAGCGGCAAGGGTAAGAAGGCGTCGTCGAGCGACGCCGGCGGCGACGGCGCGGCGAAAACAATTCGAGCCGCGACCGCCGGCAAGCCGACGCCGCCGATGGAGCCCGCGGGCGGGGTGATCGACCCCGACGCGTCCGCGTTCTCCGCGCTGGACGCGCTCACGGCGAAGCAAGAGAAGGCCGCCGCGGCCGCCGCCGCCGCCGCGGCAGCCGCCGCGAGCTCGGAGGACGACGGCGAGGAGGAAGGGAAGACCGGCGGCGGCGACGACGGCGACGACGACGGCTTCAGCGTCGTGACGCGCAAGAAGAAGAAGCCGCCGGCGTCGGCGTCGTCGTCGTCCGCCTACGCCGCCGCGGACGCGCGCGGACAAGGCGTCGACGGCGCGTTCGGATGGGCGCCGATTCCGATCCCCGGGCAGCCGATGCCGAAGAAGCCCAAGGCGCCGAGGCCGCCGAAGACGTCGCTCCGCGCCGCCGCGAGCGCGATCGACGCGACCGCGCTGACGACGTACCTGCGCGAGGTGCGTTCTATCTCACACTGGTCCCCACACGACCGCGTCGGCGTGGTGAACGCCGATCCGACCTTAAGGACTTTGCCCGGCGCATCTCTCCGCCCACCCCACGGTTTCAATCCCCGCCATCGACGCCTCTCAACTCCGCTTCTGACGCCTTTCAACTCCACCCCGACGTTCGCTCGTATGGACCCTCGACCCTGAGACGGAGCTGACGTACGTCAACTCCCCGGCGATCCACCTGATGCGGTTCGCGGACGACTTCCTCAGACGCGCGTTCGACGACGTCGAGCCCGTGGCGCTGAACAAGCTCGTGCTGGGGAGCATGGCGGACGCGGGCGAGGACGGCGACGCCGCCAAGGCGCTCGCGACGGCCGCGGAGACGCCGACGAAGCATCTCGACGCGTCCGTCGTCGACGTCGCGTCGCGGTGGCTCAAGACGATGCCGGCGAGCGACGTCGCGGCGATCGCGGCGGAGCTGCTCTCGCGCGTCGGGGAGCCAACGACCGGGACCGGGACCGGGACCGGGACCGGGACCGCGACCGCCGGGGGCGCCGCGCGCCCCGCGGCGCACGTCCTCGTCGCGCTCGCGCTGATCCTCCGCGCGCGCCCGGGAGCGCTCAACGCGGCGGCGTCGAGGGACGTCGTCGCGAAGAGCAGGGCGCGACTCGACGCGTCGCTGACGCCCACCGCCGCGTGGGTCGTCGCGCAGGCGTGCGTCGGCGACGCCGTCGCCGGGTTCGGTCTGTGGGCGCACCTGCTGCTTCCCTCCGCGATCGACGCCGGGAAACGCGTCGGCGCGTTCACCGGGAAGGGCGGCGTCGCGGACGAACGGCGCGAGACGGCGACGCGGATGACGGCGGCGGTCGCGGCGTCGTTGACGCGAACGACGGCGGCGCGGCGGCGGTTGCGATCCGCCGCGCTCGCCGCGTCGATCGACACCGGGTTCCACCCGAGATCGGTAGATTTGCTCTATCGCAACATGAAGCACGTGGACGCGAGCGTCGCGCAGGTGATCGGGCTCGCGAGCGAGGCGTGCGTCGGATGCAACGGCGCCGCGCGAATGGCCGCCGTCGCGGAGGCGCTGTGGCCCGTCGCGATCGCGCAAGCCGTCGACGCGTCTGACGACGAGAAAGCAGCGCAGGCGCGGCTGCCGAATCTCGACGGCGTGGACCCGCCCGTGGCGGCGGTCGGCGTCGACGCGCTCGTGTGGTGCTTGGGCGCGCTCGGCGACGCCGCGACGCTCGCGGAGCTTCCGACGTTGTGCGCGAAGCGCCCGAAGATCGCGGCGGAGGCGCTGCGAAGAACGCTCGGCGTCGCGGAGGGGCGGGGCGCGACGACCGGCGGCGGCGTCGACGCGTTCGCCTCCACGCGACACGCGCTGAAGAAGAAAGGGAAACGAACGGCCATCGCCGAGGCGTTACGAGCCGTGCGCGCGACGGCAAAGGACGAGAAGACGAAGGGCGGAAGTCGCGGAAAGTCGTGGAGCGAGCTCGACGACGCGGCGCGCGCGCTCGCGGCGATCGTCGAGGACGAACGCACAACCGGCGCGCCGTCGACGAGAGAGGGGCTCTTCGGCGGCGCGAAGAACGCGCTCGCCGGCGCCGCGTTCGCGATCGGCCGGGGGTACAAGACCGTCAAGAAGACGTGCGGAAAAACGGCGCATTTCGTCTGGATCTACCTCACGGTCATACTGTGCGTGATCGGCGTGTTGCTCGTGTACGCGATGACGCCCGGGACGCCGGGGGGGATGTGGATCATGATGTGGTACCTCAAGTTTCTGCGCAGCGACTACGGCGCGTTCGTCAGGGCGGTCGCCGCGAGGTTGCCGTTCTGACGTTCTGACGTTCTGACGCTGATCTACTCGTATCCGCCCGGAACAGAATGATGATGAGTGAACGACCGCGGCGCGTCCGCCTGGCGGCATAATCACATAGAATTAGAGATGTTACGCGGTGTGAGACTACGCTTGCCGGCTCCCTTGCTTCATCGCCTCGCGCTTCTTCTTCTTCGCGCCGACCTTCTTCGGCGGCTTCGGGGGGAAAACCTTCCTCGCGTAGAAGTACCTGCGACGGCGAGACGGGAAGGTGAGTCGATCGATCGTCGTTTCGGTGGCGAGATCGCGACGCGGGAAACTCGATCGCGCGCGCGGGGTCCGGGGCGCGACCGCCAGGGCGGGGACGCACAATCCGACGTTCACGACGAGGAACGCGAAGACGATGAACGCGAAGAGTATCACGATGACGAACGCGGTGTTATCGTCCGCCATGATGACGACGTTGCTGCGCGACGCCGCGTGCGATGCGGCGCGCTGGATGGAGTGGCCGGCCTCGAGAAAGCACGCGGCCGCGCGCATTTATTTCGACGGAGGGCCATTCCATACAAAAACAGTTCTCGGTCAGTTGAAAGGGGAAGCGATCAAATGTTGAAAGCGTGCGATGGGTGAAAAAAATGTGTATTCAACGAACCGGCGCGGCTCCGTCATCGAACCATACGACCGAATTCGATGCGGTCTTCTCGCGCCGCCCGCCCCCTCGGCGCGCAAACCCTCCTCGCGCGAGACGCACGCGCGCGCGGTCGTCGCGTCTTCTCCAACGCCCCGGAGAACATGCCGCCGCCGCTCGTGAGGGACGGCGAGACGATCGGCAACCGGTTCAAGATCCAAGGCGCGAAACCCATCGGCGTCGGGCAGTTCGCGCAGGTGTTCAGAGCGATCGATCTCGAATCGCCGTCGTCCTCCAACCCGAGCGCGGTCGCGGTGAAGATCGAGTTCGAGGACAAGACGCACTCGCGCGAGCTGAAAGCTCTCAATGACCTCCAAGGATGCGTGGGCGTGTGCGACGTCGTCGCGTCCGGCGCGGTGTCCGGCGGGAAGTCCCCTTACATCGTCATGTCCCTCGTGGGCGAAAACCTCGCGAGCGTGCGCGCGTCGAGGGTGCGCGACGCGACGCACACGCAGTCCACGACCGGGTGGATCGGCGCGCAGATGCTCGACATCTTGCGCGGGATACACGAGCGCGGGTACGTGCACAGAGACGTGAAGCCGTCGAACGTCACGCTCGGCGGCGGGGGCGGTTCGAACGGCAACCTCGACGCCGCGGCGGATCGACAGCTCTTCCTGATCGACATGGGGGTGACGAAGAAGTTCGAGATCGGCGGAGGCGCGTTCTTCTCACACTGGTTCCCATACGACCCCGATGGCGTGGTGAACGCCGCTCCTTAAGGACTTTTCCCGGCGCGTCTCTCCGCCCAGGGTCCCTCGCTTTCGATCCCCGCCCTCGACGCCTTTCAACGCCAACTGACGCCTTTCAACTCCACCCCGATATCATCGCTCGTATGGACCCTCGACCCTCAGAGAAACGCGCGCCCGCGCCGGAGCGCTTCCGCGGAAGCACGACGTACGCGTCCGTCGACGCGCTGGACGGTCGTGACCAGACCCCGAGGGACGACTTATTCGCGCTGCTGTACATGCTCGCGGAGTGCCACGAGGGGACGCTGCCGTGGCGGTCGCTCAAAGACGCGGCGACGGTGGCGGAGGACGAATGCGTGAAAGCCGCCATCAAAGAGAGCAAGTCTCGATGCGCGGCGAACCCGACGCTGTTGTGCCCGTCGCAGGGTACCCCGGACGCGCTGTGTAAGTTCAACGAGATCTTGATGCGCGCGAGGGAGGCTCCGAACGACGCCGCGCTGCCGGATTACGACGCGCTGCGGGCGTTGATGGTGGGCATGGCGGGAAGCGCGGACGCCGCGGACCGCGCGCGGAGGAAAGCCAAGTTAGACTGGGAGATCAAGGACGAGCCCGGGCTCGGCGCGGGTCCCGGCGGGGATAGGTCAGCAAGCGCGCCGTCGTACGCCGCGGTCGCCGCCGCGGGGGGTGGAGGGGGCGGCGGCGGCGGCGGTGGCGGACACGGTGTCGGACAACAGCCCGTCGGACAGAAAAGGCCGCCGCCGCGGGACTCGCTCGTGAAACTCGCGAGGGCGAACCCGGCGGCGTTGCCGCCGGCGGTGACCTCGCTCACGCAACAGGTTCTGAACACTTTAGACATCGAGAACGTGATCGCGCACTGCGCCGGGTGCTTATCCGGCGTCGTGGACGTGCACAGCATGGACGACGTCGTCGGCGAAGTGACGGATGCGTTTTTGAACGACTTCGCGGACATCATCGCGGAGGTGAAGGAACGACTCGCTTCGAAACGCGCGCGGCGATAGCGTTACATATGATATACAGTATCTTACAACAGGCGCGCGCACGATATGGTGTCGCAGCTCTCTCGTCTTCGTCTACTCTACTTCGCGCGCTCTGGCTAATAGATAGACGTCAAAAACCGCGTCACTCGTGCGTGAGCCCGCGCTTCCGGAGGAACCCGCCGATGAGCGCCGCGTGCCGCCGCGCGCACACTGGTTCTCATACGACCGCGCTGGCGAGGTAGACGCCGATCCTTAAGGACTTTACTCGTGCGTGAGCCCGTGCTTGCGAAGGAACCCGCCGATGAGCGCCGCGTGCCGCCGCGCGTCCTCGGCGGCGACGCCGACTCTCTGAAACTCCGGGTCTTCGCACCCCGGCGGCGACGGCGGGCCGCAATTCTTAGGGTGCCCGGTCACGCACAGCACGCACGCGCTCGACGCGACGGCTTTCTCCCACCGCGACGCGATGTGGGTCCAGTCGCGTGGTAAGGCGTCCTTCTTCCCGCCGCCGCCGGTCGCGGTCAGGGCCGTTCTACGCGAGCGAACGTCGGGGTGGAGTTCAAAGGCGTCAGAAGCGGAGTTGAAAGGCGTCGAGGGCGGTGATCGAAAGCGAGGGACCCTGGGCGGAGAGAAACGACGGCGAAAGTCCTTAAGGATCGGCGTCCACCTCGCGAACGCGGTCGTATGGGGACCGGTGTGAGATAGAACGCACCTCGCGCCGCGTCGACCGCCCGCTCGCGTCGACCGGTGCTCTTCGCGATCGCGCCACGGTCTGTAGTCCGCGGGGACGGCGCGCGCGCGTCGCGGAGGATCGGCGGTCGGGCGGCTCGGGCTTCGGTTTGGCGTCGTCGTCGTCGTCTTCAGGGATCGGCGTTCACCTCGCGAACGCGGTCGTATGGGGACCAGTGTGAGATAGAACTCCGCGCTCGCTTCCTCCATCTCGCTCGACCACCGCACGAGCGCGGATTGGAACTCGGCGGCGGACAGGCGCGCGTCGCCGTCGACGTCGTGCGCCGCGAAGAGCTTCGCCGCGGCCGCGTCGTCGTCGTCGTCGTCGTCGTCGTCGGTCGCGCCGTCCTCCGCGTTCTCGTCGTCCAGGAACCTCAAGAACGTCCGCAGCTCGATCACGTCGACGCTCCCGTCGTCGTCGCCGTCGACGGCCGCGAACAGCCGACCGATGCCCTCGCGCTCTCTCTCGGACAGCGAGAACGTCGCCGTGCCGTTCGCGCGCTCGTCCACGCCGTGGCCGACGAGCGACGCGGTCGCGGCGGCGGCGGCGGAGACGTGCAGCGAGGCGAGGAGGAGGAGGAGGAGGAGGACGGCGGCGGGCATCGCGGCGGGCATCGCGGCGGTGGCGCGAGCCGCGCGGCCGCGCCGAGGACACTGCCGGGCGGACGTCGATCAACCCTAGGAAGGGTCGACGAAGTCATCTGGAACGTCGTCGTCGGCACCCTCACTTCGTCGCGCCCATCGCGCGCGGGATGGCCGCGCTCGCGAGCGCGCGCGTCGTCGCCGCCGCCGCGCCGTCGACGCCGCGCGTATCGCCGCGCGGCGCGCGCGTCTCCTCCGGCGCCGCGCCGGGATCGCGTCCGCGTCGTCCTCGTCGTCGAGGGGCGCGCGCGCGCCGACCAAATCTACCTGTAACACAACAAAACCACGCCGCCCGGCGCGCGCTCCTCCTCCTCCTCCGCGCGGCCCCCGAGGGCGACGACGAGTACTACTCGAGCTGGTCCAAGTATCCTGACGACCCGAACATACCGCCGGAGATCACGTCGCTCCTGCGAGAGGTCGGCGACGGCGACGCGGACGTGTGGGCGACGAAGCCGCCGTGGTGCCAGCCGTGGACGATCGTGATGACCGGGGCGATGATCGTGTGCGCGCCGACGGCGGTCTTCGGGTGGAAGTGGGCGAGCGCGTTTCTGACGCTGCCGATCGGGGCGTGGTGGTTCGCGTTTTTGATCGCGTACCCGAAGCAGTTCAGGGAGTACGTGGAGATCGCGAGGGGGTATTACGACCGGCGAGAGTGACGGCGGGCGGGCGCGCGGTCGGCGGTAAGTTATAGCGTCCATCGTCCGGTCGATCGATCATCTCACGGGGGGACCCACCCACCCACCCACGGCGTCTGAAGCTCTCTTCCCGCGTCCTCATGCGCGACGCGCGCGCGTCGCCCGCGCCGGCATCTCGTGATCGCGCCGCGGCGTCGCCACGCCGTGATTCGCCACCTCCCGTCGCGACTCTCGCGCACCGAAAATGCAAGCACGCAAAATCGCCCTGAGAGGCCGCGTCCGACATGACAGCCACCCGTTCGTCGCCGAACCCCCCCATTCCCGCGGCGCGCCGGCCGGCAGCGCACGCGGCCGATCGACCTTCACCGCGCTCCGCGACCGACGCGTCTCGTCGCACCCCGCTCGTCCGAGCCGGCGCGACGCGACCCTCGCGCGCGGAGACCGGAGAGAGGGACCGAGGAGACGGACGGGACGGAGAGCATCTCGCGAGGGGCGCGGAAGAGATAGAGAGGAGGACGCGCGGGGGAAGGATGAGCAGAGAGGGCAAGAAGAAGTACCTCACCGACGAGGAGCTCTCCGCGGAGTGGCCGTACCTGACGCGCACGCAGGTGAAGGAGTTCAGGGACGCGTTCGCCATCTTCGACAAGGACGGCGGCGGGTCCATCACCACGGACGAGCTCGGGGACGTCATGAAGTCGTTAGGGCAGAAGCCGAGCCACGCGGAGCTGGACGCGATGGTCAGAGAGATCGACGCGGACGGGAACGGCGAGATCGACTTCCCGGAGTTCCTGACGATGATGCTGCGCAAGATGAACGAGGGCAACCCGGAGAAAGAGCTCATGGACGTGTTCATGGTGTTCGACAAGGACGGCAGCGGGACGATCAGCGCGGAGGAGCTGCGAAGCGCGATGCGCGTCATCGGCGAGAAGCTCACGGACGACGAGATCGAGGACGCCATCAAGCTGGCGGACAGCTCGGGGGACGGAGAGGTGGACTACGACGAGTTCATCAACTTCGTGTTGAACGACTGACGCATGTCACGATAATTATCGATAGAAGAGGGAGGAGCGGACGACGCGACGCGACGCGATCGTTCGCGCGCTAGGGGGACGGGAGCGACGTTTAGGTCGAGCGGAGAGGGGTCTACAGTAGTAGGGGCACGCGCAACTTATTAGGGGTTTGCTGTTGGTTTGGTTTTTAACGCGACCTCGGCTAGGAGAACATACGCGCCCGCCGCGCGCGTCAAAACACGAGCTTCGTCGCGTGCGGGGTGTCCGCGAGCGCCGCCACCAGCGCGGCGTTCAGCCTCGCGCGCATCGCGCTCGGGAGCCGCTGCCCGAGGAGGTACGCCTGCGCGCGGAGCGTTCTGAACTCGAGCTCCCGCGTCGCCGCCGCGTCGTCCCCCGCGTCTCCCGACTCTTTCCTCTTCCGCGTCTTGGCGCGAAGCGCGCGGCGGAAGATGGCCGCGTGCTGCTCGAACGATACCGCGTACCTCTCGTCCTCTCTCTCCGCGAGCTCGTGACACGTCACGTGTAACGTCGCCGCGAGGGTCGCGACGCCGCGAAAGCGCGCGTCCATTTTTGCATCCGCCGCCGCCGCGGCTTTCCGCGACGCCGCGACGCGCTCGTGCGCCGCGTCCGCGCCCTTCGCGCACGCGTCCAACCACGCCGCGGCGTCCGCGGTGCCGTCCCACTCGGCCGCGAGCGACGCGACGTCGCGCTCGAGCGCGGCCGCGGCGGCGGCGTCGGAGGCGTCGAAAGAAGCCGCGCCGCCGTCGGCGTCGGCGTCGGCGTCGGCGTCGGCGTCGGCGCGTTCGGCGTCGGCGCGACACTCGCGAAGGAACCGCCGCCGGACGCCGTCCACGGTGGGCGCGCACCGCACGACGTTACACAGAGGCGCCAAGACGTCCGAGACGACGCGTCCGCGCGCCCCGCGAAGCCGCAGCGCGAGCGAGCCTCTGAACAAGTCGTCGCCGTTCCGCGCGGACGGCGCGTCCACCGCGTTCATCAATCTGCCGCGGCGGCTCGACGCGAGCGCGGCGACGACGCTCTGGTCCGCGTCCGCGCCCACGGACAACAGAACGTTCCCTCCCGATCGCAACGTCAGCGTCGCGCGCCGTATCGACCCGGAGTCGCTCGCGTCGAGCGCGGTCCAGTCCGACTCGGACGCGAGAAAGTCGACGCACGCGCCGTCGGGGTCGAGAACGATCGTCGGCCGAGACGACGCGCGCGCGATGATCACGCTCTCCGCGTCGTGCGCCGTCACCGCGCGTTCCGCGCCCGCGCCGGCGAACGTCCGAACGACGTCGCCATCGCCGTGCCACGCCGCGCCCTCGCCGCCGCACGCGAATCGCTCTAACGCGAACGCCGGGTCCGTCGCGAACCCCCCCGCGTTCGCGTCGCGGAGGATCGACGCGAACGCGTCGCGCGTCGCGGCGCGCGCCGACGATGACGCCGGGCCCAGGTACGCGATCGTCAGCGCCGCGAGGAGCGCGTCGCCGTCCGTCGTGATCGCCGCGGCGTTCGCGTCGCTCAGCGCGGACTCCCATAAAGCGCGGCGACGAGAGCACGGCGAGACGAACGCGGTCAATCGCTTCACCTCGCGCGATTCCAACGCGCGAGACGATTCCAACGCGGTCGTCTCGCGTCGCGACTCGCCGTGCGCGTCGCGCATTTTCGCCAACGCCTCCTTCGCGGCGTCGAGCTCCGCGCGCAGGTGCCTCAGCTCGAGCGCGAGCTCGTCGATCGCGAGCTCCTCTCTCGCGTCCGCCGCGCGCCTGTCCGCGACGTCGAAGCGGACGAGGAGATACGCGTCGATCGCGAGCAGCCACTCGCACAGCGGCCGAGCCGCCTTGGACGTCTGCGGGGTCGACGGAGGGTCCGCGCGAAGCGACGTCGGGGTGGAGTTGAAAGGCGTCAGGGGTGGAGTTGAAAGGCGTCGAGGTGTGTCGGGATTGAAAACGAGATGTGGGAGGAGAGATGCGCCGGGAAGTAAAGTCCTTAAGGAACGGCGTGCACAACGCGAACGGGGTCGTATGGGGACCAGGTTAAATACTATGAACGCGCCTGCAACGCCGCGAGCGGGGTAAAGTTTGGACGCGTCGCGTACGCGCGAAGCGCGTCCGCGGTCGCTCGCGGGATGGTCTCCTTCGCGAACGCTCTCAGGCGTCTCGTGAGCGACTTGGGGTGCTTCGACGCGTCCGCGAGGACCGCGCGCGCGGCGCGCCAGTCCGGGGGGGACGCGTCCCAAGCCCCGGCCTCGCCGCCGCCGCCGCCGCCGCCGCCGCCGCCGCCGCGACCGAGAAGCAACGACGCCGCCTCCAGCACCGCGCGAATCAAACCCGGAGGCGTGACGTACCTCCGCAGTTCCTCCAGGTCCACCTTCGCGAACGGCGCGGACGCGCGCATCGCGTCGTCGTACGCGCTCAGAGCGGCGGCCGCGTCGTCGTCGCACGCGGCGCGGCGGTCGAGCAGGTGGCGCCGGCGAATGAAAATTTTCTCCTCCGTCTCGAGCGCCTCGGCGTGCATCGCGTCGACGTCGCGCGCCGTCGCCGCGACGCGCATCAGACCGCTCGTCCGCGCGTCCAGGCCGACGTCCAGGCGCGGCTCGAGGCTCTCGAGGCTCGCGCTCGCGATCTCGAGCTTCCTCTCCGCGTCCGCGAGCGCGGCGAGCGCGCGCGCGTACGTGTCCACGGCGCCGGCGACGGCGCACCGCCGCCGCGCGCGCAGACGCGCGAACGCGCGCATCGTCTCCGTCGCCCGTCCCGGTTTCACGGGTCCTAAACCGTCGTCGCCGAGACGTTTCACCGCCGCGAAGTGCGCGTCGCGCACGACGGCGACGAGCGACGCGACGCGCGCGTCGTCGTCGTCGAACAGCTTCGCGTCGATCGCGATGGAGAGGAGCCGCGTCGCGATCGCGGCGTCGTCGAGGTCGTCGTCGTCGACGTCCGCGCCGGCGTTCCCGTCCAAGCCCTCCTCCTCGTCGTCGTCGTCGTCGTCTCCGCCGCGTCGTTCCTTCGGGATGCGCACGCGCGAGGCTTTGAGGACGTCCCTCTCGCGTCGCGCGCGGTTCGCCTCTTCCTCGGCCGCCGCGGCTTTCGCGGCCGCGGCTTTCGCGGCAGCCGCCGCGGCGTCTCGGCGTCTCGTGGCCGCGGCTTTTTCCGCGGCGAACCTCGCGGTCAGCGCGTCGGCGAACGTCGCCTCCGCCCGCAGCAGACCGCGCGCGTCCTCGAAGTCGCGCGTGGACGGACGGCTCGCGAGGTCCCTCACCGCGGACTCCGCGAGCGCGCACTCCGCGTCGACCACCTCGGCGGAGGTCGCAGTCGCGGTCGCGGTCGCGGTCGCGGTCGCGGACGCGGACCGAACCGCGCGCGTCGACCCCGCGGGCGTCGTCGCGGCGTGAGTCCTTAAGGATCGGCGTTCACAACGCCAACGCGGTCGTATGGGGACCAGTGCCGCCGCCCACGCGTCCTCCTCCGACCCCGACGCCGACGCGGCGAGAAAGTCGCGCCACCGCCGCAGCGTCGTCCACAGCTCGACCCGAGACGCGACGAGCGACAGCGCGTCGTCCAGCGCGCGCAACAGCGCCGTCACCGCGACGCCGTCGCCGTCGACGCAGCGCAGGTCGCGCCGCCGCGTCACGAGGTCGGTCGCGACCGCGGACGTCTTCTCCGCGGCGGCGAGCGCGTGCGCGAGGACGTCGAGCGCGTCTGATGAGGGTCGTTATTACACACGTAAAAGGTGCATCGGTCAGTTGAAAAGAGACGCGAACACGCGATCGAGTGTTGCATCCGAGCGATGGGTGAAACGCGTGTACATGTAAAACGCACCCGACGGCGACGCGTCCGCGCTCGTCACCGGCGCCGCGCGGCAGCTCGCGAGCGCGGACAACACCTCTCTGCGCGCGATCGCCGCGCGCTTGTCGACGTCGATCGCGAGCGTCGGCGCGTGCGCGTCGACGTACGTCTTCGCCGCGGCCGCCTCGCGCGCGTGCGCGGCGATGAGCGACCGTAATTCGGTCTGCGTCGGCGTCGGCGTCGGCGTCGGCGTCGGCGTCCGCCCGGGGTTCGCGCACGCGTCGAGTCTCGCGACGGCGTCGAAGTGGACGACCTCGTCGTACATCGCGCGCGTCGTCGTCGACACCTCGTTCCCTTCGAAGTGCGGCGTCGCGGCCTTCACGAAGCACGCGAACGGCTCCATCTCGTGCGGGCGCGCGCGCAGCGCGACGACGTCCGAGGCGAGCACGGCGACGAGGTCGGTCGCGACGCGCGCGCGCGCCGCGGCGGAAAAGGCGGCGATCCCGGCGGCGGCGGTCTCGGCGCTCGGCGCGACCGTTAACTTCACCTCCGACGTGTCGAGCGCGACGACGCCGTGGACCTCGCGCGCGGACGCGCGGAGCACGTCGTCGCGCCATCGAATCGCCGCGAGCGCGTCGTCCGCGACGTCGCGCGCGGACGACGTCGGAGGTGAAGCGAACGGTCGCGCCTCCGCCTCCGCGTTGGAAGACGAAACGTCATTCGACGCGAACCATCGCGCCGCGAACGCGCGCGCGTCGTCGTTCGCGTCTCCGTGCGCTCGCGCGGCGTCGGAAGACATCGCCGCCGCGTGCGCGCGAGAGACGATCGCGCTCGCTTCCGCCGCGGTCGTCTCCGCGACGGTCGAGATGGCGACGATCGAAGCCGAAGCCGAAGCCGAAGCCGAAGCCGTCGTCGCGTCGCCGCCGCCGCCGCCGCCGCGGCCCGTGATGCTCGACAGCGCGCGCTCTACCCCCTCGGACGCGTCTTCGCACGCGCGCGCCCACGCGCTCAGGCTCGGCGCGCACGCGGACGGGACCGCGATCGACGCGATCGACGCGCACATCGTCTCCGGGACCGCGCGCGCGACGCGAACGAGCTCGGGAAGCGGAGGCTCGAAGACGACGCGTCGCGTCGACCCGTCGGGGATCGACGCCTCCACGAGGAACAGCCCGGGTCGTCCGTCCGTCCCGGCGGCGCGAAGCGCCTTCAGGTAGCACGCGCACGCGTCGCGCGCGATGGTAAACATCGCGCCGCGCACGATCGCGTCGGAGAGTCGCACGAACGCGCCCAACGATCGGTGCCGCCGCGTCGTCGCCGCGGCTTCGCGCGCGACGCGTCGCGACTTGGCTCTTCTGGCGTGCACGCTCTTCTCGCGCCAGCCTCCGCCGGCGTCGCCGCGATCCGCGTCCGCGCCGTTCGAAGAATTGCGTAACGCGCGCGCTGCGGCGGTCACTTCGTGTACCGTCCGCGTCGTCTCCATCGACGCGCACGCTGCCAGCGCGAGCGACGCGTCCAGGGCTTTCGCGCGCGCCTCGCGCGCGTCGGACGCGAAAGCGTTCGCGTCGCCGGCGACGCGCGCGTTCGCGCCGCGCAACGCCGCGAACCGCGCGCCGAGACCGTGCCTCCCCGCGTCCGTGACGAGCGCGACGATGTCGACGCCGCGCCTCGACGCGGCGACGGCCGCGTCGGTGCCGCGCCAGGACGCGACCGCGGCGCCGACGCGCGCTGCGTCGTCGGCGTCGTCGTCGTCTTCAAAGTCCAGCCGCGGCGGCGTCAGTTTCAGTCGACGCGCGGTCGATCTCGGAGGCGTCCGCCTCACCCATCGCGTCGCCGTCGCGTCGCGCGCGCCCTCCCTCTCGTCGTCGTCGTCTTCGTCGCGACGTATCCATCCGCCGTGGCCGAACTCCATCGCGCGCGCGAGCCCGTTGATGCGTCGAATCGAGTCAGAGTACTCCGGGTGTAACGCGATCAGTTTCTCCGAGAGTTGTCTCCGTCGCGCCGCGAACTTCCTCGCGCGCACGTTCGCCGCCCACGTCGCCAGCGCCTTCCTCGCGCGAAACTCTCTGAAGAACGGGAACGTGTTCCGAAGCGTGCTGAAGATCTTCCTGTGCCTGAGCCACTCCTTGATCGTGACCGAACACGCGCGTTCGTTCGGGAGATACCGCGCGACGCCGTTCTTCGAGATTGCAAAGTGACCGTTCGTCTCCGAATACGAACCGTCGAGCTCGAGCACGTCCGCGCCCTTCGCGTTCGACGCGTCGATCTCCGAGTACGGCACCGCGACGAGGTCGTACGGATCGAACCCGCGCGCGTCGCGCGTCGAGTCGCCGCTCGCATTCGCGCGGCGGCGGTGCAGACAGTACACGACGCGGTCTCTATCCTCAGGCGTCGCGTCCGGCTTCCCGCCCGCGCCGGACAGAAACCACATCGCGGCGTCCTCGCCGGTCTTCACGCCGCGCGGCGGCGTCGACGGGTCGCGCAGGTGGTCGCGGTCGCGCGCGCGGCCAGGGGAAGACGACGACGACGACGCGCGGTCGAAGCGTTTCCACCCGGGGACGCGCGGCGGCGGCGGCGGCGGCGGCGGCGGGACGCGCACGCGACCGGCGCGCGCGTCGCCGTCGTTCTTCCACGCCGTCGCGGTCGTCGCGGGCGGTTTCGTCGACGCGCGCCGCTCGAGCCCGGAGAGAAGGGTCGAATCCAGCGTCTCGGGCTTCGGCGCGATCGCGGGGAGCGCGTACGCGTCTAACGACGCGAGGAGGTCGTCTCGCCATCGATGTTGACTTCCGCTCTTGGAAAACGCCGAGACGCTCGTCGGCGTCGCCGTCGGCGTCGGCGTCGGCGTCGTCGACGCCGCGGACGCGGACGAGCGCGACGACGACGGCGACGGCCGCAGCCTCTGCGCGGTCTTCATCGTCTCGTTCCCGGACGCGTCGTGCGCCTGCGCGCGCGTGCGTCGCCGCGAGCGCGTCGCGTCGCCGTCGCGTCGGGCGTCGGTCAGATCCGCCGCGATCGACGCGCGTTCGATTTCGCGCGAGGACGACGACGGCGACGCGCGCGTCGGCGACGCCGTCGACGTTTGACCCCGCCCCGCCGGCGTATCGCGATCGCGGACGTGCGATACGGCGGAGGCGCGCATCGAGACGCGCCGGACGCGCGAGGGGTGGTGTCCGACCCGTCTCGCGCGGCGGTCAATGGAAGCGGAGCGTCGGTAGGATATGAACAGTCGCGGTCGTGGTCCGGGCGCGACGCGACTGGACGCGCGAACGGCGCCACTGCCAGGCCGACCGCGCGAGACAATAATTCTGTGCTGTAGGTCAGCCGCCGTCCCGCGACAGTCCGCGCGACGCCGCCGCCCTTGCCGCGGCGCGCGAGCTCGATCCATGCGCGCCTCGTAGTCGCACGCCGGTTCAATCCCGACGCGCGCGCGACGCGTCATGCAGTGGCACGCGCGCTGGAACGTCGAGGATTCGGACTCGCCGATCCTCCGAAACATCGCCGGCGCACTTCTGATGACGTCCGGGGTGACGCTCTTCCTCGCGGCGACGCGCTTTGCGTGGGGTATCGTCCGCGGCGGCGACGTCTCGCTGGAGACGACGTACTATTATCTCCTCGTCCCGGTCACGCTGCCGGTCACGATCGTGTTCGTGTACCTGAACTGGCTCGCGTTGAGCATCTTCAAGACCGCGTGATGAGCGGCGACGGAATCGATGCGATTTATCGGATCGGAATCGGTGGATGGATTCCCCTTCGCGGCTGCGGCACGACGCGCGCGCACAGGTCGGTACCTAACGTAATACGCCCCCGCCCGTCTCGGTTCAGTCGGTCACTAGAGCTCGCAATCAATGCTTCGATTCGTAGGCAACGCCGGCGGACTTCGTTGTGAAGCCGGCTTCAATCGTCGGAGCAAAGATTCGTAAGCCAAACATAAACCAACGACATCTCTGTCCGTGAGAAGTTGTTGACCTGTCTCGTTGGCACATTTCCCGGACTGGTTAGCAGTCGACGCTCGTCGTACACTCGTCGCATACGAACTTACCCCGGACGGCTAAAGCGATAACCACGCCTCGCGCGTCCCAATTCGTGTGCAAGATTAAACGTGTGAATCGTGTTGCAGACCGAGGCGTTCAATGCCCGTGCGCTGTGTCTATTTCCACACGCATACTTTTTTCGCGATTACTGTACAACTCGATCCGTCTGATATGAGCCTGCCTGCCACGGTGTTGGACCGCCCGTTTGGGCGATGGTCCGCTCTGTCCAAGTGTTGCGCTCAGATGAAAGTTTTGGCGGTCGACGATGAGCGCCGGCGCTCCTTGGGTTTACCGGCGCATCGATCCCAAACACAATCTCCTTCTTTGTTCGGTTTATCGCGTCGCCCGCGTGAACTTGATGATGAGGCTAGTGGATTAGGAAGAGCCGTATGATACGGCCTCGAAAACCGAATTGGCTGATTAGTCATTTTCCCGCTTAAAGTTCAGGCCGCGGCGGCGCGCGATTTGGTTTTCGGTTTTGGTTCGAGCGACTCGGCCACCACAACACCCGGCTCTCTCAATGTTTCGTTGGAGAGCCGGCCAAAGGGTGGCAACACGAAGTCGGCTACAAAATCCCCCCCTACGATAATAATGAATTAGGGGTCTACATCGGTCGGTAAATCACGCGCGGCGCTCGTCGCTGACGCGCCTCCCCCCGACGCTTCTCCGCGCTTCACCGCAGGCAAACGCGCGCTCGAGACGGGAGCACCCGCGCGCTCTGGTGCGGGATATACGATAGAACCCGCGACGTAGCATTAGTTATGATAGTTAGATCACGTAGAACAGACCGAACGCGTCAACGGCGACGTGATCGCGAACACCCGCGGCGTAGTCGTCGGTCTATTTTCGCGCTGCCGGCGTCTGATAATCGCTCGCCCTGTAAGTACACGACGTCAGAACTTTTGAAAGTTTGATTGAGCGCGCGCCGTGTCAGACGCGCGCGCCCGCCCCACGTCCTGCAGTCGTCGCCGGCGTCGCGGCGTCGAAGCAGCGACGCGCCATGGGCATCTTCGGGAAGAAGAAGAAGAAGAAAGGCGCCGCCGACGACGACGAGTACGCGCGCGAGGACGCGTACAAAGACGACGAGTACCAGGAAGGCCTCGAGGCGGAGGCGGAGGAGGGCGATGACTCCGACATCGAAGCGGAGGAGAACGAAAAGTACAACCGACGCCCGCGACCCGCGGACGGCCCGGTGGAGCGGTCCACGGAAGGGAACTTCCTCTCCAGGCAGCCGTGCGCGGCCGCGCTGGAGGCGCCGACGAGCCACCAGATGAGCCACGACGCGCAGGAGAAGCCCGACCACGCGCTGCAGCTCGACTTCGTGTACGGGTATCGCGCGCACGACTCGCGGCATAACCTCATGTACAACGTCGACGGTCTCATCGTGTATCCAGCGGTGCGCGTCGCGCGCGATGTCCTCTCCGCACACGTCGTCTCGCGACCCCGCCGCCGTCCGTCGCGTCTCCTCCCTCGTCGGTCGTTGTTAAAAAAAAGGGCACCCGGGAAGAAGACGACTCACGATCCGAACCTTCTTCGCTCTTCGCGTCCTCCGCCTCACGCAGGGCGCGACCGGGATCGCGTACGACAGCGCGGAGCACACGCAGCAGTTCTTCACGACGCACACGGACGACATCGTGTGCCTCGCGATGCACCCGGAGCGAGAGATCATCGCGACCGGACAGGTCGGCAAGGAGCCGACGATCTGCGTGTGGAACAGCGTGACGTGCGAGCTCTTGAGCGAGATCAAAGGGTTCCACCAGCGCGCGGTGACGTCGTTATCGTTCGACGCCACGGGGCGTTTCCTCGCGTCCGTGGGGATGGACGACGACCACTCCATCGCGGTGTACGACTGGGCGTCGCGGAGGATGCTCGCGAACAGCCGCGGGGACGAGAGGAGGGTGTTCAACTGCGAGTACAACCCGTACGACGGCAGGTTAGTCACCGGCGGCGTGAAGCACTTGAAGTTCTGGGTCATGGAGGGCGGGTACCTCGTCGGGAAGAACGGCGTGTACGGTCGAGTCGGACAAGTCAGCACGACGCTCTCGATCGCGTTCCACAGCGACGGAAGCACGCTGACGGGTACGCAAGGCGGCATCATCTATCAGTGGGCGGACGGCGGCGAGCAGTGCATTCAACGCTACGACGCCGTGCACCAAGGCCCGATACACGACATGTTCGTCACGAACGATTACATCATAACAGGCGGTAAGGACGGCAAGGTGCACTTCTTCACGCAGTACGTCGAGAAAGTCTTCACGATCGACATGGCGAAAGTCGTGGAGACGATCACGGATCTGCAAGGGAAGCCGTTGTGTTGCTACGACGGCCGAGCGCCGTGCGTGAAGAGCATCTGCATGGAAGGGACGCAGCTGCTCGTTGGCACGCGCGGGTCCGAGATTTTCGAGTTCGACCTGAGCACGGAGGACTCGTGGAAGGTGAACAGGCGGATCATCACGCAAGGCCACGCCGGGGCGATCGACGAGACGAAGAGAGTGAACACGTCCGAGCTCTGGGGACTCACGACGCATCCGTTTCTGCCGCAGTTTGTCACCGCGGGGGACGATAAGACGCTGCGGGTGTACGACATGTACCAACGCCGGCAGATCGCGGTGAGGAACATCAGCAGTAAAGCGCGCAGCGCGGCGTACTCCCCGGACGGGAAGCACATCGCCGCGGGTTTTTTCGGCGGCGGGTTCATCGTGTTCGAGACGACGACGGGGAACGAAGTCATCGCGAAGAAGCACCGACGAGAGGAAATTTCCGACGTGAAGTTCTCCCCGAACGGCCGTGGGCTCGCCGTGGGGTCGCACGATAACTTCATCGACGTGTACGACACCACGCGCGGGTACAAGCGCGCGGGCGTGTGCAAAGGGCACAGCAGCTACATCACGCACATCGACTGGAGCGAAGATAGTCGATTTCTGCAGTCGAACAGCGGCGATTACGAGCTTCTGCACTGGGAGGTCCCCGGGTGCGAACAGATTCGGTTCCCGGCCGCGCTTCGGGACACGAAGTGGGACACGTGGACGTGTACGCTAGGCTGGCCGGTGCAAGGAATCTGGCCGAAGCACGCGGACGGGACGGACGTCAACGCGTGCTGCAGGTCGTTCGACGGTCAAGTCGTCGCGACCGCGGATGATTTCGGATTGATTAAACTTTTCCGATACCCGAGCGACGTCGGGCGCGCGGATTACCACGGATACTTGGGTCACAGCACGCACGCGACGAACGCGCGTTTCAGTTACAACGACGAGTTCTTAATAACCACGGGCGGTCACGACCGGTGCGCGTTCCAGTGGCGGCACTACGAAGCCGACGAAGGCGACGAGGAGATGACTTCCGAGGTTGAAGACGAAGTCCTCACCGCGGTCGAGGACTACGAGGACTTCTCGAAGACGAACCAGGTCGTGGAGATGGTCATGACCGGGCACGTCTCCGGGGTGCCGCAGTACATGCCGTTGTCGATGCTAGACGCGAAACCGAGCCGGGATATCCCGCAAGGCACGGGGTTAGACCCCGGGTCGAGGCTCGCGTTTTTGCCGTGCGCGCAGTCGATATTCGCCCCGGACGGGTACCTTCGCGAACCGGACGCGCTCGCGCCGTGCATGGAAGCCGTCGAGCTCGAGTTCGTGCACGGATACCGCGCGCACGACTGCAGGGATAACTTATTCTACAGCGCGAAAGGCGAGGTCGTGTATCACACCGCCGCGATCGGGATCGTGTACAACCGCGAGTCGAACACGCAAAACTTTCTCGTGGATAACCCAACGGCGGAGGGAACGACCGGGCACACAGACGACATCTTGTGCTTAGCGCGTCACCCGAACGGGAACATCTACGCCTCGGGCGAGGTCGGTAGGAACCCGAAGCTCATCGTGTGGACGACGGAAGACCCTCGGAAGCCGCTCGCGGTGCTGCAGGGCTTTTTGAAGAAAGCGATCGTGAGCTGCACGTTTTCGCGCGACGGGACGCTGATTTGCGCCGTCGGCGCGGATTCGCATCACTCGCTCGTGATTTACCGCTGGCAAACCGGGCAGATGCTGACGTCGTCGAAAGGCAGCGCGGAGAAGATCGTCTCCGTCGCGTGGTCGCCGTATCAAGACTACGTCGTGACGTGCGGGGTGAAGCACCTGATGTTTTGGAGCACGCAGCCGTTCGAGCCGCGCAAGGCGCTGTTCAACCGCAGAGGGAAGATTCAGACGATGCTGTGCTCGTGCTTTCCCGGCCCGGACACGACCGTGGTCGGCACGCAGGACGGGAGTCTGTATTTGTTCAAAGGGTATCAGCTCGCGACGAACATGCGAAAGTGCCATCAAGTCACGCACGCTGTGCACGCGACGCGCGACGTCGTCGTCTCCGGCGGTAAGGAAGGGAAGGTGAAATTCTGGACGATCGACCTCTCGCAGTGCCTGCGCGAGGTGCAAATCAACCACCCGCAGGCGTTGTCGTCCTGCATAAAAGCGATGCACCTCATGGGGAGCATGATGGTGATCGGCATGAGGACCGGGGAGGTGTACGAGATGGACACGACGTCGTACGATTTCACGCTGTTGCTTCAAGGGCACGGGTACGGAACGATATGGGGCCTCGCGACGCACCCGGGGGAGCACCAGATGTGCACGGTGGGCGACGACTGCACGGTAAGAATTTGGGACGTCGCGTCGAGACGGATGGTAATGGTCCGCGACCTGGGGGCGAAAGGACGGTCGGTCGCGTACCACCCGGACGGGAGCCAAATAGCGATAGGGCTCGCGGGCGGGGGGGTAGTCCTCGTCAGCTCGGACTCGCTCGATACGATGCACACGAAGAAGGACCGCGAGGAGCCGATTCACGAGCTGAAATTTTCCCCGAGCGGGCAATACTTAGCCGTCGGTTCGCACGATAACTACATCGACGTGTACGACGTGAGCAAAGGGTACGGCCGCATGGGCGTCGCGAAAGGACACGCGTCGTACATTCGACACTTGGACTGGTCCGGAGACAGCACGGTGTTACAGAGCAACAGCGGCGACTTCGAGCTTCTGTTCTGGGAAATGCCGAGCGGGAAACAGATTAAATTCGCGTCCGACGCGCGGAACATCGACTGGAGCACGTGGACCTGCGCCGCTGGCTGGCCGGTTCAGGGCATCTTGCCTCGGTACAGCATGGGGACGGACGTCCTGAGCTGCGACCGGTCGCACACGCGGACGGTCGTCGCGTCCGGGGACGAGTTCGGGACGATCAACTTGTACCAATACCCCGCGCATAAAGGCTGCGCGGGGCGGACGTTCGGCGGGCACTCGAGCAAAGTCACGGGCGTGCGGTTCATGTTCGACGACACGTACCTCATCAGCGTCGGCGCGGACATGACGCTGTGCCAGTGGAAGATCGTTTTGTAATCGAATCGTCGTTAAAAATCGTTTATCGTCGTTCGTCCGCGTCTATTCCGTTCGCTTCCCTTCCCGTCCCTACCCCGATAACCCGGCGCCGCTGTTCCTCTTCTGCAACGCGCGGAGCGCTTTTCGCCGCGTCGCCATCCTCGCGCTCTTCAACCCCGTCCTTTCGTAGCTCCCGCTGCTGCCGTTCGCGCGCGGTTTCACCTTATCCTCCGGCGTCCTCGAGTCCCGGGACGCCTTCACGACCGTCTTCGCCGCGGACGCCGGGACGTTCGCGGCCGGTTCGTTCTCCGCGTCGACGATGTGCGACGCGGGCTTGTTCGCGTTGAGCCTCGCGCGCGTCATCCGCGTCACCCTCGGCGTGACCATGTTACTGTTCTCCTTGTCGTGCATCGGCGGCGTCGTCGTCACCGGCATCGGCGCGGCCGATTTCGCGACGGACTGCCAGTCCAGACCGTTTGCGGTGCTTTTCTTCACCGAGCTCGCCGCGAGCGCCAGGGTCTTGCGTAAGTTTCCGAGCTCGGGGGACGCCGCCGCCTCCGGGTCGAGACCCATGGACGACCGTCGTCGAATCGCCGCCTGCTTCGCCTCGACGCTCGCGCGAAGCTTCGAGAAGCTGATCTGCCCCGCGGCAGCGGTCATCTCCTTGAGGCGCGTCTGCGCCGGCGTCGTAGCCGCGGCGGCGAGATCTACGCCGCCGACGGCGTCCTCCAACGCCGCCGCGGCGTCCGCGTCTAAATCGCGCGGCCGCATCCCGCGCTCCCACATCGCCCGTCCCAACGCGTTGGCTCGCGCCTTCTCCTTCGTGACCGCGTCTTCGAGCTCTTCGACCTGGAGCTTGTGTACCTTCTCCGTCGCGTTCACGTTTTGCGTGTGCACCTCCTCCGCGCGTCTGAGCATGAAGACAACTTCCTCGCGTCGACGCTCCGCCTCCGCGGCGGTTTCCTCCGCGATCGTCTGCGCCGCCCTCGCGCGTTCGCAGCGCTCCATGAACATCTTGTTCTTCTCCATCGCGTTCCCCAGGTCCGCTTGGAGTCGCGATAGTTTAGCCCGTTTCTCGTCCAGGTTCTGCCGGAGCTGGTCGTTCTCCATCTCTAGCATGTTCGAAAGTCCCTCGACCTCGCCCTTCGCCGCGGCGAGCTCCTCCGCGTGCGCGCGCTTCAAACTCGTCACCGCGTCCTCCATCGTCTTCGCGTGCGACGCGTCCGCAGCCTCGAGCTTCTCCTCGCGCTGTCGAACCGCGGCTTTGAGCGCTTTTACCTCCGCGGTCATCTGCGCGAGTTTCATATCCCGCGATGTGACCGTCTTGGACAGCGTCGTGATCTTCTTCTCCGCCTCGCTCACGGCGACTTGCATCTCGCCGAGGAAAAAGAGGCTCTCGGTTTCCGTCTCTTTCGCCTTCTCTTTCGCTTCCTGCGCTTCTTGTTTCGCCTCCGCGAGCGCGTCGTCCGCGGCGTTTAAACCGTCCACGAGCTTCTTCATGTCCGCCTCGGAGTCGTTGAACAGCGCCTTTTGCGACTCGACCTCGCCGCGGAGCTTGGAGATTTCCCCGGACAGACGGTCGACCTCCTTGGCGCCGTCCGCGGCGGCGGCTTCCGCCGCCTTCAGCTTCGTGCCGAGCGACGCGTGCGCGGCTTTCGCTTCGTTCTCGCGCCGCATCGAGAGCTGCGCCGCCTGCGCGAGCTTCTGCTTCTTATCCGCTCGCTCCGCTTCAACCTCCGCGTACGCGGCTTTCAACTTCGCCTCGAGCTGCACGCACCGGCCTTGCGTCTCGCGCAACGCCGCTCTCACCTCCGCTGTTCTCGCCTCCGCTTCGACGTATTGCTTCCTCGCGAGCTTGACGTCTGACTCGAGCTGCTCGTTTTTTCGCATCTCGCCCTGCGCGAGCACGTCGTGCAGCGCCGCGAGCTCTTCTTTCTGCGACTGAAGCTCGTCCTGCGCGGCCGCGAGCTCGGCTTTCGTCTCTTCGATCATAAACTCCGCGTCTGATTTCGCCTTTGCGACTTTCATCTGCGCCTCCTCGACCGCGGCTTCCGCCTGCGCTTGGACGCGCAGCATCTTTCCCTCGAGCTCAGCCTCGCGCTCGATGATCTGCGCGTCCCTCTGCGCGGCGCTCTCTTCCGATTGCGCGATGAATTCGACGCGGCGTTCGCGTTCGAGCTCGCACGCGCGCTCGGCTGCGATTTTCTCATCCGCCAATTTGTTCAAGCGTTCCATCTCTCGATCGATCTGGAGCTCTAGCGATTCCGCGCGCTCGACCGCCGCGCGCTTCTCGTTCTCCACGTTCTTCACCGTTCGTTCGTTATCGTGCGTTTGCTTCAAAAGCGTCGCTTGGAGCTGCATCAGCGCCGTCTCCGTGTCCGTGAGCTTGCCGGTGAGTTCCCGCTTTTGGTTCGCGTTCGACGCCGCGGACTCGAGCGCGACCGTCGCCGCCGCCCGCAGCTGCTCGTCCATGTTACGAACCATCGCCTCGCGTTCTTTCAACGACATCTCGAGGCGCTTTACCGCCTCGGTCTGCCTCTTCTCCGCGGACATCGCTTTTCTGAGCGCGGACATCGTCTGCGACAGCTGGTTATCTCTCGCGTCGATTTCTTCGCGCATCGACGCCAACGCCGCTCGCGATTGGTCGAGCTCGCCTTGTAACGGCGACAGCGCGGTTCCTCGCGCGGCGAGCTCGTTCGTGATGTGCGTCCGCTCCTTCTCCTTCGCCGCGAGCTGTGCCGCGGCCTGCGACAGCGAGAAATCTCGCATCTTGAGCTCGTTTTGGAGCTTCTCGCGCTCCTCCGCGAAGGCGGCGACGGCGGCTTCGTTCTCCGCCTGGAGCTTCCTCACGAGCGCCTCGCGTTGCTCCCTCTCCGGCGACGGCGTGGACTTCATCGGCGTTCGCGGATACTTCGCCTTGAGCGCTTGCATCTTCGCCTCTTCCTCCGCGCGCTCGACTTCGAGCTGCTCGAGCTGCTGCTGCAACTGCAGCGCGTACGTCGCGGCCTCGTCGAGCTCGTGTTCTTTCGCCTCGAGCATCGCCGCGCCATCGCGTAAAAGCGCGTCTCGCTCTTCGCAGTCCGCCTTGAGCGTCGCCGCCGCGTTCGTCGCGTCTTGAAGTTTCTCCTCGAGCGACCCGATCTCCTCCGCGCGCTGTTCCACCAGGCGCTCTAACACGTCGCGCTCGTCGCGCGCTTTCGCGTACTCCTCCTCAGCCTTGCGTCGCTCGACGCGTTCCAACTCCAGCGACGCCTCGAGCTCGCCTTGCGCCACCTCCATCTCCGCCCTTCGCTCGCCGACTTCAAACTCCCACCGCGCCGCCATCTCTCTCGCTTCTTTCGCCTCGCGCTCCGCGGCGTGGCGTGCCGCGACGAGCTCGAGAAGGCGTTCCTGGGACTGCCGCGCGACGCTCTCCGCGGCGCGAACGTCGTCCGCGGAGGCGCCGGACGTTCGCCGGTCGCCGCCCAACGACGACCGACCGTTCAACGACGTTCGCCGGTCGCCGCCCAACGACAACCGCGACGACGAGGCTCCCCCGCTGAGAGACGCTCTCCCCATGATATCCCCGCCGCTCTGCATCTGATGCAGGTGGTGCTGCTTCATCGCGAGCTCCTGCGCGCACGCGTCGAAATCCGCCTGAAGTTTCAAAACGTTCTCCGACGTTTCCGCGCGCGTGCGTTCTGCCTCCTCCCGGCACTTCTCCGCTCTTTCGAGATCCGCGGAGAGTTGCTGCAGCATCCCCGCCTGCGCTTCGATCGTGAACTCGCGCTCCTGGAGCGCGCGCGTGCCTTCCATCTGCACGCGCTCGAGCGCCGCGGTCGCCGCGGCGGCGGCTTCTTTTTCTCTGCGCAACTGCGACTTCGCGTTTTCCCCGACTGCCCGCAACGCGTTCATCTCCACGCCGATCGTCGTCATGTCCGACTGCAGCGTCGCGCGCTTCTTCTCCGCGCTGTGTAAACGCTTCTCGAGCTCGTTCGCGCGGATCTCCGCAAACAGCTTCGCGTCTCTGAGCGCTTTCGCCTCCGCGCTCATGTCGACGACGGGCGCTGCGGGCGCGGCGGCGACGACAGCCGGGGACGCGCGCGTCGGCGCCGCCGCCGCCGCCGGCGGCGGCGGGGAGTGCCTGCTCACGCCGCTCGCGGGCGTGGCCATCACGATCGAACTCCCGCCCCCGGACCCCACGAAACGAGACGTCGTCGTCGTCGTCGTCGTCGTCGTCGAGGCCACGACGCGCGCGCCGGCGGTGAACGCCCTCGACGGCACCCCCGGGCTGTGAATCGCCGGCCCCGCCGCTCTCAACGACGCCATGAAAGCGCTCACCGCCTCCGGGGACGGAACGATGTCCTTGGAGATGATCGGCGAGCCGTGGTGCGGCGCCGCGAGCGCCTGCGGCGGCGTGTTCTCGTTGTCGTCCACGTTGGAGACGTACCGAGACGGCGGCGACGGCGTCTGATGCGTCGTCGTCTCGCGACGGACGACAGATTCGCGTCTGACGGACGACGGAACCGCGGAGGATGTCTTCACCGCGCTCCGAGGCTTCTTCGCCGCGGACGGGTTCGCGTGCGACGCGCGCCCGAACGCGGAAGTCGACGTCGGCGTCGCTCTCGACGACGCGGACGCGAGAGGAGACCCGCGCGCGCGCGTCACCGACGGCGGCGTCCGCGTCGTCGCGGACGAGACCCGGGACGAGAACGCGGAGGAGACGCCGTTCGTCCCCGCGCTCGCGAGCGAACCGCGTCGGGCGGACGCGACGGAGGACGCCGCGCCGCCGCCCAAGGACGAGCGATGCGCGGCTTTCTTCTTCTTCCACTCCTCGAGCTGCTTCCGCCGGTCGCTCACGGCGTCCGCGCCCGCCTTGGAAGGCGGCGGATGCATCGGCGGCATCGGAAGCGCGGACGAATGAATCTGTGCTTTTCGTCCCCGGGTACGAAGATTCAGATCTGACGCGAACGCGGCGGCCCACCGCGCGCGACGCGGGACGTCTCTCGCCGCGCGGCTCGCTTCGACGCTTCCGCGAGGACGCGCGAGCTCCGCGCGCGTGCGCGACGACGGTGTCGCGAAGGGAGCGGCACCCGCGGCGTCACGCGCGGTCGCTTTTGGAAGTTCCGACAGCGCGTCGAAACGGTCTTGAAGTTCCCCCCCGCTCGCGGCTGTCGATGCCAGTTTCAAGCGCGACTGCGCGAAAAATCACACTGGTGGCGAGTCTGGCGGCGGCGAGTGCCACGCGACACGGCCGCGGCAGATGTAATTCACAACGACTGCGATTACTTAATATCATATTACGTTTTATAACTTCTTCGATCCTCACGCCTGCTTCGTCTTCTTCGCGGCCTTCTCCGCGGCTTTCCTCTGCTTCACCTTCTCCTTGTCGCGTTTCTTCCGTTCTTTTTTGTCCGCCTTGCGTTGCGCGACGACTTGCGGATCGGACTTGGCAAACTTCGCCACCGGCGGGGCCATCTGCTGGTAATAGTGCATGATGTACAGCGCGATGACGATGAAGCAAAATCGCGGGAAGTGCACGTGGAGGTTCCACGCCGGAGGAATGCACCAGAAGTCGTCCTCGTCGTCGCAGTACGTGTGCTCGATGATCGATTCCATCGTGTCGCCCTGGGTGATGGACATGATCGTCAGCATCACCGCGTTCCACGCGAGCTGCTTCTGCCACGTCCGCGGCGCGACGAAGAAGAAGTCGTCTAGCTCGTGCAGAAGCTCCTTCTTGTTAACGACCGTCTTCTTCTTCTTCTTCCCCGACGGCGGCGGCGAGAACTGCGACGACGTCTCCTCCTCCGCGATTCTCTCCGCCTCTTCCTTCGCGTCGAGCTTCTCTTCCTTCTTCGTCTTGTTCTTCGGGGCGATGATCTTGTCCGTGAGCTTCCGCGACGTCCGTCCCGCGATGTTACGTATCGTGAAGTAGAAGATCTTCGTCGTCCACGGGAGGTACGTCGCCGGGAACGCGAGCAACGTGAACGCGAACGGCTTCCAGACGCGTTCGATTTGTCGGATTTTGTTCAAGCCCCAGCCGACGTATAAGATCTTCCGCAGGAGCAAACCGGGGAAGCCGAAGATGAACCACATCTTCGTCTTCGTCAGGAGGCTCACGATCAGCCAGCACCCGATGAACTCGAATATCGTCCCGTCCACGACGAGGTCCGGGATCCTCCACGCTTCCAATCCCGCGACGAGGCGACCGGCGAAGCAGCAGCAAAACGACGCGAGGAACGAGTACCCGAGCCCGTGCTCCTCGCCCTTGAGCGACAGCGAGTCTCTTCGCACGAGACCGATCTGCAGGAGGATATGCCAGACGCGAATGATGCGCGGGTTTAGCCCTTCCCAGAAATCCTCCGCTCGTTCCGCGAGCGCGAAGAGGACGAGGCCGATGAGCCCCCATTTCATCGAGTTCGCCTGCGCGCGCGTCAGGTTCGCGCTCCTGATTTTAACCGTTATCGTCCGATAGACGTACCATATCAACAGCGCGAGGAGGACCCACTTGTTCAGGAGCATCGACACGAAGAACGAGAACCAGCTCCGTTCTTCCTCGACGACGTACACCACCTTCGCCATGACGGACGCGCGGGACGACGATTCGCGGGAGCGCTGTCAAATTTTCCTGGAAAACGCGTACGTAATGAAAATGCACACCGACGACCCGTCGCGTCCTGTCCGCGCGCGGAGGCAGCGGGAACGCCGCGAGCGGAGATACGCGATGTGACGACTGCGGTCGTCCGTGCACGCGCGCGACGTGACTGGCTCGGCACGGACGGACGCGCGAATCGTGCAGTTAGTTAAGTAGGGAGCGAGGTCGGGTTGCCCCGGTCACGTGCAGTGTCCAGTCACGCGTCACGTGCCGCCAAATGCTGCCAGCGCGCAGCGCGTTTGTCCGTCCGAGCTCCGATGAGGCGGGAAAACGAGGGACGTCGACGCCGCGGAGAGCGCACTTCCCGGCGCGCGCGCTGGGCACGCTCCACTGCCGCGAAGATGGCGACCGCGACCGCAGACGATCGATACGTCGACGCGTCGAGCCGCGCGATGCGACGCTCGAACAGTCTCGAGGCGGTCGCCGCGTGGGACGACAGCCAGGCGACGCGAGGGCACGAGATCCGCGAGCACACCGATCCCGCGTTCACGCGGTTCTTCGAGAGCCATCCCACCCCCGCGAGACGAGCCGATGGCGAGCGCGACCGCGACGTCGGCCCCGCGTCCTCGCCGAAGGTATCGACCCTCGCGGTGAAGCTGAAAGAGTCTCAGGTACGCGCGTTCGCGTCCGCGCCGCGCGAGATCTCGCGCAAACGCAGACCACGAGTAAACGAGCCTCGAACCGTCGTCGAATATTTTTCTCACGCGCCGCGCGTTTTCCCCCCTCGTTCCCACGCAGGCGGAGCTCGCGAAGACGACGAGCGAACTCGACGCGGCGAAGGCGCGAAACAAGCTCATGGAGGAGCACATCGAGACGATCACGCACCGCGAAGACATCGTGAACGCGAACGTGACGCTCGTCGCGCTCTTCGTCGCGCTCGCGCTCGCGCTCGCGCTCGCGCTCACGCTCGCGGCGGCTTTGTTCTTCGAACCCGTCGGGCTGCCGATCGCGCGGACGATGGCGCGCAGGTGGGGAGACGCGTGCGGATGCGACGATAAGTGTAAAGCGTCTACGCTAGGCGGGTTCATGGGTTGGCGGGGCTAAAACTCCTCGTACGCAAACTCCTCGTACGCGTCGCGTCCGGCCCCGCCCGCGACGGACCCGAGGTTGGCGTTCATCACGCCGACGCAACGGTAGAACACGTTCACCTGCGCGCGCGAGATGGAAGACGATGGGGGAGGGAAGATTTCAGACGACGAACGACGAGACGATGTACTGTACAACAGCGAGTAGAATAGAGCGGAAACGTAGCACACGTAGTCATGAAACGAACGCGAACGCGCGAAGGACGATGGAAACGAATCGAAACGCGCGGGCGGGCGCGCGCACCGCGATCAACACGTACAGAAAGTTCTGCACGCTGAACGTGTTGTTCTTATCGAACGCGAGGTACAGCCATCGCCTCCACGCGGGCAGCTTCGCGTCGACGTCGAACCCTTCCATCCGCGCGGCGTTCTCCTTCTCCACGAGAGCGAGCATCTTCTTCACGTCCGGATCGGAGAGGTCGATGCCGAACTCCCTCGCTTTCGCCGCCATCTCCGCGTCGTGCCGCGCCCTCGCTCGGTCTTCGAACTGCTTCCTGACCTTCGCGTCGTCGAGGTCGATCCCGCGCGCTCTCGCGCGAGCCTTGATCTCGTCGTCGCTCATCTCGCGCATCGCGTCGATCTCCTTACATTTCGCCTCCGCGGCGGCGCGCATCGACTCTTCGTCTTCTTTCGTGTACAAACCGTCCTTCGTCTTGAACGCGCCGCCGTACGTCTTCCTATCTTTCGCGCACTGCGCGTCGTACTCCGATCGGTGCTTCCTGAGCGCGTCTCGAACGAGCGCATCGCTCGGCGCGAGTCGCGCGGCTCTCGCGAGATCCTTCACCGCCTTCTCCAGCGCGACGCTCGACCCCGCGGACGCGAGCGCGATCGCTCGGCGGTAATACGCCTTGACGCACGCGTCGTCGATGTTCAGAACCTCCGTGCACGTCCACACGATGCCGTCCACGTGTGTGGGCGGCGTGTCCGGGTCCCTCGCGGCGTCTATCTTCGCCATGCACGCGGACGCGTTGAGGAGGACGGAGGACACGAACGCGCGCGCGGCGGGATCCGTCGGCGTCGTCGTCTCGTCGTCCTTGAAGCACACCAGGTTTTGCTCGTTCCCGACCGTCTCCCGGTTCCAATACCTGAACACCGCGATCGCTTTCGTGTACTCCGACATCGCGTCTTCGTACAAACCCTCCGCGTACAGCTCGTTCCCTCTCGCTTTCGCCGGCGTCGCGTGATCGATCTTCTCCCTCACGGTGCCGTCTTTACGAAGCGCGACGAGCGTGTCGTCCTTGTCGTACGCCATCGTGTTCTTCATGAAGTCCGGCGACGCCTCCCATTCCCTGCGCTTATCTTTCAGCTGCGCGGTCTTCATCTCCGCGGCTTTCTGGAGGATGTCGTTGAACGATTCGCTCGAAGTGCCCGCGTGCGTCGTCGCGGCTCTGCGTTGCCTCGTTCGGGCATCGTCGTCGTCTGCGTTGGAACGGGACGGACGAGTGGGGGCGAGCGTTGTCAGGGCGGGCTCGGACGGCGCGAGAATCGCGTTCGGCGGGCGAATGAAGTAGGCGACGCGTACCTTCGGACGACGCCTCCTCGATGCGAGCCATCGCGGTCGACGCGCGCGGCGGTGTGGCGCGCGAATACGAAAACTCAAACTTTTGAGGAAGCAACAACGACAGAACAACGATTTTTCCGAGGAGAAGTCGGATGCGCGGGAGAAGCGACGCGACGCGGGGGAAGCCTTCCACCGAAGCGTCGGCGCGTCGCGCGAAGCCGATTGGATCGATTAGAGACTGAGAGATCGGCGGGGGAACATGGGAGGTACGATGCATGCAGCGTCGTGGGTCGCGGACAGCGACGACGACGACGGCAGCGAGGAGCTGGAGTTCGCCTCCGGGGTCATCCTCGTCGAGGTACGCGCGCGTGCTCGACGCGTTTATTTCCGTTCTGTGACTTCCGGTTTGACGCGCTCACATTCGCCCCGTGTTCAGGACTGTAAGGTAGGCGACTGGGTGGAAGTGAACAGCGGTCTCGCGGAGCCGTGGCGCGGACAGGTGAGATCGACGCGACGCCTCAACTTACACAAGATGGGTTTGGTTTCCAGGAGCACCGATCCGACCGCGCGCGCGTTCTGACATCGAATCCTCTCCCCTGCAGATCATAGCGGTGAACGTGGAAAGCTCAAAACCCATCGGCATCAAATGGCTCGCGCCGTGCAAGGTGCGTCGATTTCCACGCCGAGTGTGTCCTGGCGACGCAGCCCGGTTCCTCGTCGACGCCGCCCGTTTACGAATACGTCTTCTTCTCGCTCGCAGGCTGGCTGCACCGCGCGACGAAAGGGCGATCCCCCGGGTCTGAAGTGGCCGGATAACTTCCCCGAGGGCCTTTTCGAGTTCAGAGGAGGGTCACACAACGTCGAGGTCGAAACATTACTCGTGGTGGACCCGGACATGTTTCACGTCGCGAACAGGCCCGACATGCCCAGCTCGCTGCCGAGGGAAAACAAGGCGAGCTCACCAAACCGACGAAAAGCGATTTTCACGTGAAATTTTTCCGAAAATCAAAAAAATCAAAAATTCACACATGAGTTGTTAGCGATGAACGAGAGAGTTTTGACCGCGATTCCATCCACGAATTCACCCACACCCTCAGGATGAAATTTTCTGTTTCGCAGAAACGTGCAACCAACGCTGCGGCTGCACGCCGGAACCTTCTCCACGGAAATTAAAGCGAGGCGCGCCTGGGAAAAACACGAGCGACACGCGTCGGGGAAACGCGAAGAGAGCGAAAATAATGCCTCCCAAGCTGGTAAACACGAAAGTCATAAGAGGGCCTTTCGAGTGGGAGCAAAACGTGACCGGGGACTGTCGACCTTGCGACGTGCTGGTCCCGTTCACGTACGTAAAGAACAGAGTTTACGTCGAGGCGGATGACAAGAACAATAAAAACGGAAAGAAGAAAGACAAAAAAAAAAACGAGCGGAGGTTCACGGAAGAGACGCGATACGAGTTCAGACGATGCACATGTGCGCGTTCGATTCAAGAGCCATTATCGGTAGGAAAGAATTGTTGTTTTTTCTTTCACGTGCGGCGCGACGAAACTCAAAATTACAACTATGAGGGCTTCTTTATTTATTTTGGAACGCGCTTGAAATTTAATGACCCTTCCGCGAGAAAACAATAGGCCCCTATCCCAAGACGCACATCGAAGGTGGGAACGATTTAGAAACGTGCCCGTTCAACGCGATTCAAAGAGGAGAAGTTCTTTTCCCTCTGCACGTGTATCAAGATGACAACGGAAAAGGTTTCTGCGTGAGGGCGAAACAGAAGATTCCGAAAGGCGGCTTGATATGCGAATACGTCGGGGAAATCATCACTCAAAAGGAGGCGGCCAAGCGCGAGCGAAACTATTCTCAGCTCGGTTTATTTTACTTGCACGACGTCCATACGAATTACAGATCGAAGGTGAGAAACACTCTGACGACTTGTGCATTTTATTTTGGCAGCGAAAAAGCCCAATTGATCGATCTAACAAAATCGTTATTTCAATGCAGTACAAAGAGTATACGATCGATGCGACGATGTGTGGTAACGTCGCGCGCATGCTCAATCATAACTGCGAACCTAACGTGACAACTCTTGAAGTCGCTGTCGTTCGGGACCCAGCTTTGTCCGGTGACGCAGCGAGGGTTCCAAAGTTGCCAAGAGTTGGATTCTTTGCCACGAGAGATATCGAAGCAAATGAGGAGCTTTGCATCGATTACAGTCCCGGTAGGCGTGGCGACGATTTGCAGGAGGTGATGGAATGCTTTTGCGGTTCGAGAAAGTGCAAGGGCTGGTTATTCTGAACGAAACGCGCGTAGATGATAATTTTGTTCTTTAGAAGCGTTTGTAAAACACGATAGCTCTGAACTTGAAATTTCCTTTGTTTTTCGCTGTGAGTTCGTGAAGCGCGCGGAAATTTATGTGCAACTTCTTACTTTAATTCTTATGGTTCTTGATTCCATCGGGCTTGCGCAAGTCCTTTTATTTCGCTGTTTATAAAGGTTTTTTTATTGTTGGGAATCGTATCTCGTCTTTTCACGGTATTCGCCATTGAACCAGTGCGCGCGCGCGCTGAATCAATATGGAACGTTCGCTTTACGATATTGGAACTGCTTCGCTTTTGCGCTCGCACGTCGCTACTACTACAATCGCTTCGTCTCAGGGACTTGTCTTTTATTTAGCCGTAACGGAAGCGTGTTCACTGCCAGAACTCGCTTTCCAGGACTGCGTGCAATACCCGCTTTCTACGTTCACTGTAGGGACCTACGATTCCGATTCCGATTCCGGTCGATTTTTACGGTTCCGGGCCGAGTTTAGGGACCGAAATACATTCCGACTCCGATTCGCAGGTCTAATTTGAAACTACACCGGACGGGTTTACGACGGTGGAATCGCGCGTTCGAACGTTTCGATTAAAATATTTGCTTTGAAATTAAATTTTCTTACTGTCAAAATCCCTCGTCACAGCGGAGCGACGTTGTCGCTCGGCAATAAATTGAAAGTTGAATTTTTTTCTCTCACTCCCAGAAAGAGGTGCGTCCCCTTTCCAACCAACACCGTGCTAGTCAGTGCGACTGATCAAAACACGTTTACCTGTGCTTGCCCGTGTCCACGAAGAGGAGCTCCTTGTACGTGGCCATCGTCCACAGGTTCGCCGGGCACGCGGCCTCGACGTCGTCGACGACCTTGCGCACGTTCACCATCGTCTCGAGGCGAAGCACGCGGCAGAGCTTCGCCTGCTCGAACGCGTCCTCGGTCGCGTGGACCTTCGCGATCGCGGCGGCGCATTCCTTCGCGCCCTTCTCGAGGCCGGAGGCGTTGATGCCCGCGGCTTTCGCGGACGGGATCGCGTGCTGGTTGATCATGTCGATCATGCAGCCAACTTCCATCTCGACGGTGCCGACGTACAGCTCGAGAAGAATCTCGCGACGCGCGGCGCACTCCTCCGGGGTGAAGACGCCCATGCTGGAGAACATCTCGACGTTCTTCGGGTCGACGAACTTGTTGATCGCCTCGACGCCGGAGTCGATCCTCGTCACGCCCATCGCGTCCGCCTTCGCGGGCCATTCCGGATCGTAACCGTTGCCGTTGTACACAGCCTTGAAGTGCTTCTTGAGAAGTTCCTGCGCGACCGCGACCGCGCTCTCGCCCGCTTCGATCCTGTCCGAGATGTTGGAGAACATCTTCGCGACCATGGAGTCGAGGACGGTGTTCACGAGAGACACGTTCTGCGTGGAACCGACCGCGCGGAACTCGAACCTGTGCCCGCCGTACGGGAACGGAGACGTGCGGTTGCGGTCCTCCGCGGGGGCGTTGAACACCGGAAGCGAGTCCACGCCGAGCGGAATGGGGGTCACAGACGGCTTGTACTCGAACACGTTGCCGTTCATGAACTCCGTGAGGTACTCCGTCATCTGCGTGCCGAGGTACGTGGAGATGACCGACGGCGGCGCCTCCATCGCGCCGAGGCGGAAGTCGTTACCGGGGGACGCGATCGACAGACGCATGAGGTCGCCGTACGAGTCGACGCCCGCGACGAGCGCCGCCATGACGACGGGAAAGAGCTCCGGGTTGCCAGACTTCGCGGTGAGGTCCCCCGGGTTGAGGAGCTGCGCGCCGCACAGCGTGGAGATGGACCAGTTGTTGTGCTTGCCGGAGCCGTTCACGCCCGCGAACGGCTTCTCCTGGAGGAGGCACGCGAGGTCGTGCTTCGCGGCGACTTCTTCGCAAATCTGCATCACGACGAGGTTCTGGTCCGTCTGCGTGATCACGGAGCCAAACTCGGGGGCGAACTCGTACTGGTTCGGCGCGACCTCGCGGTGGCGCGTCTTGAGCGGGATGCCGAGCTTGTAGCACTGCGTCTGGATCTCCTTCATGCACGCCATGACCTTTCCTTGGACGTTGATGGGCGCCATGTAGTGGTCGCAGCCTTCCTGGCCGCGCGCTGGCATCTTGCCCAAGACCGTCCTGCCCGTGAACTGGAGGTCCATGCGGCGCTCGTACGCCTCGCGGGGGATGAAGAAGAGCTCCTGCTCGAGGCCGATGTTGTTCACCGCGCCGGCGACTTCGAAGCCCATGTGCTTGAAGAGACGCGCGGTCTGCTTGGACATCGCCTCGTGCGCGCGGTGAAGCGGCGTCTTCTCGTCGAGCGCCTTGCCCTCGTAGGACACGAAGCACGCGGGGATGAAGAGCGCGTCGTCACGGAGGAACATCGGCGACGACGGATCGATGCACAGGTAACCGCCCGCGGTGTGCGTCGCGCGCATGCCGCCGTTCGGGTAAGAAGACCCGTCGGTCTCGCCGAAGAGGATGTGCTTGCCCTTGAGCTCGTACGTCGTCGTCCCGTCGCGGTTGAACTCGAGCATGGACATCTGGACCTGGCCGGTGTTACCGTGACGGAACGTCGCCGCCATCGGCTGGAACCAGTGGCAGAAGTTCGTTACGCCCTTGGAGAGGCACCACGTGAGGACCGCTTTCGCGATTTTATCGGCGGTCGCGACGTCCTTCACCCACGACGGATCGTCGAGAACGGCCGCGGAGAGGCCTTGCTCCTTGAGGAACTTGTCCGCGATGGCGCCCTTGAAGACGTCTTCGCCGAAGCCGGCGGAGAGGTGAGGCTGTGAAAAGGAACGCGAGGAAACGGATGGATCGGTCAGCGCGGAGGAGGGGGGAACCGCGTGCGGGCGATTCGGACCGATCGACAATTGAGTATCTATTCTAGAAAGTGCATTCGCGATCGCGATTCGCGCGATCCGCGAGAGACCGCGGACGCGCGCGATGTTCATGGGCGCGATCGAACACTCACCGCGTCGACATTCTGCCCCATGTTTGAGTGAGGTGTATGAAGTTGTGTGACGAAAGCGGTGGATATCCCGCGCCGTGAGAAGTGACGGAAAGCGCGTCGAATCGCTACAGGGTTTCTATCCCTGCTCTCCGCGAAGGGACGCGCGACAGCTTCGAAAGGTCGGGATTGCGGCCCCGACCACGGATAACTCAGAAACGACGGTCTAATTTCACCCGAAAATAATCGAGAAAAAGCGCGGTTGGTCGTTACTAAAAGATCTTTCTCGATTATTT